AATAATGTCAATTTGGTAGATATCAGAGAGTTTTATGTTGACAAAGATGGCGTGAAACGTCCAGGTAAAAAGGGGATTTCCTTGACCGAAGATGCATATTACAAGTTATTAGAAGCCACCAATAAGATACAGAACGCATTGGACGAATTGAATGGCGGTCCACTGAGAAAGAAGGTCAAAGTTGAAGAAAAGAAACGTGAACCAAAACCAAAATCAAAACCTCAACCAGAGCCAGAGCCAGAACAAGAGCCAGAGCCACAACCAGAACCAGAACCAGAACAGGAAGAAGAAGAAGAAGAAGAGGAAATCAGTGATGCTGATGAAGAATAAATACCATATACAAATATACATTTCAGATCTCCTTATTTATCGTGCAAAACTTGAAAAAAAATTTTTTTTTTTTTTCTTTCTTCTACAGGTGATTGCTACCCTCGCCGTATTGTAATCTAAAATTGCTAAGTCCAAAAAATTTTCTTTAAATTGAATTAAAATCACCATTTTCTTTCTCTTCAACCAATGGGTAAATTCAAAAAGCGTATGTCGTTTCCGGTTACAAACTATGTACCAGACGACGAACAATCACAAACATCATCGTCATCTACCAACTTGAACAATCATGTCAACGGGAATAGTTTTGATCACTTGGTAAATTCAGGAGCATTGATCGATCATAGGAACTCCAAAGATTTAGCCCATTTCCATTCTTCTCCAGCAAATACCAGACGCAGATCAACCACTCATTTCCATGCACAACACCAACCTAGTTTACCTTTGACAAATAAGAATTTGCAATCGTTGTTGAGAAAATCCTCGTCAAATGACGACCCTGTTTCCCCTACAGCCGTAACTTTAGATATGGACCAATTTGCCAACGAACAACGACAACTTGCTGCCACAACCCCCTGGCGCGACGATGCCGACAATGAAAGATACTCGATTTCCGAATTTGGCGAGTCCAACCCTTCATCAGAACACTCCAGCGATTCAACCTCACTAGACGATGTGTGTTTCCCTGATTTTAGAGAAGATATAAAAACCACCAACAACTGGCCCGATTTGCAAGTATTGGAAGAGTACATCAAAGAGGAAATGGAAGAGTTCCATGAAGAACAGGAAGCAGTGGTGAATTTTGGTAAAGACATCATTCATGACGAAGATCAACCAGCTACCGAAAACACCCCGTTAATGAACAACTACAAAGTGAATGAAGTAGAATCATTGGATCTGGTCAACCAGTCATTCAAGATCCGTCCCACTCCAATTCAACCTTGGGAACACTCTAGACAGAGTATCCATCCTGTATCTAAACATGACGGCAAAGAAGTATGCAGATTTACATATTTCCGTGAGGAGTTGCCAAAAACTATTCATGCACCTACAATACTGGGGTTGGTGGAAGATAAATCCAAGATCCTTGAAAGTCTCCAAGAACTATTCCCTGTCTCTGTTTCAAAACCACCATCAGTGCATACCAAAATAGATTCCATTTCATCTTCCAATTTACCTCATTTGACAAAATCACGTCCCGAAACGCCGCTTCCTGCTGATGGTGTTGATAGAAGAGAACCCTTTTGGCTTGACGTGCTTGACCCGACAGAAGAAGAAATGAAGGTTCTTTCCAAGACATTTGGTATCCATCCGTTAACCACCGAGGATATTTTCCTCGGCGAGGCTAGAGAAAAAGTCGAACTATTCAAATCATACTATTTTGTTTGTTTTACTTCGTTTGATGTTGTCTATGAGAAGAGAAGACAACGTGCTAAAGAACAAGAAAAGAAACTCAACAAGTTGCAAGAAATGTACGAAAGTGGATCTGACCATGGAAGTGTGCTTGAATCCCACTCACCATTTAGATTATTGAAGAATTTATTCCACTCCAAGAGGAAACTGACATCTTTTATTGAGAAACAATCAAGCACTTCAATGAAATCCCATGGCAAGAAAATCCGTGAAGGGGAGTTGCTGCCTTTAAACATGTACATCATTGTATTCAAAACTGGGGTAATTACTTTTCATTTTTCACCAACACCTCATCCTATAAATGTCAGACGACGTGCCAGAATGTTGAAAGATTACCTCTCAGTTACATCAGATTGGATCTGCTATGCTTTGATTGATGATATCACGGATTCTTTTGCACCAATGATTGAAACTATAGAAACAGAAGTGAATTCCATTGAAGATGCTATTCTAAAGATGCATTCAGGAGACTCGGATTCAGACGACGATAGTGATGATGAAACTGCTCCACAAGAAAATTTCCACATATGGAGAAAACGTTCCAAATCAATGGTTGATACCCAATCAGGTCCAAGATTAACTAAATCCAGTTCAAGTTCAAGCAGTTCCCGCTCAACTAAAATCCTTGCCTGGAGAAGAAAAGGTGATATGTTACGACGTATTGGTGAATGCAGAAAAAGAGTAATGCTGGTAATGCGTTTGCTTTCCGCTAAAGCTGATGTCATCAAAGCATTCAGTAAAAGATTTAACGATTTGGAAGGTGCTCAACTGGAAATTGGTATGTACTTGGGCGATATCCAAGATCATATAGTAACCATGTTGCTGGCACTTGGGCATTATGAGAAGCTTTTGGCAAGATTCCATTCCAACTATTTGGCACAAATCAATATTGACATGACCAAAGTTAATAATGACACAAATGACGTTTTGGGTAAGATTACTATATTAGGTACAATTGTGTTACCAATCAACGTGGTAACAGGGTTATGGGGTATGAACTGTATTGTCCCCGGACAAGATTATGAGGGATTGGCATGGTTCTGGGGAATTGTTGCAGGTATGGCATTATTTAGTATTGTGGCCTATAACTACGCTCGCAGAGTGACAGGCTTGTGAAATATACAGAATTTTTTTTTTTTTTTTTCTTGTTCGTCTGGTTATAACGAATTTCAGGCTGAGTAAATTTTTTATACTCTGCTCGCCACTTTCTTTCGTTTGCTATCAAACAACCATGTCTCTTCAAATGTCCTTGGCGTTCTGCACCTTAATTGGCCCGATGGCAATCTTGCTAACTTTAGTTTTGCCATTGCCTTATGTTGTTAGACAAAAAATTGTCGATATTACATTTGCTTTGCAGAAAAACCAGAATTTCAGAGTTGGTGTCGTGTTTTCAATTGTCTTGATGGGAATGCAACTTTTAGACTGTGTACAGAGATTAAGAAAATACGCTGACATTGAAAACCCTAACTTTCCTGGAATTGACTATGATAGATTGGCCAGTAAATTCTACTCCCAAAGAAACCTTTACTTGAGTGGAGCCATTTTGTATTTGCAAGTTGCAATTGGAACCGTTGTCACCATTGTTAGAAAGATGGTCTTGAAGGAAAAACTCTTCCGCCAATCCAAAACAAACACCGTTGATGATGCTGCTGAAGTTGAAAAATTAAAACATTTGATTGAATTGAAACAACAAGATATTGATGTATTTAAAAAGCAAGTTGCCAATTTACAAAAGGCATACGACACATTAACCCCAGAAGAGAAAAAGGGTAAAGATGAATAAGAAGGTTATACATTAAAAACAAATATACACACACAGAGATACGCAAGTTTTAGGAATGTCCACTGTAGCTTCCGGAAACAATATTTCTAAAAGTAGGAATCTCTTGATCACCAGCATAGATACTGGCATACTTAAAAGGTGGGTCCCTAACTTGGAATTTTATTTGAACACCAGACTCATGTTCAGAACCAAGACCATTGGTCATAAATCTAGCAATGAGTCGTTCTTCTCCATTCAAATTGAGTGGTTCGGTGTATCTCCAGGTAATTCTGTTCTTTTCTTCATTAAATGTACCTTGTGGCTTAGAAGATGCCGAAGTAGCCTGGATATCTCTATTTAACGCAACAGAAACAACAAAATTCTCCAATGTCAAAGGAGTGGTGGAACGAATACTTATCATCAAACTTGATTGATGTGGCTCAAACTTCCAAATTTGTTGGATTATAATCGGTACTTCTGTTGGCTTGACAAGATACTTCAACCCACCAAGAGTCTTTGCAGTGATGGCACCAGGATTGATTCTATAATCACCTTCACCTAAATCTTCCATAAACGTCTTGTTGACAAGAATTTTGTCAAACTTGTTTGGAATATTCACCAAGATTGGTTCAGACGGATTACCATTGTAATTAAACGCAATTTCTCCCACAACCTGTGATTTCTGTAATTGACCATCTTTGAAACTCACATTGATCACTTCGGCAATAGATGAACTCAATCCAGAGGTAGCAGCTAAATTCTGGTGCTTGAAATCATTCTTCATTAATGTATGACCAGTATCTTGACTAACGAGCGGAGCAATAATCGAGTCTCGACCAGAAGTAGTACTGCTAGTAGTAGTAGCAGCAGCAGGCAAGTTGTGGAACACGGCTGAGTCTCTAACAGAAGGCTCTTCATGATGCAACACTTTTCTTGATGGTGGTGGTGGAGGTGCAAGCGATTTTTCAGGAGACAAGTTTGGATCAGGTAAAGCTACATTGAACCCATTTTGTTCTGTTCTTGGAGTGGTGACAATTGGTTTAGCATCATCTCCTGCCTCAAACGAATAGATGCCATCACTGCTATGTCTTGAACCCGGAATCAATGTCGTTGGAGCAGGCGCTTGTGAATTGAATGGCGAAGTCACAGGAGGCGTTACTAAATCATGCTTCTGAAGCAATGAACCTCGGCGTTCTTCAGTAGATGAATCATCAGTGTCATTATACTTTACCACATTTGGAGACTCAACTGGTTCTGGTAACGGTTTAGAAGGCAATTGTTCTTTCTTTGATTCAACAGGAGGTTGTGGTGGAGGTGGAGGAGGAGAAGGAGTTGCTGGTTCTTCAACTTGTTTTTGGTATGGGTGGGCGTCTCTTTCTTCTGTACCGTGTGCACCAGCAGCAAATGACCTTCTGGTGGATGTATTACGTGACAACAATGACGATGTTCTTGTTCTTGTTGGAGGTAAAGACACTTCAGAAACTGATCCATCTTCAGGGATGATTTCTCCACCTGTAAATTTGCTTTCCTTCTTTTTCTTTCTACCAAAAATAGATCCCACTCTTGATTTTAGTTTGGATGGTTTCTTGGGAGATTCTGCCAGTGGAGTTGTAGGAACAGGTGCAGTGGATGATCTACCAAATGAACTTAAACGCTTGTTCTTAAGATGATGGTGTGGTGGAGGTGGGGCTCCGTGACCATTATGGCTTGGAGGAGAAGCAAACTGTGTTGAGACCAAATAGTCCAATTGACTCTTCATCTCCGTATCAAACTTGAAGCTACCCAACAAGTAATTGGTTGAATTTTCATTGTTCTTCAAATCAGAAGAAAACTTCCCATTATTAATTTGGAAAAAATTCAAAATAATATCAAACATCAATTGCACTTCCAATTTTTTAAAGTCTTCCAAGTTTTGGAATGTTTGTGGCGCTTTATAATTCCATTGCATTTCTCCATCACGGTCCAAATTACTACTAATCTCTTGAAGTTCTTGACCATTGACAATCAACTCCGAAACTCTTACGTCTTTTTCAATCAATTGTCTTAATGGATTAATGATTTCCAATTTGATATTCTTATTAGCAATTTCATTATTTTCATGTTCAGTCTTGATAGCATTGAGCAAACAATTCCAATTACGAGGAAAATTGTTGAATCCAATACTACTGCGTTGAGAAATCTTGTTTGCATCATCAATCAATGCCTGCAATCCGTGATTGTATTTCTCCAACGTGGTACTATACTGCCTGAACCAAGCAATCAAATCTTTATTCACACCTGTAGATCCAGTAAGAACATTAGGGATAATAGCTGCAGCCTGGACCGGCGTCTTAGACGTTAAGATTGTAGTTGCGTAGTTAAAGTCTTGATCTGTCATTATCGTTATAGCGGCAAAAATAAAAGCTTCAATATTATATTCTCCACCGTTTTGGTTTTGTTGTTTTTCCAAAGTTTTGTCTCCTCCCCAATTGGCATTCTCGGATTGAATGGAAAAAAAAAGCGAAAATTTCGCATATTCTCATGATCTTTTTTGTTCACAGATACACGCCCGTCACGTGATGCGATGTTAAAACCATCATCACTCCTAGGTTGCAAATTAAACTTATTAACCACAAAACAAACCCTACTCCTCAACTCTACTCCTCAAGGTGGAGAGAACAACATCCAGCCTTATAATTGTTATTTAGTTAAGAGTATTTTTTTTTATATTTTTCTTGGATCTTGATAACACAATCAGCCAATGGTAACGTTTAAACGAAGTAGCTCGTGATGGGAGAAGTGCGTGGGGCAATTATGTTGTTTTAAATGACGTACATGTCAGACGTGCAAGAAAGCAATGTGTAGATATGCATACGCTTTAGAGATTAACTCATCAAACATTATCGTCTCTCTCTCTCTCGCTCTCTCTCACATGAAATCGTTTAGAATTTTTGAATTTCATTGGCTCTAAAGATCGGCGATATTGAGGTATTCCTGCATACAGCTTATCTATTAATTTTTCAATTCTCGGTTTTGTGTACACTTTAGGGTTTCAATCAAGTTTTAGTTTGTACAATTTTCTTGGGCTTCATTGTATGAGGATAATCACAACTGGGATTCTATTGGATGATAAAACTACGAACGATGATTCAAATATAGATAACTAAAACGTTACAAATCCTTGCAATACGAGAGATGGCAATATATAAGCACTCGATTCCCATTGGAATTGGAATTGGATTCTGGTTTTGAATCTTTTTGTTTATCTCATCAAAAGTAATTTAACTTATCTACAACCAAAAATAAAAATATGTCAAACTTCACAGATTCTGGTACTGGAGGTGATGTTTTCAAAGTCGACTTAAATGACCAATTCGATCGTGCCGATATGGTATGGATTGGAACAGCAAGTGTTTTGGTGTGGATCATGATTCCAGGTGTTGGTCTCTTGTATTCAGGTATTTCGCGTAAGAAGCACGCATTGTCATTGATGTGGGCTGCTTTGATGGCTGCATGTGTAGCTGCCTTCCAATGGTTCTGGTGGGGTTACTCGTTGGTGTTTGCCCATAATGGGTCTAAATTCTTGGGAACTTTACAAAACTTTTGTCTTAAAGAAGTTTTAGGTGCTCCATCTATCGTGACTACCTTGCCAGATATTTTGTTCTGTTTATACCAAGGTATGTTTGCTGCTGTCACCGCCATTTTGATGGCAGGTGCAGGTTGTGAACGTGCAAGATTGGGTCCAATGATGGTGTTTTTGTTTATCTGGTTGACTGTTGTCTATTGTCCAATTGCCTATTGGACTTGGGGTGGTGACGGTTGGTTGGTCAACTTGGGTGCCTTGGATTTTGCTGGTGGTGGTCCAGTCCATGAAAACTCTGGATTCGCTGCCTTGGCTTATTCACTTTGGTTGGGTAAGAGAAACGATCCTGTTGCAAAAGGAAAAGTTCCAAAATATAAACCACACTCTGTTTCCTCTATTGTTTTAGGTACAGTTTTCCTTTGGTTTGGATGGTACGGGTTCAATGGTGGTTCTACTGGTAACTCATCAATGCGTTCATGGTATGCTTGTGTTAATACCAACCTTGCTGCTGCCACTGGTGGTTTGACATGGATGTTTGTTGATTACTTCAGAACTGGGGGTAAATGGTCCACCGTCGGTTTGTGTATGGGTGCCATTGCTGGTCTTGTGGGTATTACTCCAGCTGCTGGTTTTGTCCCAGTCTATACTTCAATTATCTTTGGTATTGTTCCAGCTATCATCTGTAACTTTGCTGTTGATTTGAAAGACTTGTTGCAAATTGATGATGGTATGGATGTCTGGGCTTTGCACGGTATTGGTGGTTTTGTTGGTAACTTTATGACTGGTTTGTTTGCTGCTGATTATGTTGCGATGATTGACGGTACCGAAATTGATGGCGGTTGGATGAACCACCACTGGAAACAACTTGGATACCAATTGGCCGGTAGTGTTTCTGTTGCCGCCTGGTCATTTGTTGTCACCTCCATCATCTTGTTGGCTATGGATAGAGTTCCATTCTTGAGAATCAGACTTCATGAAGATGAAGAAGCCTTGGGTACCGATTTGGCCCAAATTGGAGAATATGCATACTATGCTGATGACCAAGACCCAGAAACTAACCCATACGTCTTGGAACCAATCAGAAGTTCTCATGTCCAACAAAAGCATGACGAGCCAATGGCAGCAATCGATGGTGTTGTAGATGGTTCAAGTAACAACGAATCTGGCGAAGCCAAAGTGTAATTTGTTTAGTTAATTTTTCTTCTTTAATTTGTTTTTATTCTTTATTTCCCATACTTTTTTTTAGTTGTAATTATATCTTAATGTATTTCGTTTATTTTTTTTTTTCCTATATATCATTTCTTAAAATTGAATGCAGAACGACAAAGTGGACAAGTTGCACTTCCTGAACTCTTGAACCATTTATAAAGACATGCAGCATGGAATTTGTTAGAACATGTTGGACATGTTTTGGATGGTAAAGATGTGTCTTGGTGAAGAATAGAATAACAAATTGCACAATCTTCAAATCCAGAGAAATGTAAATTAACATTCTTGCAGAATAACTCGATTGCCTCCACAATTGAACCAAATGAGATAACTCTTCGAGATGCCAATAACCATGCTTTCCATTGATTTTCCTTCACACCCAATCGAAGTGGTCCATCCACGGTAACATTGTCCAACGGGTAGTTGCTTGGAACTCGTACAACCATCTCCATCTTTTGGTCGTCAATTAAATAAGTCAATCTAATTTCTTTGGCAACAAGATTAACTTTTATTTTCATATTCTCATCGCTACCTTGGATTCTATCTTTTTCCTTTGTTACCTGATCAAGGACATGTGATATCAATATCGGTGATACATAGTTAATGGTGAACTTCTCAACTTTGTTCTTAAACTGCTTGTCTCTGATTTCTTTAAACCAAAGTTGTACTTGTGATCCACAATATTGCACACACTTGTAGTAAATATTAACCGCAAGGTACTTCAACTCATAATCCAATGGTTCCAGCTTGCTTGTTTCAATCAAATCATACTGTGGAATAATGTTCTCCTCTCCAACAATCAAAGTGCTGAAAAATTTCTCATCAAATTGTAAATAATCAAAAATAAAATCAAGGAGAATCAAAAGGTCGTGTGATATTTGGTTGACATAATCACTCTTGATTTTCAAAGTTACATCTTCAAAATGCAGGAAAATGAGATACCATGTCCATAAATATCGGGTTATGTCGAAATTCTTGTCGTTGATCATGTTCATGAAACCACTAGAGATTTCTGCTTGTTTGTCGTCCTTAGATAATTGATACTCAACGACAAAATCCAGTTGGTCAGCTAAAATGATCTTGAACAAATACCAAGCACACATTCTTTGTGTATCAACCAGTTTAGACTTGCTGAAAATCTCCATGACCTGTTCCTTTCTAGGTTTGACTTCACGTCTCTGCAATGCACGATGCAAAGTATCTTGAACCAAAACACTGGCCTGGTTTTCCTTAGGAGTAAAATCCAAGAAAATATCCAACAACTCTTGATCAAACCCTTGTTTTATAAATTTCAAAGTGTAATAAAGCAAATCCAATCTCTCTGGTTGGAGCTGGATTATTTCAAGGTTATTCTCAATGAGCTTTTCTGTCAATTCATAATAAACATCAGGCAAATCTGATTGATTGATGTACCCCAAAAATCTAACCAACTGAACACGCATGTCGATAAACTCGTCATCATATGCAAGTGTTGAATCTAACCAATCGTTCATCAAGTTGAAAACCATAGTAAGTTTATGGATGGGGAAACTACTTTCCCCAGTTTGCATAAACGCCAAACATAATGATACCCAAGTCAACCCATCACTCATTATTTGTTCTTCCTTTTTAACCGACAAAATCTCTGAGAATATGTAGTTTTTAAGACGATCATACTTGGTAATGAATTTCAACACCCCATTGATGATCCCAGCAAACTTCAAAGGTGTCTTGACAAGACTGGTTTTGATTTCATAATCGAGTACTGACTCCAGTTCAACAGAGTTTTCAAGGGCTCGTTTGATTATCCTGGCAGCGTAAAACGCTTGAACATCATTACCCTCAGCAAGAACAAAACAAGATTGCAATGGACCCTCACTGTCAATAAGCTCCGCAAAAGTGTACTGATTGAAATGAACAGCAATCCTACCTTCCAACTTGGACAATACATCAACCACTGGTTCCGATGGATTTTCTTTAATTAAAAGATAATCCGCAATGTATTCCCTGACGAGCAACATCAACTGGGAAACATTGCTTTCATGGGTTAAGAGATTACCAATCACCGGAATAAAATCGTTGATGCTACCAGGCGTGGAGTGACACAAATATACCATCAGGGCTAATGGATTAGAAACTGCCACAGTACTTTTGTCAATTTGTTCCATTGACCGTTGAAGCTCTTCATCAAAGTTTGGTAATGGTCCATCTTTGACAAACTCATAAAAGTCCAGTAAATCTGTTTCTGTGGTTGTTGATTTAAGATACCTCATCATGGAAGTAACATACTTATCTTGGTGCTGCTTCAATTCGAATAAAAATTGCTGATTCAAACTACTCCACGCAGATTGCATCACCAGTGATATGTCTTGATCTATGATAGTGGATAAAAGATTATACTTGTTAATGATATCCACAGTCAAATCCATGTTCAGCAAAATATCCTTATCTTTACAAAGCCTTATCACAGTTTCATTGACCCCTCTTTTCGATACTTCCACTAGATACGAATAAATATCAGGGTGATCTTGTTTATTAACCGCTAGGTCGAGTTTTTGTAAGAAGGAATCAACAAGATCGGGTTTGACAATTGAAAGCTTGAAGAAAAAGTCATTTACTGGAATTTCTGCCAGCTTAGCGGTAAAGAATAAATTGAGTACTGGATCAATATGGTCCTCTTCGAGATATGAAGGTAACTCCAGCAAAAACTCTTGCACTTCAGGGATAGGGTGGGATTCTTGTTGTATGTACAAAGCAATTATATCGAATGACGCTTCTTCAACAGCCAGCCTGACAATATCTTCAAGTACGTCAGTCAATCCAACAGATCGCAAAACTTTAAAATAGTTGCCCATAATCGCCTGGTCCGGTTTTTCTATAACAAAACAATCCTTCATATCCTCCTTGTAGTTGTCAGATAATACCTTGAGAACTTCGGAATTATCTCGCGGCATGAATTGTAAAACCTTGGTTAGAATAGTAGAGAAATTAGTATTGACTTGGAAACATTCAATAACGGTGAAAATACAATCCAATGCAGCGGCTTTGAAACGAGATTCTTTGATCAAAACCCCTATAATAAAATCAAACTCTTCTTGGCTTGTGAAATCAATAACCATATTCATTTCTTTTAATTGGATGAAAACCTGTTTAACTAACTCATAATACTTCCCACTCAGATTACAAGAACCCACTTTGAAATACTCGTAAAACTTGGAGGATGCCTTACTACCACCGTAGTCCCAGAAATTCTTCTTTAACTTATGGTCTATGCCAAACATCGTCATCTTGAGAATACTTTGCCAAAACTGTAAAATTACATTGGAATAAATAATCGGTTGACTCGATTTAAGCTTTATCTTGAAGAATTTTTTGGAAATCAACTTGTACAATGACTCCATCGCCTCATTTGGCATGCTGATAATGAGCGACAATAATGTTCTAAGTAATGCTAAATCATCTGTTCTCATGTGATCCCACACTTGATCAGAGTTCAACACATTCACTTGCTCTAGGGGATACTTTGCCAACATATTTATTGCTCCAATTAATGCACGGTTGTATTTCATAGTCATCTCAGATTCGTTGGTGTATCTTTTATCGGACAAGGTTTCCTCAGTTTCAATATTAATGATCGTAGCAATCAAATTGATTATCTGTTCTTTGAAAATCATCCATGTCTTCTCTAACTTTTCAGAATCAAATGTACTTGATAATGTCTTGAATGCTGTGGATGACACAGATTTGTCTGTATCATAAAGTCCCATCAACCAAATAGGCAATGAGCTTTTCAAGTATTTACTAAATGCTTTGCCTCCAACTATTGATAGAAACCGCTCTTGAATCTGATGACACAACAGACGAACAACTCTTGAATTGTCTAATGCTAGCTTGGGATACATTTGGATCCATGAGATAATAGTCATATCTTCAACGTCAGTAACCCCAAGTAACTCCTGTAATGCTTTTTCTTTTGTTTTTGGGTCTTTTTTTGATAAGGACTTGAAAATGACAACAATGTCAGGATTTGGAATTAACGAAACATCTGGGAGTGCAGTTATGTAGTTCAATGAAACTGGGAAGTCATTATATCCTAAATCTCCCATATGGTCTAGTGACATTGTTTCTGACTGGCAATTGGAAATAGATATTCAAATAGGAACAGTAACGAAAAATTTTCTACTTTCATTTTTTTCTTTTTTATTATTTTATTTTATTTTCAGTTGCTCTCGCACGACTGGAAAAGATGCTTTCTACTTTTGTGTGTATTACATAATGTCTATTTAACTTTTATCATCACCACTGTTATGTCATCTTCTTTCCCTCCGAGGTACTTTTGACCAGTTAATCTTGACAACTCTTGAGCGAATGCACTTGGAAAATTGCTGTCTTTGCTGACTCTGACAACTTCCTTGACAAATTTACTGGCAACTTCATCTAATCTTGAATTCTTTTCGTTATCTTTTAAAAACAATTCCATATCTTGAGGTATCACGTTATCTGTGACACCATCAGTGGCAAACATCACAATATCACCTGAACGCAAGTCCCAAGTATATTCATCTGCAGATGTCGGAGAGTCAATAATGTATCTACGACCCTCTATTTCTGCTTTTCTGACAATTTCTTTGGGTATTTTGGCCAACTGGTAAGGTGTGTTGAAATTGTGGGTTTGGAAATTGGTTTCATTGATCAACTTTGAATCTCTAAATAAACCACACCATGAGTCTCCAAGATTGGCAACATGCAATTTCAAATCTGCGGTTAAAACTCCCAAACAAGCAGTGGTACCTCCAATTTCTACTTTTGAAGAAGCCAAAACATCTTTGAAAGCTGATGATAACAATTCCTTTGGTGTTTTTCCACTATCGCCTTCAAATTGACTCTTGATTGATGCACATAACTCACGAGAAATTGCTGATGAATCGTATCCTGCTTCGGACCAGCCCCCAACTCCATCGGCCACACCAACTGCTATTGATCCAGCAACTTCTTTTGAAACAAACAAATTGTCTTCACCCGATGGTGAATCCAAAGAGGCACTCCGTTGCTTCCTCTTGAACATATTTGATTCTTCACGATCTTTAGGTTGAAATGCCACCGCAATGTTATAATGTGAAACAGTTGTTAATGCGCTATCATAGTTCAAAGATGCTGCAGACGCAGTTGCTGATGGTGAAGATGCAGTTGAATAACTATTGGTACTACCCTTGCTGTAACTATTCCATGATGATTGTGAAGACGATGAGGAACTAAAGGATTTTGTAGTGGCAGCTTTCAAAAACTGACGGGCCACAAATGTGGTATTCTTCTTGGAAATTACCGATAAAAGCATTGAAATGATTAAAATGAAACAACAAAATCCTAATGCTCTACAAGATATCATCACCTAAAAGTATACAAAAAAAAAAAATTTAGAAACAGTGTGTTTTGTTTTTTTGGTTACAAAATGCCTCTGGAAAAAAAAAAAAAAAAGAAATAAAATAATATTCGGGGAACATCAACGGGTCACGTGTCGTGTTTTGAGAACCAATCAAAAAAAGTTAGGAAAAACTTCATTCAAGAAATGAAGAAAAAAAAAAAAAAGTGAAAAGAAATTGTTGAATAACTCGATATACTCCCTGTGCAAGACATAAACACACATACCATATATAACTCCAACAATGTCTACATTTAATGTTTTAAGATACTCCCTCTTGGGTGCTGGTATTGTTTACGGTGCTTACAGCAGATACTCCATTGAATCTGCTCACCACAACCAAGAAGCCGCTAAGAAATGGAGAAAAGAAGAAAGATTAATCCAACAAGCCAAAGCTGAATACGCCAAGTTAAATGCTCCAAAGAAAGAAGCCACCACTACCACTTCTGGTTCAATCAATTGGGAAGATCCAAACTTGGACATTGGCAAAGCCTTGGAATCTTTAATTCAAAAATTGGACTAAAAAGGTATAACGATTGTCCTAGATTGTGATGAGGTTCGGTTCTGTTAGAAATAGGAAGACTGCCATTACTGTACATTAGTTGATTTATTATTTACGTTTAGTTGCTATTCTGAAAATAAGAAATGCTTTGCAAAAGTAATAAGTTTATTTATCTATCTATATATATATATATACATCTACATATTCGGGAAATATCCAATATCTTGTAATCCGATACCTTGTAGCAATACATGTAACTCCTTCGTTTCTCTAAGGTGCAAATTTGACCGTGGTTAAAATTAATACTTCGATGTGGAGAAATTTGGTTCTCCCACGGAAAAAAAAAAGTCATAATCAATTCAACTTTATCTCATATAACGGCAAATAATCAACCCAATGAATAAGCAACTACCATTTGCCGATGCTGCTACTATAGGTATGTATATCAAGTCCATTAATCATCTTACAATGATCAAATTACTAACTATCATCGCAGTTCGTGCACATCAAAAGGATGCGTACTTCGAGTCTTTGTACAAATCTCTGTTACAAGACATTCTCCAATTCATCAAGGGCCAACGTTTCATTAACGCTTATCCACAAGAAATTGGTGTTCTAGCAAAGGCTTTGTATTTACTGTTGACCACATTATTGGGAGCACGTACATTGGGTGAAGAGTATGTTGATTTGGTTTATGTGAATAGAACAGGAAAGACACTTCCGAGATTATTGCCCAGACTAGGATTTGTGCTCTCTTACGCTTTAATTCCATATATCATCAGTAAAATAGTTAAGCGGTTAAAGAATCAGGAAGAAACAGGTGGACTGTGGAGCAGCTATTACAAAGTGTTGGATACATTTTTGAATTTACATGTTGCATTGTTCTATTTCCAAGGTGAGTTTTACTCACTTTCAAAACGTATTTTTGGATTGCGTTATGTTTTTGGCCATCATAAACAACCTGAACAGATTCAGAGCGGTAACTATTCGTTATTAGGTGGTATCATAGTATTGCAGTTCATTGTCAAAACACTCATGAAATTGAAAACAAAGGAGACTGAGGAAGCTTATGAAACCAACGATGATGATTCAAAAATCAAGTCAATAAACCAATTGTCCCAATTAAGTGAAAATTATTCTCCTGAGTTTATTATTGATTTATCTGATGAAAAACAGTTACCTTATTTGCCTGAATCGTCAAGAAGTTGTATGTTGTGCTTATCCCCAATGGTGAATCCTTCTGCCGCCAACTGTGGGCACATGTTTTGCTGGGACTGTATAGTAGATTGGATCAGAGAACATCCCGAATGTCCATTATGTCGTCAACAATGTTTAGAACAACACTTGTTACCGTTGAGATGAAGTCACTTGTATCTACAAATGAGATTATCACTAAATGCACGTCCTGAAACACGCACCAACGAAACACAAAACAACAAAAAGAAAGAAAAAAAAATTTCAGGTTCATTTTTTGTTTTTCTTCTTCTTCTCTCTCTTTTCTCTCAAGCTGAGCGAGATTGATTTGAGTAGTAAAGAAAAAAAAATTTTAGAAGGAACAACAACATTAAGCTTTTCCAAAATACACTCAAGCCCACCATGTCTGAACTTCCTACTGATCTTGAGGATTCGTATTCCAAGACTTTTAAACCGCATAAGAAACATTCGTTTGATGTCTCCGTGATAACTGACTTTGTTGCGAAATATAAAAAGATTGTGTTATTGTTCGTAACATTTATATGTTTGTCATTGTTCACCAATGTTCCATACATCCCACATTTCAAACAATCTGCACCAAAAGTTGTCATCATATTGGCAGCAAATGAAGGAGGTGGTGTTTTGAAATGGAAGTCACCTCAAGAATGGTCCGTTGAAAGATCTTCAATTGCCAACAAGAAGAACTATGCCAAGATTCATGGTTATGGTTTAACTATCAAGGATATGACTATCAAGAAGAGATACTCACATGAATGGAGAGAAAGTTGGGAGAAAGTTGATATTTTGAAACAAACCATGAGACAATTCCCAGATACAGAATGGTTTTGGTGGTTGGATTTACACACTTATATCATGGAACCACAAATTTCTTTGGAGGAACATTTCCTTAACAAGTTACAGAATGCTACTTACAGAACCTTGGATACTTTCAATCCATTAAACTTACCTGTTGATGTTCCTTATACTGATTATGAACAGCCAATCGATATGGTGATCACCCAAGATTGTGGTGGCTTTAATTTGGGTTCTTTTTTGATCAGAAGATCAGATTGGTCCGAAATGTTATTAGATGTTTGGTGGGATCCAGCAATGTATGAACAAATGCACATGCAATGGGAACACAAGGAACAAGATGCTTTGGAAACATTGTACTCCACTCAAGCTTGGATTAGAGAAAGAATTGGGTTTTTGCCATTAAGACATATAAATGCTTTCCCACCTGGTGCTTGTTCCGATAAAGCAGATGATCCACAATACTTCTTTCAAGACCATGACTTTGTGGTAAACATGGCTGGTTGTGAATGGGGTAGAGATTGTTGGGGAGAAATGGAGCATTACAAGGCTTTATCTAAGAAACTTCACAAGAGATGGTGGAAGTTCTGGGAGTAAATAGGATTATGAAGTAGTTGTAATAAAGTAACTAGGCAATGAAACAAAAAATAAAAGAAAAAATTGAGTAATATTATGTCAACAGAAAAAGAAAAACCGAGTACGAAAAAAAAAAAATAGTAGAAAAAAAAAAAAAATCAACAAACCAATATTCTACACCATCTATATTCAAGTTGTACACCAAGGTTTTTTCATCATGTCGGATTGGTTAAACGAAAATGCGTTTAACGATAACAATAATAATGATGATTTTTTAAACTCTATTTTTGATCAAAATCAAGGCGAACAGCCTATGTCTGCACCACCTCCTCCACCACCTCCTCCACCACCGCAGCAGCAACAACAACAACAACAACAACAACAACAACAACATACGCCAGTCTCGGTACCACCTCCCCCACAGCCAGTTCCAACTCCTACTATGCAGCAGCAACAACAACAAATGTATCAACAGTCTGTACCTATGAATTCAAATACTCAACAGATGCAAGGACAACAACGTCCTCCTCAACAACTTAAGCAAGAACAATTGTTCCGTATGAAACAACAATTGTATCAACAGCAAATCCAACAGCAAATGCTCAAAAAACAACAAGAAAACTTATCAAACCACGCTTCACCAATGAATCCACTGGTTCCAACTCCACAACAGAACACTCCTATTATTCAAAATGCCAAACAACCACATCCACAGGCACAAGCACAACACAACAACGCTAAGTTACAGTCGATGCAAATAGAGTTGTTCTTATCTGTGTTGTATGATTTCTTGCAACGTAGTGGTGTTCAAATTCAACAACCATTATCTGTCAATGGCAAACGAATCAATTTATTTGTCATTTATGTATTAAGTCAGAAAATGGGTGGACACAGAATGATGAAGGCATTTCTTCTGATGTCGCCAGAGCAACAGCGTATGCAACAACAAAATCCATGGACCTTGATGGCATTAAAAATGGGATTCTATGAAGGTGTTGAGGATCAGATGACCAAGGAAAGAATCGATAGGGAAATTTGCAACTGTTACACAAACTTCATTTTACCATACGAAGAGTATTATGCTACTCCTGGTGGAAGCAAGGACATCGAGGCTAGTAAACATAGATTCCAGCAACAAATTGTTCAAAAATATCTGTCGAATGCCCCTACTCCAGCGCCAATGCAACAAAGTCCGATGATGAGTAGCGCACCTACTCCACACCAACAAAGAAAGCTTTCTCGAGCCAGTAACTCTGTCCATAATTCTCCGAATGTTAATTCTCCATACCAAACCACCCCACGTCAATCTCAAGCTCCGGTACCAGTAAACGTACCTGCACCAGCTTCAGCACAGACACCAGTTCCAGTTCCAGTTCCAGCACCAACTCAAAATTCGGTACCCCCATCAGCCCCGCCGCAACCTGTTGTTCCTGTTGCGCCTCCAGTAAAAAAAGAAGTATCAAAAGAAGAAGCTCAAATCTTGAAGAACTATTCACCGTTCAAAAAGATTGTTGACACTCACGGTCCGTACAACATTAGAGAGTTGTCACAGTTGGCAAGCGAAATCGAGGTAACCAAACCGGTATACTTATTTGCTCCTGAATTGGGTATTATAAATCTCCAAGCATTGACCATGTCGATTAAAAGCAACAATGGTATTCAGAGTGCTGAAGTAGTCAATGCTCTTAATACGTTGTTAGTGGCAACTTCTGACGCTACTTACTCATTTCAAATCAAAGATTGTATGGAACTTTTAGATGGATTGTCAGTTTTGGGTAAAGACACTTTAAATAAAATTATGGGAGTGAGAAAAGAAGACGAGATTGCAATTCCAGATGTCACCAAGTTGTCTAGCAATGGTCGTATTGATGATGTGTTTTCCCGCTACGTGAAGGGACAGGGTGAGGATATTCTGTATGTTGTAAATTCCCTTACTGGTGAGGTGGTTTCTGACGAAGAAGACGATATGGATGAAATCTTTTCCATTGTACAAGATTCAGTTCAGAATGGTGATTCACCAATGGAAGTTGATGAAGATACAGAAAGGGATGTTACCAGCTTTCATTTAGATGACTATCTTACTGCATTGCAAAATTTCAAACTGGAAAACAAGCATCACTTCAGCAAAATTCAAACTAGAAGTGCCATGGATGATCAAATTATGCTAGTGGACCAATTGGTAACGATCACGATGATTTTGAGAAATATTTCATTCGCTGAATACAATAAGGAGTTATTAGCTGGTAATCGACTCTTTAAGGACTTATTATTCTCCATTGTTAAGAACATTGGCTTAGATAACGATAAGTTTGTTTACAGCCGTAAAAGATTATGTTTGTTGAAAGACTGTCTTTTAATGTTGGATAATATTGCCTTATACACGCATTTGCACACTTTGGAAGAAGCGTTCTTGTCTTTTGTGTTGGTTGCATCATTCGGTCCAAAGATTGAGGACAACTACAAGATTCCACGTTGTAACCTTGATGCTCATTCCTATTTTTCCTTTGGAATTGATGCATTCACTAAATTGATGGTTAGGGAGCCGTACAACAGATCTTTGATCCAAGCTGTGCTCAATGGTACATTGAATGCAAGCTTAACGGGATATTTGGTGAGCTTGCAGGATCAGGAATATACCAGAAAGTTGATCAAAGCCTACGCACCAGATTACAAATCTGCCACGCTTTTAACCCATGCTTTCCAAATGTATATGAGCATATTACCATTTGATGGCAATACTTTTGAGTTGTCAAAGTTTATATTCACCAGAAGTCCTACAATCTCCCAGATGTTATTTGGAGCCAAATTATTAATCGACATGGCCCCAGTTGATGATTTAAATACTCATCACAACAAGTTGTCGCTTTATTGGTTATTGGAGAACAGAGAAGTTATACTCGGAAATTTCGCTAGAAGTATTGTTGCTTTATCTACAGAAACCGGGAAGTTTCCACGTGACTCGCCTGAACACAAGATTTTGTCGCTGGTGTTAAGACGTGCTTTAGTTGTTATCAACTCGTTGGTTAATCATGCTATATTGGCTAAGGATATTGAATATCAACGAGATACGGATTTAATGGATAAATTAACTGACTGTTTGGCTTTCCCAAGGATAATCCCAGATTCCATTCTAACTTTGGACACATTTTTGGCACCTACAATTGATACCAGTTTAGGTAAAGAAGTTGTAAGGTTGCTTAGATATTTGAAAGATTTGAAGGCTTGTGAGGGAATATAACTAATACAGATTCTTATCTGGAGTTTCCTGGTTGTGTTGTAATGTGCAATTTTTTATTCGCTCTTTTTCTGTGTAAGTATGTTGAAGAAAACGCAAATGCGCAATTTTTTTCCTTTTTATCTTAAATTTTTCCGATACTGTAGATATCTGTCTAATTATATGTCGTTATCTATTTACGGATACCTTCTTCTTCTTCTTTTTCTCTTCCTTTATTCCATATTGGGTATAGCGATCCTGAATATGCTTCAAAGCAAGAGTGTGTATATGTGTGCTTGAAAGTGTATATAAACGTCCTGATGTCCACTTTCCCAGTCAAAATAATTGATCCAGAGAACAACAAACATACTCCAGATATCAATCATGGCTCCTCCAGTTTTAACCCAATCTTCTACTGCTATTCCTACCACCAACTTTAATTCAGATTCTTCGACTGAGACTTTACCTGCAAGTTGGTTCTCCTCCCCTGCAATCCTTGAATTGGAAAAAAGAGCAATATTCCACAAGACTTGGAACTATTGTACCCATGCTAGTCGCTTCAAATCTGCTGGTGATTACTACACATTCAACATTACTGGTATCAACTTCTTTATTATTAAATCCAAAACTGATGGTACTTTGAAAGCTTTTCACAACGTTTGTCGTCACAGGGCCTACCCAGTTATTAGAAAGGATAAAGGATCTAGTACCATGTTGGGTTGTAAGTATCATGGATGGGCTTACAACACTGACGGTGAGTTGACCAAAGCACGTGATTACGATCAAGTTGAAGGCTTCAAGATGGAAGAAAATGGTTTGTTACCAATCAATACTCATATTACACCTCAAGGTTTGGTTTTTGTTAGTTTCAATTCCAATCCAATTCCCTTTGAAACTTGGTATTCTGGATTGACTGAAGAATTGAATGCTTTTGATTTTGATGACTACGAATACCACATGAGTTATGAATTGGATGGTGAATTTAATTGGAAAACTTTAATGGATGGATATAATGAATGTTTCCACTGTTACACCGCTCATCCAGGTCTCAAGGCTGCTTTCAAGTTAAACACCTATAAGGTCGTTCCAAAAACCCATTACTTGAGACACTTTGCCGAAATTGTTCAAAATGAAGAGAAGGAGGAAAAAGAAAAGAAATCATGGTTTGGTCTGAAAAAGGAAGAAAAACCAAAGGCAAAATCAAACAAAGCTGGTACTAATGATGGATTGTGGTTGCAAGTTTCACCAAATACAGGTATTAATTGTTATTCACCTGCATGGTATTCTATCAGAGTCTTGCCAATCACATCCACCAGAACCATTTTACAATATGATATTTATACCAAAAAAGGTTTGGAAGATGCCGGTAAGAAAGAATTTGTTGACTTTTTGCAACAAGTTGAATTGGAAGACTATGATTTGTGTGTTTTGACCCAAAAGAATTTGAACCAGGGAATTTATAAAACTGGTGTTTTACATCCAGGTCATGAAAATGGTGTGTTGTATTATCAAGGTCTTGTCAGAGACATGGTCAAGGAGCATTATGACTTGGAAGTTGCTAATGGTGGCCCTATTGATCCTGCTTCTCTTAAATCTGCTGGAGAAAGCGATGATGAGTTGGAAGGCATTTGTAAATCCTTGGAATGCGGTAAAGGTTCTGCTGTTGAATGGTAGGCTTTGTATTTCGTGTTTTTGTTTTTGTTTTTGTTTCTAGAATATATACTATGAATAAGTATCAAGTTTATTGCGATTGCAGTTGTGAAACCCTTGGTTTGACCGTGGTGATGCGGGGCTCTCACTTTTCCTCTCGGCCGAATTCTGCCATAAGAACAACAGAAAATGAAGAATCTTTTTTGTATGTAATAATTTTTCTTTTGCTTCGCTTTTTTTTTTTTCTTCTTCTTTTTGACAACACCATCTTTGCCGTTTTGTCAAATTTAATCAATATAAACAATGATTTCTTTGGCAGATACATTTTCATTTCTTGATAATCCCAATATTAATTGGAAATCTATCATTGTTGGATTTACAGTTGGTCAATTCTTATTTGAATCTTATTTGGAACTCAGACAATATAAAGTGTTGAAGCAAAAGTCTCCACCAGAATCAATTAAGAAAGAAGTATCACAAGAAACCTTTGATAAAGCTCAAGAATATTCCCGTGCTAAGGCTAGATTTTCACTTTTTTCAAGTACTTTCAGTTTGTTCCAAAATTTAGCAATTATCAAATATGATTTGTTGCCAAAAGTGTGGTTGTGGAGTGGCAGTATTATGAAAGGCTGTGGTGCCATTTTACCAAAGGCTATGGGAGGTGTCATTACCCAATCACTCTTTTTTGTTTTCACTACCCAGATCTTAACTACTATTATTGGTTTGCCATTGAGTTACTACAAACACTTTGTTTTAGAAGAAAAGTTTGGATTCAACAAGCAAACTATTGGTTTATGGGTTAGTGATATGTTGAAGAGCATTGCACTTTCAATTGTCTTAGGTTCTCCTGTTATTGCTGGTTTCTTGAAAATTATCGAATATTTTGACGATAAATTTATCTTTTACCTCATGTGTTTCATTTTGGTGATTAACTTAATTGCTATGACCATTGTGCCAACTTTGATCATGCCATTGTTCAACAAATTTACCCCATTGGAAGACGGTGAATTGAAAACTGCCATCGAAAACTTGGCATCTCAACAAAAATTCCCATTGGCCAAATTATTTGTTATTGATGGTTCAAAGAGATCTTCTCATTCTAATGCTTATTTTACTGGTTTGCCATGGAGTAAACAAATTGTTTTATTTGATACTTTGATTGAACACAATACAACTGAAGAAACTGTAGCTGTTTTGGCCCATGAAATCGGACATTGGAAATTGAACCATTTACCAAAAATGATTGTGATGATGCAAGGTCATTTGTTCATGTTATTCTCATTGTATTCTGCTTTCATCCACAATAATTCATTGTATACTAGTTTTGGGTTTGTCAATCAACAACCAATTTTGATTGGATTCATGTTGTTCAACGATATTTTACAACCTGTTGAATGTTTGATGACTTTTGTTCAAAACTTGGTATCAAGAAAACATGAATACGAAGCCGATGAGTATGCAAATGAATGTGGTTATTCAGAAGAATTATGCAGATCCTTGTTGAAATTATCAAAGGAAAACTTGTCAAGTATGAATGCTGATTGGTTATATTCATCATTCCACTATTCACACCCAATCTTGCCAGAAAGATTATCTGCATTGGGTTACGTCTCCAAAGAAAAGGTCAAAAAAGATGAATAAACCATGTGCTCTTTTTCTCCGTAGAACTGTGTGTATTTATAGATATAGTCAAATAAATGAATATATCAATTTTACCAAATCACCCAAATAAAATAAAAGAAGAAAAAAAAAATTATCTATTATATAATTACAAAAAGTTTTTCGTTATTTATTTATCTTTTGAATTGAATAGTTTCCTAGTGGTCAGCTTTTGGAGCATTTGGTAATTCTTTCAAAGATTGTCTGATAGAGTCAACACCTTTCAACAAGTCTTCTTCGGAAATAACCAATGGAGGAGCCAATCTAATGATATTGTCGTGTGTTGGTTTAGCTAAAACACCATGGTTCTTCATCAACAAACACAAGTCCCAGGCGGTTCTACCGTTGGTTTTTGACTCGTCTATCACAATGGCAGATAATAAACCTTTACCTCTGACCTCACTAATCATACCATTACTTTCTCCTTGTAATTCAGTTAATTTATCCTTCAACAATTGACCCAATTTTTGTGATCTTTCAACCAAGTTTTCATCTCTGACAACATCCAAAGCAGCAATGGCAACTCTACAAGCCAATGGATTACCACCATAGGTAGAACCATGAGAACCTGGTTCCAAGGTCAACATAATTTCCTTAGAGGATAAAACAGCAGAAACTGGCATAATACCACCAGAAATGGCTTTACCCAACAACACAATATCTGGTTTCACCCCCTTTGAGTGTTCATAACATAACATCTTACCAGTTCTAGCAATACCAGTTTGAATTTCATCACAAATCAACAAAACATTGTGCTTCTTACACAATTCTTGAACCCTTGGTAAGTAATCTTCTGGCGGAACAACAATACCAGCTTCACCTTGAATAGGTTCCAACAAGATGGCAGCAATCTTGTCACCAGCATTGGCAAATGCCTTTTCGACATCTTCAATGACACCGTATCTTAACAATGTACCTTGTGGTTCACCTGGAATTTGTGGTCCAACTCCGCTCAAGTATGGACCAAAGTTTGTAGTAGCATCTGGATCAGTAGACATTGAAATGACACCCAAAGTTCTACCATGGAAATTGTTAACAGCAGATAAGATAATAGCTTCACCAGAAGGAATACCTTTCTTGACATAACCCCATCTTCTGGCTAATTTCAACCCGGTTTCAACAGCTTCGGCACCGGTATTCATTGGCAAAACCATTTCATAGTTGAAGTATTCAGTAACGTATTTGGCATAGACACCAAACACGTCAGAAGAGAAAGCACGGGAACATAAAGTCAATTTTGAGGCTTGATCAACCAAAGCACTGACTATTTTTGGGTGACAATGACCTTGATTAACAGCAGAATAAGCAGACAAAAAGTCCAAGTATTCATTTCCTTCTGGGTCCCAGACATGTGCACCTTCTGCTTTGGAGAAAACCACTGGCAATGGGTGGTAGTTATGGGCGGAGTATTCTGATTCGTAGTTACGAGCAGTTTCTGAGGAAACTTTAAAGTTTGGAGTAGCAGACATTGTAGTTATTAATTCGCTAGGAAAGTATAAGCAATTAGATATGAAAAAAATAATAAGAAGAAGAAAAGAAAAGAAGTCAGGGAAAAAAAAAAAAGTCGAGTTCAATTGTCAACGACGACCCTATTTATAGACAAGTCATTAATGAAAATGAAACCCCAGATGTAATTCACTTTTTTCAAATTATCATCCATGTTGATCTCTAACAGCAAGCGAGCGCGAATATGGACAGTGTGCACGACCTTTTGATTGTACACCCAAAAAAAAAAAACTAATCGGCAATCGAACAGCGACGGAAAGAAAATAAAAAATTTTACCCTTTTGAGATGTCCAACAGAAAGATGACAAAATACAAGAAAGAAAGAAAAAAAAAAATTGTTCAGTCGTCATTCCACTTTTTCTTTGTACATTTTTTTTTCCTGTCTGGAACATTTTATTGATCTATACACGCCAATTTTAGATAGAAACTAGAACTTTATCATACCTAATCATGTCACAACAAAGAGTTAAAAGACACATGCAAACTGCCATTGAGCCAGCTGCTCCAATGAACGCTGATGTTGCTGCTTTACCATCAGTCGCTATGAGAATCAGAAAGGCGGTCAGTGAAGGTTACCAATTGCCAACTACCGGTGGCCAACAATTCCAAAGAGTGCCATTACCAAATAACATGATTACCCCACCAGAATTGATTGATTCATATTCCACTAGAACCACTTCTAACCTTGAAGAATGGGATAGTTACTACAAGATCCAAAATGCTCCTGTTCAAACTATGCCAGGAACTAACTTCTTGAAGAGAAAATTCGAAGACGACAAGTCTGTTGAACTTAGTCAATACCAAGCTAGATATGGAGAATTAAGATTCAATGAAGAATTTTAAACCATCTCATTGCATTGTTATGTTTTTTTCTTTCTTGTTCAGTTTTGCTGATTCAATTTCTTTCTGCTTAGTGTTTGATCTTTTATTTTATTATTAGATTGCTTTTTATATTATCGTTTTATGGTTTATTCGTCGTTTGATTTCCTATTTTTTTTTATTTTTATTCTTTATAACAACTTTTACTATTAGAAGAGGTATAGTTGTTTTGTCTAGTTAGAATACCAAGTTTATTTTGTTTATGGTCAGATTTGATCAATTGTAGATACGGACAAGTTGTCTTTCCCCCTTTTTTTCGTTTTTGGTATTTTCTGCTCACCAATGGATCAAAAGCAAATCTCGATTTAGACCAAAAATCTCTTTTTTTTTTTTTTTTTTTTGCTCTTCTTCTAGATATCGTTAGTTGTTTCCACCACAAAGATCACCCTTCGTCGTTTGAAGATCATGTTGGTATGGAAGAATCTTTCATATAATTTAACACTCCAGTTTCGAAATCTTTCTCCAGGTGAGAGGATTCTTCAACTTATTCGATTAATCACATGTTGTTCTGCAGTTGCACTCTGTTTGGCTTGTTTAGTCGCACCAAAGCTTACTAATTCAACGTTTGTTTCCCGTATTAATTGTGCACATTTAGATGTATCTTATGGTTTATATAAGTCATTGAGAAACTCGGTGAGTCAGGCTCCAGAGTTATTTTCTGAGAGTAGGGTCGGTGTAAGTTTGGGAACTACTTTGACAAACAGTGAGATTACATTAATATCACAGTACGCCGAAAAGCAAGTTGCTGGTGCACCTCAGTTTTGCCTCACTTCGTTATGGAGCTGGTGTTACGGTAATTATGATACATATATGGTGAAAGACAAGCATGGCAAGACTGTGCTAAAGAAGAAGAACGAAAGGTTGACCTGTTCTTCAAAAGGATCATATGCTTTTGACTATCTTGAGCAGTTGGACAACATTGGGTTGACTATAATTCTTGCTTATGCCTATCAAAGTATATCTTATAAAAGTGATTCTTACTTAAAGTTGATGCAATCACGAACAAATAGATTCCAACTTTCATTCAACGGTATCATCTTCACTTGTTGTGCCCAATTTGTCATGTTGGTATTTACTATTATAATCTATTCGAATCGTGGATCGGCGAGAGACCTATCAAAGGTGCCTTTATTTATTCTACATATCATCGCTTTGATGTCATTGGCTTCTGCTGTTTGTATTATTATTGGTCTGTCTTTGATTACCAACTTGTTGATAGTGACTAGGGGAGAAATAAAGGATAAACTTGGTGACTTTGGGGTTTCATTCCACATGGGAAAATGCTGGTTCGTATTGATGTGGTTGGGTGCTACATTTACTATATTATCACTGGCGGCTTGGGTGTTGCCGTTATGGTGTGCCAATCCACTGGTGGATCGTATAGCAAAGGATGATGAAATGTCACTTTTTGTATTTGGTACCGGTGGTGGTGGTGAATCGAAGTTTGGCGATTTTAAAAAGAAAGTCAGTCATACTGGTAAGCGTATTGCTTCTAGATTTAGTCATGTTGAAGTTGATGAGGGCACTTCTCGCGACCATGACCACACAAATAGACTTAGTAATATGTTTCACAACCGTCGACCTTCGATTGGATATGATAATGTCGACCATGAGAATGAAATGAGAAAATTGGGTGAAACACTTTCCAAAAAGACTTCGGTAAGACGAACAAATTCTGGTACCCGATCAAAAGAGTTAGAAGAACAAGGGGTATTATTCGATAATTTTACATTTAAGGGTGAGTATCCAACAATTCAAGAAGAAACATACGATGGCTATTCCAGTAGATCGGTATCAAGAGAACCCCTGGGGAAACTAGGTAGACATTTGTCTGATAAGAGAGAAAGAAATTTGATACGTGAAGTTTCAAGAAGCCCATTTGATGATGAACAAATATCTCCTAGAAATTCTTATTTAGAAGATGATGAATTGGAATTATTGGATAACCAAATGTTTAATCTTAAATAGTAATTGAATATAGAATTATTTTTTTTTTGTGGTAAATTGGTATTTACTTTCTAATTTTGTAATGTTTGTCTATTCTCTTTTTTTTATTTCTTTTTTTTCTTTTGCAACTTAATTCAATGCAGAAGGAAGGAATTGATATTATCTATTACAAACGGTCAAAGTTATTACTAGTATGGTCAATTGTTGAGTTAATTTTCCTTGTATTGTTATTCTTGGTTAGCTACTGGTTCTTATTTTCTTGTTCCAAAATAGTTCCTAGAGGTCCACCTTCATTTCAATTGAAAATTCAATCTGATACAATCTTTGCCAAAAAAGCATTCCAATTGATTCAGCAAGGGTTGAAATTTGCTACTTATTTATCAAATGATTTAAATATCTATATGAATAAGACTATTTCAGAGACATACCTCCAGCGCTTGGATTCAGTATATGATGATACCTTGTACCAGTTCAATGTGTTTGGATTTTGTCGGAGAAATGAACTTACGAAAATAAAGAATTGCTATAACGGAGATGGTATCAATGTGGTCACTAGTTTCATCCAGGATCTTGGTATGCAATTGGGAAATTTAACGAATCAGAATGATCCCAAAGTAGTTTCCGCCAGATTGGTGGTACTATTTTACGACATAATCAAACATGTGTGTACCAATGATAAAAACGAAATTTGTGTTTTGCAAACATATAACTGTATTTCCAAAGCTGTTCGGTGCCTAGGTATATTGACACTTGTGAATTCAGGAATTGCCTGCCTTGTATCATTTTTAGAATTGGTCTACTATTGCTTTCGGGGTGTTACCACGAACCGAGTTCCATTTTATATCAAAATGGTTGCAGTTTGTTTTGTAATATTGGCTGTCAACGCTATCTATTGCATTATATATGCATTGCAGGGCCCGCTCTCAAATCTAGTAGCCCAATACAAGATTGGCAAACTAGATTTCGCTGTAATCAACTGGATAATATGGTATTTCTTCACATTAATTTGTTTGTTTATTATAATTAAGCGTTATCGTATATATCAGTCTATTTAGTTGTAAACTTTTTTGAAGGCTTTGTCAAAATCGTTTATGATATCATCAATAAATTCAGTACCAATTGAAACTCTAATCAAACCCTTGGTGACACCGGAAGCCAATTTTTCTTCGTCAGACAATTGTTGATGGGTAGTGAACCATGGAGCAATAACCAAAGTCTTTGAGTCACCAACATTGGCCAAGTTGGAAGCAATTTCCAAGTTGTCGACCAATTTAGCAGAGGCTTCGTTGAATGGGTCGTTGGTGGTGTTTTCAATATCTTTAACAGAAAAAGCTAAAGCACCACCAAAGTATTTAGCATCGTTGTTAAAGTATTTTTTACTCAATTCATGAGATTCGTGTGATGGCAAACCCAAGTATGAGACAGATTCAACTTGTGGGTGCTTTTCTAACCATTGGGCCAATTTCAAAGCGTTTTCAGATTGTCTTTCAACTCTCAATGATAAAGTTTCCAAACCTTGCAACAACAAGAATGAACCGAATGGGTTCAAAGCTGGACCCAAGTCTCTCAACAATTCAATTCTGACGTGACCAATATAAGCAGCTTTACCTAAGGCATCATTCAAGACCAACCCGTGGTAACCTTCTGATGGCTTGGAGAATTGTGGGAATTTTTCTGGGTATTCAGTCCATGGGAAGTTACCAGAATCAACAATGACACCAGCAATGGTAGTACCGTGACCACCAATCCATTTAGTAGCAGAATGGACAACAATGTCAGCACCATGTTTAAGTGGGTTAACTAAGAAACCACCAGCACCGAAAGTGTTATCAACAACAACTGGGATACCATTGTCATGAGCAATCTTGGTGATTTTTTCGAAGTCTGGAACATTGTATTTTGGATTACCAATGGATTCAAGATAAATGGCCTTGGTTTTGTCGTCAATCAACTTGGCAAAGTCTTCTGGTTTGTCACCGTTAACAAACTTGGTTTCAATACCTAAACGTTTAAAGGCAACTTTGAATTGGTTGTAAGTACCACCATACAAGTAAGAGGTACTGATAATATTGTCACCAGCGTGAGCCAAACCGGCAATAGCCAAGAATTGGGCAGATTGACCAGAAGAAGTGGCCAAAGCACCAACACCACCTTCCAAAGCAGCCATTCTTTGTTCAAAGACGTCATTGGTTGGGTTCATGATTCTGGAGTAGATATAACCTGGGGTTTCCAAACCAAACAATTGAGCACCGTGTTTGGAGTCATTGAAGACATATGAGGTAGTAGCATAAATTGGTGGTGCTCTTGGTTGATGTGGTTTTTCAACTGGTTGACCAGCATGCAATTGAAGTGTATCGAAATGAGACGGCATTATGTATGTGTGTGGGTTTGTAGGGAAGTTAACGAAAGATTAAGTTACAATTCGAAAATATGAAATAAAAAAAAAAGAAGAAAGAAAGAAAGAAGAATGAAATTAAAAACTAAAAGATGTTGACCAGTATTTATAATAGTTGAAAACCGGCAAAAAAAAAATCGTACAAAATAATTGTGGATCCTCAGCGGTATAGGATTATGGAGTTCGATCCAGATATTGACGCAATCCGGAGGAGAGAAAAAAAAAAAAAAATTAACACTGAAAATAAATTACAATAAAAATTCTCAAATTGTTACCATTTCACGTGAACTCTCAGGATTTTTATCAATTTCTCTGTTTTGTGTCATCAGGAAAAATTGACATTTTCATAATGGTGCAACACCGGCCCATCAAAGCGTTGTGGATTTTCATTGGCTCGTTTCTTGGTCTCCCTCAAGCAGTGGGTTATTGCATTTGTCTGTTCTTTAAGGCTGACTGTAGAAGTTTAATTAATACACAATGCTCGGACACCGTACTTTGTCTATAAACGAAATAAGTTCCAACCTGTGATCCACGATCCACCAAAGAAACAATTAAAAAGCCCATTGAGGCTATTCATCGTTGCTTTATGTAGAGATGCGATGTCGACTCTGTGAATATTAAAATGTACTTATTGATGTGCGTCTCGTTGTATGTCCTTTAATCATTTACGAGAATTCATTGTATGGAGTGGTTTTCTTTTTTTTTTTTTTTTTTTGCTCAATTTTTAGTACAAACTTTTGACAAATTTTGCAATAAGCTTTCAATCTAGAGTCAGTAAACGATAATGTAAGAATTCAATCCCAAAATCTTACAATTTAGCCAACGTCTCGTCGTGTAAACAAGCCAAATTTAAGCATTGCCCAACATAGACTCTTAATCTAATATTCATACACTGATTTCTTATTTGACTCAGAACTGTTTAACCATAAATCCATGATATTTACAACAACTTCTTCTACCAAAAGAATAATTACAACTAACATGGAAAAAAAGAAAGTTACTCGTAATCGAAAATGAGGAGTATTTCCTCATAATCACTTAAGTTTTTTTTTTTTTCTTCTCTGTTTAATGCGGATCTGGTGATATGGTTGGAGAAAAATATTTCTGTTTCCGTCCAGTTTTTTACACTATATAACCAATATTAGCCTCCTATTAGCTTACTATGTCAACCAATCCTCAAGAAGATGTATATATAGAGTATTTGAATTATGATTGGAAGTCATTTACAGAATTCCAGGATGGTTTGCAAGAAATCTTAGAGAATTATTTAGCAAACTTGAAAGAACAGGATGCTTCCATAACTACTATACCAAGCTTAGACAAGCAACAGTTGATAGATCAAGCCAAATCATTCTTTTTTTGTAACAAAACTGGACATATTTTGAATTTGGATGATTATAACCAATGGAAGTTACATAATGGTGATAAGTTCATAAGAAGTGATCAAATTGAAGAACACAAGGAAGACAAGGAAGTCGCAGAAGAAGAAGAAGAAGAAGAAGAAGAAGAAGAAGAAGAAGAAGAAGAAGAAGAAGAAGAAGAAGAGCCATACACATCCAATTATCAAGAATTAGTTGAATTGATTGCTCAAGGTAAACCTATTCCAGGCATAAAGCATATCCCAGACACAGTCTTGACAGACCAAGGCACAGCTGCTTCAGCTGCTCAACGAACAAAACCTTGGGAAAAAAACAAACCAGTCAATGAAGAAGATACTCCTAAAAGTGATAGTTCGTAGATTATAATCAAAAAATATTCAAATATCGATAAATTTATACTTACTCTTGTTGGTTCAACATCTATAATAAATTGCCTAATTATTGGCGCATGTACACGAACTTTTGGTTTATTTCAACTTTCCTCCCATAAAAAAAGGGACACATTTCTATTAGGTTGCATTAGTTTTTAAGCACCCTTTAAACTAGCCTATAATATCAATTTTCGCAGAACAAAGAAGTCGTTTAATTTAACGGCATGTAGATCATCAAAGAGGGGTGGAATTTTTAGACATTGAAGAACACGTAAGAGAACAAAAGCAACAAAGAAGAGGGAGAAAAAAAATGTCATGTGCCAAACGACCACATGATTGTTTTTTGCTCGTTCATGGTAACTACTTTTGAAGGTAGGCTTATTCAAAACGCGATTGAATATGTCTAGAAACGATTCATTTATTCTTGGTTCTTGTTTAATGATAATATTTCAAGGTATTGCAACCTTCTATTCTTGTGGATCCTTTCTATTTTACCACTACACAAGCTTTGTTTAACATCCCTCTGTAAATTCAAAATTTTTTTCCCGTTCACGTCCATTTTGGGGCCCCAAAAAAAATTGTTTTGCATTACTGTGTTCACTTTTTTTTTCACCAATTCTCCCAATAGAGGAAAAAAAAACATATAAACTTTGACATTCCACTTTTTGCTGATTCTTTTTTTTTTCTGGCTGTTCACTTGAATTCCATAGATCTAATTCGTGTCCTTGTTTGATCATATCACTAACTATAAGTAATGTCATATCGTGGTCCTAACCAATTTCAAAATCAATTTGGTGGCCAACCTCAAGGTATACCTTCACAACAACCTCCACATATTGGCCCGGTGTCAACATCCAAATCGCCATTACAGAAATTTGAAGATTATTCCAAACACATTGAAGATTTGATTGATGAATACTTTAAAGTCTTGAAACCTTATGTGCCTGCAATTGGAAGGGCGTTTTTGGTTGCGACTTTTTATGAAGATACTTTAAGAATTTTCACTCAATGGAATGAACAAGTTTATTATTTGCATAACTATAGACATTACTGGAGATGGTTAACCATATTTTTCTTAGTTAATAACATGTTAGTCATGAGTATTGGATCCACTTTGGTTATTCTTAGAAAAAAGATCAATATTGCAACAATTGCGTTGATTATTGTTGTCATAGTTCAAGGTATCGGTTATGGCTTGATATTTGACGGGCAATTTGTTTTGAGAAACTTGTCTGTTGTCGGTGGGTTAGTTTTGGCTTTTTCAGATAGTATAGTAAGAGATAAGAGATCCTTGAACATGCCAGGCTTACCAATGTTGAACAATCAAGATAACAAGAAGTACTTTCTTTTAGCCGGTAGAATCTTGTTGGTCTTATTGTTCTTGGGATTCGTCTTTTCTTCCGATTTATCAATGGGTAGATTATTTATCATCTTCATTGGATTGTTATCTTGTGCTTCAATAATTGTTGGTTACAAGACTAAGTTTTCTGCTGCCATCATGTTGACTGTATTGTTCTTATATAATGTCTTCACCAATCAATTCTGGGCTTACGATTCTCATGATGCTAGACGTGATTTCTTGAGATACGAATTTTTCCAAGTTTTATCCATTGTTGGAGGTTTATTATTGGTTGTCAATGCAGGTGCTGGTGAATTTTCCATTGATGAAAAGAAAAAGATTTATTAGCTTAAAAGTAGTTGCGTTGAAACTTCCACCTTCTGCACACTCTTTCCCTCCTGTAATAATTAAATACTATTAACAGCTGTATATCTTTTATATACTGAACCAAAAAAAAATGAATATAAATATAAGAAACAACTTTATCTCTATTAATCATTACTGAGCATTACAAATCGAAGACTGTAGGGATAAATAAAATCGAGAACGAAAAAAAAAAAAAAAAATAAAAAAAATTCTAACCATTCATAGCGTTAGAAATATAGCTGACATGTCAAACGAAGATCAACCTAAATGCCCAGTAGATATATCCACGAGAAACTCGTGGTTATCCAGATTGACGGGAAAAAATAAGGAGCCTATTTCAACTCAAAGTCCACAACCAGAATCCATTACAGAACAACCTGCATGTCCGGTGGACCACAATGCTAGATCAGTTTGGGCAAACAACGTTTCTGTTAAAGTCGCCTTGTCAGAGGAAGCTATCGAAGTATCCAATAATGATACTACATGTGATTCTACAAAATTGAAAAATACCCTAGCAGATACAACAACTACAAATGTAAATTTACCGACCGAAAGAGAATTAAGTTCAATCCCTCGAACCGCATCAAATAGTAATTGGGTATATCCATCCCAGAAGCAGTTTTTTGAAGCCATGCAAAGGAAAAACTGGAATCCAGATCAAGATGATATGAAAGTTATTGTTCCTTTACATAACATTGTGAATGAAAGAGCATGGAGACATATATTAATGTGGGAACAACCGTATAGTGAAGAAACGAATTTGAAATGTGGTGGCATCACATTGACTAGTTTCAAAGGAGATCTGAAAAAGTTAACTCCTCGAGCCTGGATTAGAAGTTTAATGGGTTATGAAAAACCTTTTGATCGACATGATTGGAAAATTAATCGTTGTGGCGTGGAAGTTGATTATGTAATTGATTTCTATGCTGGTGAAAATAGTCAAGTGAATTTGGATGTCAGACCGAAATTAAATAACTTTGAAGGTATTAAAATGAGAGTATTCAGAGCTTTTGGTTATTAATTGAAGGTTTAAGCAAATATAAATAAGGTTTTGTTTTTTTAAGTATTCTTGTATATATACACGTTATTTTATTTATTAGTGATCCTTTAAAGTAGATTATCTTCTTCCCATAAATTGACCAGATTGACCTAATTTTTGCATGTTTTCACCGACTTGAACATTAGTTTCAAAGTATTTAGCAACACATCTGTCTAAACATAAAGCTTCTTGCTTGGAAACATCAGCTTCACTGTATGCTTTGTTAATACATTTATTGTGACATTGGGAAACTAAAGCGTTGAACATTCCAGTAACCATATCCAATTCAGCCTCAGCGGCTTGAAGTTTTTGTTGACTTGAAACTTGAGGAGCAGCACCACCTAATCCAAACATTGTTGATCTATAAATTATAGTTTAATGGCAAAAATAAAGAAATGAGCAAAGTCTTAAAATTGATGATTTATTGCTCTTTTTTTTCTTCTTCTTTTTCTTCTTCCTTTTTTTTCCCCAATAGAAACTTTTCAACGTTGGGAAAAAATTTTCTAAATGTCGCATTATGTCGTTGGTTGCGAACAGAGGAAGTCGTCAATTTATACTTGTATTGTAGAATTTCACTATACAAGAGCTTATCCTATTCCTATTTATAATCCAGGAAACGTAAACTGAATATAACCTCCCCATAATAGTTCTTCAATGGGTACTATATCTTTCAATTGTTCCATATCATTCTTTCTCTCAGGCGCAATGGACGCCAATCCTTGACATAACGTAAGTATTTTACCATTTATACTCGAAGTCCCACCTACATGCGATATTCTTGCATTGGTGAAATATGACGATCTAGAAATACTTCTGTCATCTAATGCTTGGGTTACATCATAGTAGTACCTCATGAATCTCCAAACTTGTGTCTGGGTGTTGAAAACTGCAATTCTTAGCAAATTTTTATTTGTAGCGTTCAACTGCAACGTTGACAATCTAGATACATCCAACTTGTCACTTTTGTGAGGTTCACTATCAAATAATCTCAAGTGATTGTTTTTGACACCTCCTATTAAGAAAATATAGTCACGTTCTTCATTTTTGTAGTACAATGCAGTGTGATGACAACACCTGTATTCAGCTTCTTTCAACTCCGCATGTTCTACTTCACTACCACGAGTTAGTTTATCGGAAATTTCATCGTCACCTGCACCAAGTGGAATATTATAGTAGTCATAAGCATACGATTGGATCTTCTCCCATGAACAAGTCTTGAATACAAACTTATAAAAATCACCAAAAAATTGGTTATTCTCGGCACATCCTCCTTGTACAATCAACGACTTGGAATCAAAAAAATCTTGCATAGTTTTGCATTCATGTAACTTGGAAGTATTCCCATTATGAGGATGTAGTCTGCCAGTTACCGCATTAGCCCTATCAATATCGGAACTTGATACTAACCCAAGTTCATCACCACGTTTACTGGCATCAACAGCACATGTTTGTTCCAATGCTGAATCATTATCAATTAAACTGTAGGCAAAATATCCTCGTGGCAGTGGCCATTCCTGGTTCTTATCTTCAACATATATATTTGATAACTTATCATCGCCAACTCGCGACACCAAAGCTTCCTTAACAAAATTCACACTATTCACAAATGGAGGTTCTTCAGCTATAGACATATCTATTTTAAGTAACTCATTGGTTGCCTTAAATTGTGATATTGCCCTATTTGAATGGTCTTTCTCATATGCCACTCTTTCATCTGGTAAAATAAATCCACCAAAAACAAAGATGGAGACATTAGCAGGTGATCTAAACAAAACACTCGTCGGTTGTTGAGTTAGAGAAGTTTTTGTTGACAAGGTTCCGGCAGTCGTGCTTGCAGAAAAATAGTCAGGTGTTTCTGTACTTCTTTGTGAACCTTCGAATTTTATCTCGCTCGTAGGACTTGATCTAACACTGTTGGCAGTTTGTTGTGTAGTAGTACTGGTATTAATGTACAATCCAGGCGAAGACCTTGGTGTGGAATTTTCAAAACTCTTGTATTTTGTAGAATCAATTCTATTCATTGGTGTAGAAGTTTCCAATCTGATCGGGGACAATGATCGTACTGAGGAACATGGAGTCGGGGATTTTGGAGACATGGTTGGTGATTGACTAGAATTTTTGCCCACAGAATTTTTCACTGGAGACGTAGCCCTGCTACTTGTTGTTGATACTGGATTCAAATACTTTGTTCTTGCACTTTCGTTGTAGGTTACTTTCAACGGATGTGGAGTTTTAATATTTTTATCGTGTCGATGTCTTCGAAATATGCTGGTGGATCTGGCCAATACTCCAGCCCGTTTTGATGATGATGATGTGGTGGTGGTGGTCCCAACTGAACTATTGTTACTTGAATTGGTAACTGTTCTTCCAGGAGTTGAAGATGAAGCAGAGTATTGTGAACTACTGCTATTCAATGGAAGTAGTCTATTAATCGGTGATTTTCGTGCTACGGGTGTTGTGTTGTTTGTTGGGGTGTTGGTTGCATTCTCTGAATAACGTGAATCTGAAGTCAGTGTCGTTACAAGTTTATGCAAAAGTGGTCTCTTTGTTTCTGGACTGGGTTCCAAATCAGGTAGATGTCTTCCTTGTGGATAGTGTGGTAATACATTTGGAGTAGCTGCGTCAACACGAATACTATCAGCCATATCAACTGGGTACTTTGGTTTAGTGGAATTATTTTTCGACTCTAACATGACATTTGACAAGGAATATTCATTTATTATCTCTGGCCTATTATCATTTGGTTCTTTTGATTCGTACACATTCGAACAAATTCCCATCCCAATTCTACCAATTTTTATTGCCAAGTTATTGGTATTCAACTCAATTTTCCTAAATCTTAAAGTAGAAGTATCGATGATAAATCCATCTTCATTCATGATAATATCTTTCTCTACTATCCACAAATCATCTTTTTCAATGTGTTTAACTGACTTGTCTTTGAGTTCAAATCCACCATAGAAGAAGAAATGCTGTGGCGAGATTCTTGTGGATGCCATACCGGAAAATCGTCCAGGGAAATCCTCCATTTCTGAAGTATCTAAATATGTGACAGACCCTCTCGTTGCATTGTACTGCAAGAAATGGGGATGAGGTATCATATAAGGATTTGTTAGAATCTTTGTATCCACAAATGGTGGCAATTGATAAGGAAAGTAGACTTTGATTTTGCTAACATCCACTTCTGCAGGAATTCCCAAATGAGTAAAATTCATGGATGCTGAAGCATAAACACCTCCAAACATAAATGTGGAATCGTCCAGTTCAAAGTGGTTCTGATAACAAATTTTGGGAACATCTCTCATAAATTCTGGTTCTTCACCATCATCTCTGCATCTATTGGGCAAATTAACAGTCAATGTTGGTACAGCAAAGTAACCTGAAAATGCCCCAATGTGTTCATCAATCTTGTGATCATTATCCTCATTGGTGGTTTCTTGTGTGTTATCAAATTGTGAGGGGTGCGACCCAGCCGTGCCCAAACCTTGTTGATCAATAGCGTTTAAATCCATTTCAGGGGTGAACAGATACTGGAAATCTATATCGGTATTGATGATTCTATTGCCGGGCCCTTCTCTTGATAGATTGTATTTCAATACACTATGGGGAACACGATAATCACTAATCCATTCGCGGTGCACGGGAACTGATTGTGGTTTGTGTGTCTTTGATAACGATAATGGCTCGGTGTCATTCTCAACTGATTTTAAGGACGAACCAACCAATGGAGTTTTGTTGTCACCTTGTCCCATTATTTTGTGACCATTAAACTTTTGAGGAAAAGAAGTATTTTTGGGTGTTTCTGTAGTTGTGCTGATAGAATATAATGCAATCGTATCTTTTTCTTGCTGCTGCTGCTGTTGTTGCTGTTGTTGTTGTTGTTGTTGTTGTTGTTGGCGGCAGCGAGTGTCCTGAAATTGATTTTCTTGTCTACCCCCAGAAACCGTCCTAAACATTTTGTTTCCGCTGTATTTCGTGCGCAGTAGAAATTGAATGTCTCCCATTATTATTTTTTTGGGCTTGAGCTTTGTGTGTGTGGGGAATAAAGTCGATTTATTAAACGAAGAAACTGCAATGGTTTTTTATAAATTGAATTAATGTGTTTGTATTTATGAAACAAATTAGATATAGAAAAATCTCATCACTTTTCTTTATAAAGTTCATACTCCGTAAAAGAAAAAATAACAAATGAATTGTTCAGAGAATTTTTTAGCTTTCTATTTTATTTTATTTTCCATAGTTGTATTATTGTTCTTTGCTGTTTAGTATACAAAATTCCAATTGCCTATTGCGTGGATGAATGATCTGTTCTTACTTTCTTTTTTTTTTTTGTTCCCTGCTTGTACTATAAAAAACCCTGAATAAAAATAATAATATGAAAAAAAAATATGTCTATGTATGCACTATGAAGTAGTATCTACTTATCGCAGCTTAAGCCAGCTGATAAACACATATTAAAGGGCGAGTATTCACCAAGATCACGAGCCTTCTTCTATTTAAACATTTGGACTAAACATATCAGCTTTTACTAGGGTATGAATATCTTGAATGGAAGCATTAATGAATTGTCTGACTTCTAACGCGAGCCAGACTTTAATCATGCTCAAAGAGTTCTCATCAGCCAACAACTCTCTTCCTTCTTTCAGTACTCCCAATCTTCTTAAAACAGGTAATGAGCTAAAAGTAAAAAAAAAAGTGGTTAATATGTTAGTAAAATTGAGTCCTCTCTCTTTATGACAGGTTCACTACTGAATTAAAAACATGCTTAAGAAATCCAATTCTTCAGTAGGGAAGCCAAATATTAATGCGTATACAAACCTTGCAAATAAATCTAAGTTAGGATCCAATTGTCTTCCTATACCTTCTAGTAGCAAAATTGCCACTACCACGGTAACAAAATCTCCTTCCATTCTGACATGATGGTTTCTAACCATACCAAGGACTTGATCTAATAAATCGCCAATACTGATATTTCCCAATGTAAATGTTCTTTGCTTCATTCTATCAACCAATTTCTCAACTTTAAGGGCAAAAATCTCTTTATTTAAAGCTGTTTCGGGAGTTCTAGATCGTTCAACCATCAACTCACCGGCTTTATATCCATCAAATTCAGACAATGCCTTAAATAAATCGATGAAATCAACACGGTCTTTAGCATTCAATTCAGTTACTAGCCCCACATCCAAGAAACAAATCTCTGCATGATAGCCTTCTTCATATAACTCCGCCAATCGAACACACCAAGCGTTGGCATCGTTTCCCAACTTTAACAATTCATTGGTGATTCGGTTAGTTTCTGCCTCGTTGGAACTCTTGACAATCTTGTATTCCTTTTTGTGTCGATACATTTCATTCTTGTAAAATCTTACCATCATATTACCGGGATGTAAATCGGCATGCACAAAATTATCCAAAATTAACATCTTAAGAAATGCATCCAACCCTTTATCACTGACTTCTTTGGATAAGTTCTTCCCATAATTGTCCGCCAAAGATAACAATTTACTCATCGGAATAGCATGAATATACTCTTCAACAAGAACATCCCTAGTAGTGAAATTCAAATAGGGTTTGGGGAAATGGATATCCAATCGGCTCTTAAAATTCTCTCTAAATTTAGCCAAGTTCAATGCTTCTATACGAAGATCCAATTGTAATCTCATCAATATTGCAAATTGTTCCACCTCATCTGGTAGCGATAGCCATTCCATCGTGGGAATAATATTGATAAAATTGGCGAAAAAATTCATAATTTTCAAATCTCGGTTAATTTTAATTTCAACATTCGGATGCAAGACTTTAATTGCCACATACTCGTTTGAATTTAAATGTTCAGTAACCACCAAATTTTCAAAGAATAATTCACCTTTGGACAGTTTGTGTTCCTCCAATATCCGTTCTACACGTCCTTCATCTTCTTTAGCTCGTTGCAAAACCTTTGGTGATAATTTACCTAAGTAAACTTGTGCAATGGCACCAACACCCAATGGTTTTGCCTGAAACTCATCGAAAATTTCATCAAATGGTAAGTTACCAAAACTGCTTGACACAATCTTTTTAGTTACTTCCAAAGAATGTGCTTTTGCATTTGAATGTAATCTTCCCAACTCAGTACACATTTCTGATGGAAAAATATCTGTCCTTGATGCTGCCCATTGACCCAATTTAATAAATGATGCACCAGCAACTTCAGCACTCCATCTTAAATATCTATACCATAATGTTGCTCCTGTTCGAACTAGATTTCCATCTTCCGACCTGTGTTTCCGTCCAAACCAACATATAGGTGACGCTAATAATACAGGGATAAATATACATGACAACTCCACAAATCTTGTAAAAGTGATCATTGGGTCTATAACATAATCCTCTAATGTAAAACGTAAATAATAAAGCCATCGGATTATCACATTTGGATGATTCTTTTTTTGTTGTCTAAACTCTTTATACTGATTTTGTTCCTCTTCTTGTGAAGATTTATATAATCCGAGTTCAAATGTTTCAGAATCTTCTGCTGGCTTTAAACGATGGATAGTTGTATCCAATGCATGTACATCATTACTGATCAGTTGTTGATATAAATAATATGATCCTACTAATCCTGTTGATACACCCACAAAAATTGATGTTCGGGAAACTGGGAATTTCACAAGATGTGCATGAGTTCTTGTAGACGTTTGTCGTACTACCGACTTGGAAATACTTGCAAAGGGAAGCTTCCTTATCGGAGATCTGAGTAGGTATATCATTTAACTAAAGTCAATTCAAACTCAATATTTCTATGTCGTATCTATCTATCTATATAAAGAAAAAGAAAGCAAGAAAAAAGTCAACACTCTAAAACAGAAAACTAATTGGCAGAAGAAGAAGAAGAAAAAAAAATATTAAAGTGAGAACGGCAACAAAATAGCAATCTAAAGAATCTATGCGATTTTGGGCTACAAAAACCACTCTCTCTCACTCTATCACTCTACATTTTTTTTCTTTGTATTCTTTCTTCTGAAATATCCCGGGAGGATGGATCAGGAGCTACCATCTGTTTGTGTTTTTAAATGGTTTCTTAATATTGATGTCCATAATCCAATTGTTGAAGATCCTTTGGCATTGGTCTTCATACCTCTTCTAGCAACAATCCCATCATGTGCATTCCAAACATCAAGGAAAACAGGAATTTTAATCCAATCTAAAGTATTCAAATTATCAACGATAAATTGTTTCTCTTTGTTCAATGGTAATTTGAATTTTTGATCTTGAAATAATGGGAATGAACTATAATCTTTCAACGTTGCTATTTTCTCAGCAATCACTTTGTCATTCAATTCACGATCCATTTGTACCAACGCGATTGTCTCTTCGGGTTGGTCGTTATCTTCACATTCGTTGGATTCTGAGTCATCAATACTACCGTAGTTTTCTTCCTCAATAGTATCGGTTCGACTAACTTTACGCATCAATTGTTCTTCGGCATACAACACCCTATCAACAGTTTGCTCAGCCATATTTGAAGTGTCTCCCCTAAATGATTCGTGTCTATCCAAAGTTCGTCTTTCTTCTCGTCTCTCCATTCCACTTTTACGGTCTTCTGGATCAATCGGTGCGTGATCAAAAACAAAGCTTGTCACTCGTTTCCAGTGGTCCGAAATCATAGGTGCTTTGATTACTTTGATCTTGATAAAACTGTATACTGAAACTATGGATGAGGTGAAGAATACCAAGGGAATCCAAAAAGGAACTGCGAAGGAAGCTAATAATATAATAATTAAAATTTTTGTCCATTTGTATCGTCTTATAAACGGCGTTTCTTCTTGGATATTACCCACAAATACTTTCTTATCTTGTGGAGATAATTTATGAGTTCTTGTCAAATCAACAAATTTGGGTGTGACGACTTTATTGGCAATTTTAACTTGTGGTAAATGTTCCAAATAACTGATTTTAATTTGATCTAAATCTTCAAATGGTGAGTAATTAGTTATATAGGATGTGAAAAATGCCACAGATCTATCGTTTCTTATATTGGCCAATAAAATAAGTTTTTCAAACTTTTTCAATCCAATAAAAAACTTCTCATTAGGATCTGCCATGGTCACTAAAATCTTATCATAATCGGATATAAATAGTTGACCTCCAGATTTACCAAACAAATATGGACCCAATCGGTTTGCTGTGATATCAAATATATTATCATTGAAAAATTGAATACCCACATGAGGTGTTGCAAATGTTGTGAAAAATACAGGTTTTACTTTATCAAAGAATTTCAAATCGTTTAATAGTCCAATGACATAACGCGATAACAACCCGCCTAAAGAATATCCAATAAAACTGATTTTGGTAACGTTTAGATTATTCTTTTCTTTAAGTGATTCAATTTCATAAAAAATTTCACTAACGATTTTCTTACTATTAAGTTCTAACCCATCATAAGTTTTCCAAAACCTGAAACAAGATGGTTTTATCGTAGTAATGGTATCTTCGGTTGAATCTGGTAACGAATCTTTGATAAACTGTTCTATTGTTTCCATATGAGAAGCTGTTCCCCAAAGACCATGGATTAGAACAAACAAATGTGTTGATTTGGAACTATCTGACATCAAAATTCTTTTGGTACTTTTGATTAGAGAACTAAATCTTAAAAAAGAAGAGAAATCAAAAAAAAAAAAAATGAAAATGAGATATCAAATGATAAACTAATTCTTTTTTTTTTGTCTATTCCCTCGTTCTTTGTATACGGATTTGTGATGAATGTGACAGGGCACAAAAACGCCGTCTATTACAAATAATATATCTTCGGCTCTTTTTTGCATACCAGTTCTATTTTATAACTCATTAATAATCGTGTATAAATATGCTGGCCTATTTAGCATCATACAAAATATCATTCAATCCAACACTATGCATAAATGCATCCAATGGTTCACCTCTATGCAGTTGACCGTTATATGACAGTGATGATGAAGGGTTTGTGGAGCTTGCATCTGAAGTAGGCAGGTATTGGTAATGATTCTGTCGCTCGTTTGATACAGATTGCGGGACAGACAGATGAGCCTGCTCAGGAGTTTCACTATCTTGATACGGTCTTGCATTCATCAAATAAGCAATATTATTTGTCATTGACTGCTTCATTGTAGCCATCGGTAATAAGTTACCAAAATTATCAATAAAATTATCATAATCTTCATTGAACGGAACATCCGGGTTTACTTCACCAAATATACCAGGGTTTGTAGGCATTGGTTGTTGTGTAGACGGTTGTTGTTGTTGATGTTGTTGCTGTGCAGGTTGTGGTTGTGGTTCTTGCTGTAGCTGTGGTTGTGGTTGTTGGGTATGGGCTGGAGTAGGTCCATGAGAAACTTCTACTTTTGATTCGGGATTGTTAATTCTGTTTCCTTCTTCATCAAGATTGAACTTCTCCATCAATGCTAGCTTCATTTGACTAATAATGTTTTGGAACCTTAATGAAATTGGATTGGACCTTGCATAATATTCAAAAATCTTGTTCGATGAGTTTAAATATCCCATTTGCTTTTGTGGGGTGTAGCCATCCTCTTTATTATAACCATTATCTTCCAAATATAATAAGGACAACCCAATAATCAAAGCGGCCAAGAAACATGTGTGGGTAAGGCCGTGCAGCTCAGCTCTTGCACTGAGATATTGTATCGAATTTATATAGTTTTCAACAAGTTGAATTATTAAAGCGGATGCTTTAGCAGTTGCCTTACAGAAGTTGCACATTGCAATCTCTGGTCTAGTTTTTGGTCTTTTGAGAATGTTCTTTCTCTTTTTCTTCCTTTTGAATATAAGATACATAAAAAATGGACGACAAAGTAAAACTATTGCATACAACTGAGATAAATGCATAATCATCAAAGGCATTTTATTATCAGCACCATCGTTGCTTCCTCTAGTTGGATTTGAATTCTTAACAAACACTTTGTCAATCTGTAGTTCTTCTGGTAAATTTAGACTCCACAATTTGAGCTCGATTGCAAGCTTTTCCGCCTTGTATGGATTGATTATACCATCTAAATAAAAATTTCTTATTACTTTGCCAATGAGCTTTGAGATTTTGCATGATTCAATCATACATTGGAATCTGAAACTTTCAAGGGGTTTTCCATCTTCTCCAATATCAAAAATATCTTCACAATCGAAATCATCCCAATCGTAATCATCAATGATTAATGGACGTCCTAATAAGATTGAAGTTATACGATCTAGCAAATACAACGATCGGAACAATCTCCTTCTATGAAGAATATATTTGCGATCTTTGAACGATTCATTGATATATCTTCTATGCAACCCTAACGCTTGAGCATTTCTAATCGCCATTCCCAACATTAACCATGCTGCATTTCTCTGTTGCTTTGCTTGGTAGTAACAATACGCCAAAGAATAGGCTTCAGTAATCCATAACTTCCCTTTACTCATGTGTTTCTTAGTCAAATAAAACCCAAATTCGAAATACGCAGATGATTGCATTGTTGGTGATTGTAGTTCTTTTAGTATTGGATTGTTATTTGCTTCTGCAAAAAGTAAACCTAACGAAATTACTAAATTAACTAAGGCAATTTTATCAGGGGTACATTCACTGTAATTTGTGTAAACAGGGTTTATGATATTGTTTACAAAATATTCTGCTTCAAAAAAATAACAAGCCTGTTGAATATTAGTGTAGAAAATTTTGACAATCTCATCTGATAAATGTTTGCTCGGGAGAGCAACTTGTAGAATTTCCATTGATTCATCTGGTTCATCAATAACTTCTAGACAATCGGTTTCTGAAGTGAATTTAGATGGCCCAAGTCTTTCAAGAAAAATATTTCGGCATTCAAAAAGAAAGGATAAAGGAGAACTCTCTCCAACATAACGCAAATTCCCTTCTGAATCATATAAAACCTTCGGTGGATCTCGTTCCTCTTCCATGACTATCTTCTTAGTTATTGCCTCATCATTGGCGTCTTCGACCTGTGATTGTTCTTCTTGTTTTCCATTAGACTCAACGGGCTTCGTCCCCACGCTATTGCCTGTAGTACCTGAAGAGGAGATTGTCTTTGATTCACCATTAATATTCTCAGTTGTTGTCTTGGTGGAGTTATTATCTAGCTTGTGTAATGGGAAAGTCAATAATGGTTCATATTGCAGGGGGATTTTTGACTTTTTAGTCAACATTTTCAAAGTTTTTTTATCAATCAGATCATCATCTTTACCATTCTTTGTGATTGCTGAACTACTTGGTTTATTTCTGACTGTTCTTTTCTTATTCTTCCGACGGATTGTTCTTCGATCTATTATACTAAACTCACATTCAATACCTTTTTTGGTGCACAACTCACATGGTGCAACTCCTGAACATTTGAATTTTCTCTTTTTACAATAGTCACAAGCCCTAGAGACTTTAGTTCTTTTCTCCAAATCAACATCCATAATGAGGAGTGTGATCAAATGTTAAACTGAGCAGGTTGTTTAATTAGTAATTAACAGTATGATATAAATCAAAACTATAAAAAAAAAAGGAAAACAATTAATGAAAAGTTTTTCTTCTTTTTAGAAAAAAAAAAATACAACCCAACCTTCTTCAACTGTTTGATGAAAGAGGTTGAAATTAACTCAAATTAAAAAAAAAAGTTCCCAGATACAGAAGAAAAGCAAAAGCAAAAGTAAAAGTAAAGTGTGAGAGTGTGAGAAAGAGAGAGAGACAGGGAAAAAAAAAAAAAAAAAAAAAAACAATAAATTAAAAGTGGAGTTCTGTGGATTGAAGCGAGGGAAAGCTGAATTATCAAATCGCTCATTTCTGCATCTTTTTTAAAAAACTCATTCGCAGTTAACACACATTTGGTTTTTCGGCGACTCCCTTTCTTTTTAGTCAACTGTAATTATGTAAACGGCTCCAATCGTTTAAGGAGAGTGAGAGGATATGTCTGCACCAATGGTCCAGATCTTCATGTCAACCGTTTGTGCGTCAGATTATAAGAAATGATCTTGCGGACTAAACGTATCATGATTTTATAAATAACACCAATAGACCTAAAAGTAATTGGCAGTAAACTTGCGCGTGTGTAAAGATTGACAAAGTTTTTTTTCCCCCCTTTCTTTTTTTTTTAATTACTGTATTATTTTTTTTTCCTTTGACTGCACTTCAAATTAGTCAATATCAAACAAGCATCAGATTGCATCTCATACGAGTATAAACTGACGCCAACATAAAAAATCACATCAGTTTGCAAAGTTTATCTAAATTACGTGGTGAAGTGTGGTTTGATAATATGAGTTCATTGCCTTCAGATATTGTACTCCCGCCAAATGAGATTAAACAAACCATTGAAAAGACGGTTGGGTATGTCATCAAGAATGGTAAATCATTTGAAGAACGTTTACTAAATAATAACAAAAACGACAAATTTGATTTTATTAATCCAGATAACGAGAACTATCCTTATTATAAATGGAAATTAACTACATTACAGGATCAAGCGGAGAAAACTCCAGATGAATCCCAAAACGACCAAGATATTATCATACCAACACCTAGGGAGCTATCATTTTTAATTGAATTACCTGTTATTTCAAAATATGACTTGGATGTCATCAAAACCACGGCGCTTTACATAGCACAGAATGGGAAAGAAAAAATTCCTGATCTACTAAATCATGAAACCGTGTTAGGAAAGAAAGCTCAATTTGAGTTTTTGAATGATTCCCATTCCTTGAATTGTTTATTTCAGAAATATGTTGATCAATACAAGTCGATTATAAAGTTATACAAGTCTGAGAACCATCCATTACAGAAACGTATACTTCCAAAACAGCAACATTTTACAATGCTAACCGAAGCTTATGATAGAGCACAATTCATTAAACAAAACACCGTAAATGAAAAGAAAGCTCAAGAAGTCGAAAGAGAGCGTCAATTACACTATGCTCTGATTGATTGGCAAGATTTCACATTAGTGGCTAAAGTAGATTTTGATGCTATTGATGAAGTTCAAGAATTAAGTGTTCCTTTGAAACGAGATGATTTGATAAAGAGGTCTCTTGAAGCTAAAAGCAAAGAAGTGGAATTACCAAAGGCGGCTGTTATACAAAGGGAGGAGCACAAGGAAGATGAACCAAAAGAAGTAGAAGCGGCTGTAGTGCCAGGCCCATTTAAAGGAATGAAGATTAAACCTGCTGGTACATCGAGGTTAAAGAAATCATCCACTCCTGCATCTACAGCAAAATCCACCATCAAATGTCCAATTACTGGTAAGTTGATCCCAGAATCAGAATTTGATAATCATCTACGTACATTATTACGAGACCCAAGATATAAGAAAGAACAAGAGAATTATATCAAGAAGAATTTCACTTATGCTTCTAATATAACAACCGATCAGGTGTATGAGAATATTAAACGACTTGTAAAGAAAAGATCGACTAATGAAGATGGGCAACAAAGTAAAAGACCTAAATAGTGAAAAAGTAATACACAACAGATAATGCTCATAACAATTGCAATACTTAAGAATAATGAAAATTTAAAATTATTTTTTTTTTTGTATTACATTAAAAAGATGAAAAAATACTAGAGTACACAGATATACTATCAAACAAGTGTATATATAAATGATGACCAATTATACAAATAAAAAAAACCCTTCTCTTACTTATTCATTTCGATTCACATATAGAGACCAGAAAAGTTTAGTTTTTCAAAGATTCAGCTCTCTTCTTCTTGATTTCAGCCTTTTCTTCTTTTCTTTCGTGCAATCTCTTGGCCAACAATTGAGCGTATTCAGCAGCAGCATCTCTTTGTTGTTGAGCGTTCTTGACTTTCTTGGCTTTCAAAGCTCTCTTTCTTTGTAAAGTTTGTGGGGTAACCAATCTTTGGATCTTTGGAGCTTTAGTGTAAGTTTTGTCACCTTTGGTAACTTCTCTTCTAACAACAAAGTCTCTGACATCATCTTCTTTAGTCAAACCAAAGAATTTTCTGATGTGGTTGGCTCTCTTTGGACCCAATCTCTTTGGAACGGTGGTGTCAGTCAAACCTTCAATTTCGTTTTCACCTTGTTTAACGATAGATAAGGCTAAGACGGATAAATCTTGGGCAACAATACAACCTCTGACAGATTTTCTCTTTCTTTCACCAGTTCTTCTTGGTCTGTAACAAGAGTGACCTTTAGACAACAATAATCTAACTCTGGTTGGGTGCATAACACCTTGTTTCATTGGGAAACCTTGTTTATCGTTACCACCGGTGATTTTAAAGATGTAACCTTTGAATTCATCACCGACTGAGTCACCTTCAACTTCTTGACCCATTCTCTTTTCGTAGAAAACACGTAATTTGTGTTCATCATCAATATCGATACTTTTTTGAGTACCGTTGGCTGGATAGGAGATGTTTAACTAAAGAAAAAAAAATTGTTAGTATTCAATATTCATAAAAACTTCTCCATTGATAAATCTCCCATAACGTTTCTTCAAAATGATTTTATTCTATCTCTTCAATAAGAACATATCCACACATTTATCATTCCCTTCTCTTTATAAAAGACTTTGATGCTCTTCCAAATATAAACAAAAATAAAACATAAGAAAAAATTTTCATTCCCAACATTGATATTTTTTCACTAATTCAAAAAATTCCAAGTAATTCTTTTCTGTCTCCCCAATCTGTTCTAATTATTCATATCATTATATTCATTGAAATAACTGGATGATATCAAATGGTCGTAGTTGTAGTTGGTTCACATACCTTCATGGTGATTGCTTCCGTATGCCTATGTGAAGATTTATGTCTAAGAAGAGTTTTCTTTTTTTTTTTTTTTTAACAAAAAACTGAAAATTTGATTTTTTTTCGCTGTGTGTGTGTCTGCCAATGCTAGTGCGAGAATCAGTATACTATGGTTTGCTAGTGCGAACAAATTTGAACTCTCCTCATAGTTAAGAAATACTATTAGTGTGCGACGTAAAAAAAAAAATATTTACCTCAATGTATTGCAGTAAAGGTGCAAACAAACATTTTCTCAACAAAAATATGCAGTATTTGTTAGGGTTATAACCCTAGTCAGCTTTAAAAACAAAAAGTTGCAAATCTTCATTTCTGTCACAAAAAAAGAGTTCACTTGGTTCCAAAAACAAAAATAAAGAATGTAAATTAAATATACTACAAAGAATTTGCTAGTTAGACCTATATATGGAATACTAATATAAAAAAAAGAACTGGGCAAAACTACCGTGATGTTGATTCTCAAATAAATATAAATAATGAAAAAAAAATGTATGAATATATTACAATTGAACTGAAGTAATAACTTGTTTAATAATTAAATAAACTAAAAAAAATATCTCTTTCTCTTTCGGTGTGTGTGTGTGTGTGTGTGTGTGTGTGTGATTTACATTAAGGTTGTATTAATTTATTGCTCTGATTTTAACTTAGAACCATTGTCTTCAGAACTACCTGCAGTGGTTGGGTTAGTTCCTTGTTCTGCTTCGCTGATCTTTCCCACACTGTTAACCCCGTTGGTTCCTTGAGATGGAATCTGGAACATTGTTGATGCAAGATTTACAGGCTTATATCCCGGCTGTGATTGTTGTTGAGGCTGCTGTTGTTGGTGGATACTAACAGCAGGAAGTCCGGGAGCTTGTTGACCAGTACTACTTAGTGGCATGTTCATAAAATACTGAGGTATATGTGTAGTTGGAGTCATACCAGTAGGCCAATCCTGTGGAGCCAAGAAATTGGATGGAGACGGAAAGGGGAACATATCATTCACATATCTTGAAGGTAGTCCAGATATTGGTGTTTGTTCTCCATTATTAAACTGAGTTCCAGCTGGACGAAATCGAATGGCGGATTCAGGTTGTGAGGTTTGAGTACCTCCCAGTTGAAAAGACGGAGGTGGTGCAGGTGCTGCTGTTGAAGTTGCTTGTGATAATGCTGAAGGTGGTGGGTTCTGCTGACCTGGTTGTTGTGCACCTTGTTGTTGAAGTTGTTGTTGAAATTGTTGAAACTGTTGGTAAACTTGTGCTGGATAATTGGCATAGGTATTTCCTTGTGGTGATTGTTGCATTCCGGAATAAAACACACTGCTTCCTCCAGTTAATGGTAGTCCAGGCGCACTGGCACTAGCAGGTGACGATGTTTGTGATTTCGTATGTAACGGAAGGGGTAAAGTTGGTTTTCGAGAATCAGGAGAACGAAATGATGAAAATCCTGTAAATTTTGTATTGGGGATAGCTCCTGGTATTAGTCCATGTGTACCATTGGAATGCGGTTGCGATGAATTGTTATTGCTGTGGTTACTATTAATGTTGTTATTGTTGTTATTTTGGAGATTGTTGCCACTAGATCCGCTACCCAGTTGTCCAGTTTGATTTAATGCACTATTGTCAACGGCTGTTATGGTTCGTGCAGTATCTTTACTGTCACTATTGCCGGTGCTATCATTGGGGTTACCATTTTTACTACCCTTGGCATCAGTTGGTATTTGCACTCGTAAGACTGGTCTTTGTGACGGTGTTTCTTCACTTTTTGTATTTAAAATAGGCGCACTTCCTTCATCGACACTTTTTTTATATTTCTTGGGATTGTTGAATGTTGGAACATTATTTAATGAAATATGAGGTGGTGGGGGAGGTGGTGGGGGCTGTGTGCTATTGAATATTTTGGGATTTTGATTATCTATCTTGGATATTGAGTCTGATTTCTTGTGCCTTTTTGGTTGTGGAGAGTCATCACTATCATTTTCGGAATCATCGTCAACAACATTATGATCAGATTCATCATTCAAGTGTGCATTGGTTCCGACAATAGTTCCTGCTTTGTTGGTTAAAGGTTCATGTAAATGTCGTTTCTTCTTGTAATCCGAATAATTTTCAGGGGATTTGGATTCATGCAATTGTTTTCTAGTATTCATTGTGTTTTCGTATGCTTGCAAGATCTCATTGGTATCAACAGTGGAGAATTCATATACCTTATTATTGTTTCCGACGATTATAACTGCTAGATCCACCTGACATAGCACAGCTAATTCATGTGCTTTCTTGAATAGCCCTGCTTTACGTTTAACAAATGTTACAGTACGGTTTCTATCATCTGTCAATGGTTCAATCTCAATTTTTCTTCTACCCATTTTTTAGAAATAATTATAAATGACCACTGATAATGATGAATAAATTAGTTAGGATTGAAATAAATAACTAAAAAAAAAATTGTAGGTGTGTATAAGTTAGTTTGCCTTTTTAATTTTACTTTTTTTTAGGGTTATTTTTTTTTTCTTCCTCTAAGACAAAAAAAAAGTGGTGTGTGTGTGTGTGAATGAGCAAGTACGATGGATGGGTGTGTTTAATTTTTTCTTCCAGCAAGATTTGACAATGGCAGAAATATACAATGAATTGTAGGAAGAAAAATAATGAACACTTGATTTGAGAAAACAAAGACAATAGAAGTTGTGTAGAACTTGCTTTTTGGTTGCGTTGTTTAATCTTCAACTGAATAACCGTTAACCTGATGGAATAATGTGTGAAAGGACTTTTTCCGTTGTCTTTTTTTTTCCTTCTAGCGACGCTTAGATTTAGTTGTTGAAGAAAAAAATAAAATGGGGATAAGATTTTGTAACACAAACCCTTTAAAATAGTTCTATGTAAAGTTGGGTGGTGGTGGTGGTGGTGGTGATGAGGATGCACTGGATTAGTTTTATGTGGGAATTAATCCTTTTTATTTGATGATAAATTTTCTCCAAATGGATCTTGTAGATTAATTATTGTCTGTACACAATTTATACTGAAATATATTGCTGGCAAAATAAAAATAAAAAACTGATTTTAAATACGAAGATGAAATCTTTACTTTCGTTCTCTTCGGTTGTATTGTTGTTGTTTTTTTCCTTCTTGTCAGGTAAAGCAACAACAGCAAGAGAGAATGAAAAAAAAATGATTCTAATCTATGCAAGAACTTTCCCTTTCTAATCTTCCCCAAACAAAAATTAGATAGTATTGAATTAGCTCTGATGGTTGAAATCTAACTTTCTTGGATTATGATATTGGAAAAATTATATCTGATATGTAACAAAAGGAATAAAAATTGTATACTATTCTCTGTGAATTTAATTGGAAAATGGAAGAACCCTGTAAGAGAAGAAAGACTGATGATGAGATTTTTTTTTTTAGTAAATCTAAAAATAGAAACAACTTAAGTAACAGAGAATATCTAAAAGTCGTGCTCAGTTCGATTTACAACGATTTAAGTGACAGAAAGAACGTGTCGCATTTTTATTTCGGCAGATTTCCACTTTTCCGACATTAAACCCTTGTGTAGTAATACTAGTTCGACATCATCATTTATTTGTCTATTTACATTGCAACTCTCTTCTCATGAGATAATATTCTGGTTTGACAACTTTGCCACTTCTCAATTTCTTATCTACTGGAGACCCTTCAGTTAACTTATATCCTAAAGTGCTGTACCACTTGAATGCTCGTTCATTATCGGAAAACACTGTTAAAGCTGTCCCTTGAACTGTCCTGTAAAGTTCGTTCTTGGAATTCATTAGAAGTTGAGCGAAATCATGAAATTGATCTATAATCTGACGACCATACTTTTTTCCTTGGTACTCTTTAACTAAATGGATTTCAAAAAGGTACAACACAAACACACCATCGTCATCCACGCATAGTTTGAACGATAAATATCCAACAAGCTCTTCAGCATCATCTTTAAACCACACCATCACTAATCCTGGTTCGGTCATTTCGTCTTCTTTATCATCCTTCCATTCGTTCCCACGGTATTTAACATATAAATCACCAATGTTATCATCTATTGTATCAATAAATTCTTGTAACTGCTCATCAGAAAGATTATGAGCTACTTCTGAATGAGTCGTAAACTTTCCCACTTTAAATGCACCATTAATAAAGTTCAACTGCAAGTCCTCTGCTATAGCTTCCATTAAAAATGGATCCTCTTCATTAAATTCATGGTATTCTTCTCCATCTATTTCAAAATTTAAAGTCATTGTTGAGGAGAACTTGAATATGTTGGTGGCCTAAATGGAAAAAAAAAAAAAAATCGCGTCTTCGCTGATAAAAAAAATGCCAACCAAAAAAAAAAAAAAAATCAATACATCCACCCTTCTCCGACCTTACTTGCCTCCCGTTGAACAAACTACAACTATGAATATTCCATCGACTCCTAATTCAAAAACTAATAAATTACGTGACATGCAAATGAATATACCATCATCTCCTCCCACAAATGCTCTTGATCAAATTTTTCAGCACCAACGAGAACGTGCAGAAACTATGATGAAACCATTATCATCATCTTCACCAATCAAATCAGACTCCGACGCGTCCCTGCCTTTTCGAGTTGGAAGCAGAGGTAGGTATAATCATCATGCTATTGATTCACCTCGCTCCCAAAATTTCAATCTCCGTAATAAACACAACAAATTACGTCAGGTACGAAACCAGCATCGTCATGATAAACTAATGTTACAAAGAGAGGCAATTGATAGTAGGCAATTCAGAGAGGACGTCTTAAACAAGTATGAGACTGAATACAAGGAAGTTACCAATAATTTGAACATTGATCAATTAATTGAAGATGAACAAGAAATCGTGGAAGGTGATGAATTGTTGAACTATCTTGATGAAGCTGAACAAAGAGAATGGGAAGAAGATGCTGAATTAATTGATATGATTCTGAGTTTGGAAATATCACAATCATAAATTTGGAGGTATTAAAATCATAATCAACGTATTCTGCCCTTTTTAGGTGGTGGTAATATTTTAACTTTGTTATTTTTACCCCTGACGCATCCCCCTTGAGAAAAAAAAAATAAAGAACATGAATAGCCAACAAAATACGTGTGAAAATAAAATAAAATTCAAATTCCCCCAGAGGAGAAAAAAAAGAGTAATCACTTCAAAACGAAAAAAAAAAGAATAAAAATAAATTTCAGATTTGGAACAATTTTCTTTTTTTTTTCGTACTATTACAAATTTCCGTTTGAATTGGATCATTGGTTTTCATTCTTTCTTTCATTTCCTTCCGCCTCCTCATTGTTTTAATTTGCTTTATATCATTCTTTTGCTTTTATTTTCTTATCTATTCATTCATTTATGTCACAACCACAACAGAATATCCCTATGGACGAGCTAAAACAAAAACCACAACTTGCACTAAACGATGAACCAATAACAAGGGAACCAAGAGCTACCGAAGAAATGAGACAAGAACAACAAAAACCAGAGCTAAACAGGACAGGTTCCTCATCTTCAAGTTCAGAAAGTGAAGACGAAGTTAATTCACATTTCACAGCCCAAAGTGGCTATCAACGTGAACACAACGAATGTACTGAATTTTGTGTTGAATGCTGTACTTGTTTTGGGGTGGTTAGCTGTTGTCCAAGAAGTGGTGAAGGATGTATCACTACCATGGCAACTTTCATTGGAAACATGCTTTTTGCATGTTGCAAGTGTTGATTTTGATAATACATAGAAAAGATACTACTGCAAAATATACGAGATCAATTATCATCATCTTTATTGCTGCAAATTATTCCTGATGGTTATCTCCATGCATCATGTTGCAATGTTTCATTGAATCTCGATTTTAAATTTCTTATGGTAGACAGGAAATTCTACGTCACTATGGATAATTGCGTGCATTGCATAATTTCAGATTTCAAGTTCCATAAACTAATTGACACGTGAAACCATCTATTTCATGCAATTGGCGTCTTTACAACTGCTGCTCCAAGTCATTTTAAGCTGGTTACATGATAGTCTGAAACAATCCTTATGTTTCCTTCTGGTCAAAAAAAAAGTTTCTGCTTGGTCTTGATGTTAACTGTTAATATGAGAATTCTTGATCCTTCCATTTTGGTATTTTGTTTGTTTTTTGTTTTTTTGTTTTCATTTTTTTTTTTACTTGTCCCTTCCTTTTTTTTTTAGAATTCTTCCCTTCTTCTTTTTGTCTACGCCAATGTTGTTAATCAATCAGAGGTAACTATTAGTTTGATTCCATTATGTCAATTGAAGGCTCCTCGAATCATAAAATTGCTTTGAGTGCTGACGACAAGTACTCAATGAAGCATAAAAGATCTGCTACGATATCAGAATTTCGGGTTGCAAACTCGGTTGAATCAGAAAATGGGCAACAAAAGCAAGTTGAGCAAGTCGAAGAAAATGAAACCGACGAACCACATGTAAGGCTAACCAAAGTGGAACCATATAAAGTTACAAGGTCAAAATCAGTTCACGCGTTTCAAGAATATGGAAAAGCATTTATTCGTTCACCTATGAATAATTCAATCAAGTCGTCTTCTCAGTATGATCTGCCATCGTCTAACATGCAACCAAGAAGTAATATTGATTCTAAACTAACAACTCCTGTTGCTCCTCCTCCGGCAGTTCATTCGTCTCCTTTTTTTTCAAATACTATTGATGATGATAATGCACAAACTTCGTTATCGTATTCATCCAATTTGCTAAATTATTGTCAAGATAGTTCAAATTTTAACTACACAATTCCTCAAGGAGCTCCTGTTGTAGGAGAGAATTCTAATGACGGTGTTCGAAATGCTACTGTGATCTACCGGAAAAAGAATGGTTCGGAATCTGATTACAATTTGAATGAAATTTCTCCAATTTCTAATGAAACAAACTCCACTAGATTTGATAAATTATTAAAGGCTCTGTTACAGAATATTACAGGTAATAGGTCTGCAGCTACAGTGAAAGAAGATCAAAAAAGCGAAAATAAAAAGTATAGTGGAACAACTGCGTCTTCAACACCGATATTTCCCTTATATGATGAACGGAAGAAGAAGCAAGTGTCTTCTGGGACTGGTAATAGAGACAAAGGTGGTGACGATGACGATGATGATGATGATGATGGAGATGATTCATTTACTTCTCCTGTGTCAACTAAGTTTTTACCGAATCTTTCCAGTAAAATGTTTTGGGTGATTATCCTAAGTTTAATTGTGGCAATTATCTTAATGCTTGGGGGATTTGTGCCTGCTGTCTATATTTTATCAAGGGGAACTCCGGGCTCAGTTGAAAAATTTTTTGAAAATCTGAAAAATTTGCCCTTTCTCTATAATTTATCTACCAAATATTTGCAAGTTGTTGAACGACCATCGAAACCTAATTCAATTGCTGGATTAGCTGATGAATTGAAAGAAGATACTGAAGTTGTTGCATTAATGAATGTGGTTTCTAATGTGTTATTTCATGGCATAGCATACTCCCCAAGTAATGCAATGGAGCCACTTTGTGGTTTCAATAAACGAGATGCTATGTTAGATTTGGCCAAGCTCTCAACCATAACAACGAGGATTCGTAACTATGGTATGCAATGTGATCAAAGTGAATTGATTTTGGATGCAATCGAATATATGAATCTTAATATGACTTTGGCCATGGGTGTTTGGATAGGATCAAATGATGACGTCAATAAGCAACAAATGGATTTGATGAAGAAAGTTGTTTCAAAGTACCCAGATCCCCTGAGATTAATCAATTCAATATACATTGGAAATGAGGTATTGTTTCGGGAGGACAAAACAAGAGATGAATTGATTTCCTATATTCAAGATGCCAAAGATTTCTTGCAATTACTAGGTATCGACGACATTCCCGTTGGCACTTCGGAAATTGGCTCTTTGATAGACCCAAAGCTTCTTGATGCTTGTGATCTTGTCGGGGCGAATATTCATCCATTCTTTGCTGGTGTGCCGGTCGAGTACGCGTCTGCTTGGACAATCGAATTTTTAAATCTTCAAGTTCAAGCTTATAATGAAAACAATACCCCAATTATTTTGAGTGAAGTTGGATGGCCAAGTGGCGGAGGCAGCTTTGGTCTGGCAGTTGCTAGTCTTGCTAATTTGCAATATTTTGTTGGTGATTTCCTATGCACGTTTAGAGACTTGCCCATTGAGTATTACTACTTTGAAGCGTTTGATGAACCGTGGAAGAGTATTTTCTGGGAAGATAATCAACAATGGGAGACCCAGTGGGGTATTTTTAGAGCGGATAGACTGAGTAAATTTAGTCTACAAAATATAGGATGTATGTAATGAAATTTAATAAAAATGTTATGAATATGTGTTTCAAGAGAATTTTAATTATTCCTCAAATTTTGTTGCAAAAATTTAATGAAAAAAAATGGTTAGTTACTAAAAGACCAGACATCAATTAAATCATGTATAATTAGTGCATGATGGAGAAGAGTAATATCACGGATCATGAGTGTTATCATTCCATATAGTATAGGTACTATAGTATACAATTCAAGTGCAAAAAAATCAATCCAGGTATGAACCTGGAATTCTTAAAATTTTAAAACACTTGACTTCAGCGGGAGATAAAAAATCTCAATCTTCTGGCGGTATGTCCGAGTGGTTAAGGAGAAAGACTTGAATCCATCAAGGTATCTTTTGGGCTCTGCCCGCGCAGGTTCGAGTCCTGCTGCCGTCGTTATAATTTTTTTTGCTGTAACGATCAATTTTTTTTCTTGCAACTATTCACAAAACCAAGCACCATATGATGTCGAATCCGTGTACTTCTTTATTTTTTTTTTTGATACCAATTCATAGCAATAACAGGCAGTATATTTGTGTTCAGTAGATAAAAAAAAAGTTATACATAAAATATCCCATTATTCACCGTACTTTATGGTGGTTCGCATAAGCAATTCAAACCAGTTTGAAGGTCTGGGCACTCTCTAGATAGTTGCTGTGGGGAAAATGAATTAACAACACCACTTAAGTATTGAAGACTAGACTAATTACTGAAATTTATCCACGGATAATGCATACTCAATTGATACCTTGTCTAAAAACAGGGGCCGCCTGTATAACCTAGAAAGTGGACATACGTTTGTCGGGAGTTTTGGGGGAAATAAGGCGGCTAAGCTAATAACCACTTACATAATAACCACCAATTGAATGTGTATAATCCTTAAAATTACTGATTACCGGTAATATAGAAGTTAAGCAAGTAATAAATAAATAATTATTTTACCAGATGATTGGTCTATCAATGTGGAAAATTTCAAGCAACAAGAACAAGTCAACTTGTCCGAGTTGAGTTTCTCTTGTAGTTTAACGGTCAGAATACGCGCTTGTCACGCGCGTGATCGGGGTTCGATTCCCCGCAAGAGAGATTTATCTTTTTTTGATTTATATTTTTTGGAGTTAATTTTTCCTGCCAGTGTTTCTCTTCTGTCTTGTTGAGTCCAATTGTTGTAGAAGAGACTCACAGTAATATTCAGGAATTCAAAGACTCATAGTCTTGATTTTTTTTTCTTCTCGTTCACCAATATCGATCTGTACATCTCGGGCTCCGAATCTTTGCAATTTTTTAAGTTCTTTATTTTTTTTTTCTTTTTCATTTTTGTTCAAGTTTCCATCGACTTCGATTAGTCATCATACTACTCATCATGCAAACAAGATACTTATCATACACCACCAAACTTCTATCTAAACCATTAAAAGTGGCAATTGTTGGAACTGGTCCCGGTGGGTTTTATACTGCTCATCATTTACTCAATAAATCTTCCCCAGATGTTAAATTTAATATAGATTTCTTTGAGAAATTACCCACACCATATGGATTGAGTAGATATGGGGTTGCTCCTGATCATCCTGAAGTTAAGAATTGTGAAGATCATATGAATAATATTATGGAAGAATTTGGGAGTGGTTCAGATGGACGCCATAAAGTAAGGTTTTTGGGAAATGTAGAAATTGGTAAAGACGTTAGTTTAAAAGATTTGGAAAAACATTATAATTCTATTGTTTTAGCATATGGATGTACTAGTGATGATAATAAACTAAATATCCCTGGTGCTAATTTATCTGGTGTAGTTCCTGCCAGACAATTTGTTAATTGGTATAATGGACATCCAGATTATTATACAAAGAACAACAAGTACATCCCACCACCATTAGATAAAATCAAAACTGTTAGTATTATAGGGAACGGAAACGTTGCCTTGGATGTTGCAAGAATATTACTTGCGGATCCCAAAGAACATTGGAGCAAAACTGATATATCAACAGATGCACAAAAGTTATTGGAGAAAAGTACAGTCAAACACGTTAGAATTGTTGCACGTAGGGGTATCCTTGAATCGGCATTTTCCAACAAGGAAATTAGAGAATTGTTTGAATTACCAGTCAGATTCATCCCATTAGAAACAGGATTATTAGATAAATTGGATGTCAAAAAATTGGGACGTGTTGACAAGAGAAGAGTTTCAATTATTGAAAAATACAACAATGCGCCTCCTAAGGATTCAGATAGATCCTGGTCATTGGAATATTACAAGAGCCCAGTTGAATTTATTGCTGGAGATGATTCACTTCTTAAGTCTACTAAATTTGTTAGAAATGAGCCTGCTAATGATCCATTATTGCCCCATAAAGTTGTGTCCACCAATGAATACACAACCGAAGACAATGAACTTGTGATATTGTCCATCGGCTATCAAGGTTCCGCATTATCTGGATTTGAAGAATTGGGAATATGGTACGATGGAAAGAAACTCCATAACAAGAATGGCAGAGTCTTATCTACTGAATCAAAAGATAAAGATGAACATAATGCGATTTTTAAAACTGGCTGGTATGCTGCTGGTTGGATCAAGAACGGTCCAAAGGGTGCTATTGCTACCACCATGATGGATTCATTTGACACTGCTGACAATATGTTGGAAGATTTAGCAAATGATAAGTATATCAAAGTCAAGGATGACGAACATGAACTCAATCTACCAAACGCGATAGATTGGGAACAATGGAAGAAATTAAATGAGTATGAATTGGGAAAGGGAGAAGAACTCGGAAAATTCCGCTACAAAGTTTGCAATAAAGATGAAATGTTGGACAAAATGTATTAATCGTCGTCTCTACAACTAGTGATTCTTCTAAAATAATGTGTATGTTCATACTTCCCCAATTTATCGGGCCATAATATAGAAGGTTTTATTGTCAGCGCTCTCTTGAATATCCCCGAGTATTCCATTCCCCGTCTGTCAAGATCACACTCTTCATGTGGTAAATCTCTTTTGTCAATAAAGTATTCGTATCCCGCGTGACTAAACATTGGTGGTAATAGTGGTATTATATCATGTCGATGAACCACTCTAATGAAACCTCTTGAAAAATCATTACTCGATGTTATCTCATTATGAACCTCTTCCGTATCAAATAATTTATCAGTAAAATCAGCAAATTCTTGGTTTCCCACTTTCGGACCACCGTACGTTACCACCAACGGGTCATAGCCCAATAGTTGAAATTCAATCCCACTCAACATGGTCAATGCTGCACCCAACGAATGGCCAATAATCAAAAATTGATAATCTGGATATTCTTCTTTCAATGCAATCCCTTCTGTAATGATTGCAGCAGAATTATCCTTTAAAAAGTTGTAAAATCCACGATGTACCCGACAATTATTACACTCAGTCAGAATATATGGTTCACATCCAAAGTTCTCTTCATAAACAATTGGTTTGTATGATGTTGGGATGAAATCCATGTCGGTTGCCCAATCGCGTCGGGAAACTGAACCTCTGAATACCAAGATAATTGCCCTTCTGTTGTTATCCAATGCGTAAAAACCCGTTCCAACTTCATTAAGACGATTAAAGTCAAATATTTTAATAATTTCAACATCTGCAAGAAAATCATTCTTACAAGCCAACAAAGCACAATTGGAATCCTTATCTCCAAGTCGGCCCTTCGCAAGTCCTCTATTAACACAGTACCCAACAGCTGCAAAATTGGAAAATTCAACTAGTTTTATGTAATCCTTGGCTGGGCTTTCTGATTCATCTGATTTACTAGCTGATGATAGATAAATAAATACTAAAATCAATAAAACAAACATTCAGGTCTACCAGGAGTGAAAAATAACAACCAATAGCGAAGTTAAATGTAAACAATGACAGAAATAGGAAAACCAAAAAAAAAAAGAAAAAAAATATAACAACAAGAATAGTCTATTACTTTGACAGTTTTTCCTCCATTTTTTTTTTCTTTTCCATTTTGGAACTTTATATACAAATGCTGTCCATCAAATTTACTTTATAACTTTCTTCTTTCTTTTATTTCTATGTTATGCACATCTCAGTTCTTGGTGTAAATTATTGCACTTTACACTACAATAGTAAAGTCCACATAGAGGACATCTTGAGTAGTTTGATTTGTCTCCACAAATACTACAGAGTCTAATCTTTGGTCTAACTCTCTCAAATTTTCTTCTTTTGTTCTTATCAACCTCGGTAAAATCCACAAATTGATAGTTTAATCCAAGAATGGTATTTATGGATATCAAGTTTCTTTCTTCTTCATAATACAGATTCAAGTTTCTTCGAGCAGCAAGTATTCTTTTTGTTGTTGGAGTGTTACCCAATCTTGACTTATGTGATACCTTCTGAGACCCTTTTGAATGAATGCTAGTATATGTGAAATTTTTAGGCAATTCAAATCCCTTTGTAGACGTTTCATGGTTTAAATCAACGAGTCTTTTTGATACTAATCTTTCCAACTGAACTTGCTGGGTGGATTTTAAGGTACCTGTTTTATTTGTAGGTTCATTTGTCATAGTTTGTGCATTCATTAATTGGTTAAGGTTATAATTCACTTTTGCTCTTCCTTTCTTGTTTGATAATCCCAGGGATGAATCACCAGCAGTGTTTGATTTCCCTAACAGCCGAGCAGTTAAATTGATCGAGGAGCTAAAATAAATAGTAGAAGTTTTAGCATTTGTGGATTTAGGAACCTCTTCTACTAACATGATTGATGAATGAATAACGAAGGAGTATAGTTTGTTTCGTTATATTTTTTTTGGTTTTTGTTTTGTTTCTTCAATATTCTCGGTTTTAGACTGTGAGAGTTTTTACAATGGATTTTGAGAACCAACATGTCATGAAAAGTCGTAACTGTAGAGTCTTTATTTATATGACAAAAGACATCCTTCCTCTATTTACAAGACATTTTCTATCTACTTGCAATACTATAAACAGTCAATACCAGAAGCACTGCAAGTGACCTCTATCTATCACGATTTCTTATCAGATGCTGCACTTTCCTTCATCTCTTCATGAGTGAAAGGTTGATCTTCTCTAGCTTTATCTAACATTGGTTTAATGCCTTGTTTGGCTAAATTGGCATTTATACAAGTAATATAAGTATCCCAGAATTCAGTACATTCATTTTCCACCGATTTTCCTTTTAAAAATTTCTCAGTGTACCATTTGTTGAAGCAATCATCGTATGCATTCTTAGCAGGAGTACATTCAGGAGCAAATGAAACTGACATTATGTTACCCATACCAAATAAATATTTAACGTAGATTTAACAATAAGAAAGGAACAGGAATGGCAAAGATGGGGTTCAATGAACAATTTTTTTTTTCTTCCACTCTAATTATTCCTTTGCTCAGATACGTAATTCCCAGAAATCGGGGATGCAGGAAACGCGCGTAAAGACAAATAAAACAAACCAACGAAAAAAAAAACAACAACATTGAGACATCAAAAATCACAACAAAACAAGTATCATCAAAGATGAAGAGATATTCAATAATTCCCACCTCATCAAGAAGAAAATCAGGAGTGAATGTAACAGCATCGGATTCTGCCTTACCTGCGAGACAAATTCTTGACCAATTAGATCAAGATACTACGTTTGTTCTTCAAGAAATTGATAAAAACATATCTCGAGCAACAGCAGTTATTAATGATAAAATCATTCCCATGTTACAGGAGTATGATGCTCAAAGTAGCAAAGTTTGGGAGAATACAGGTTTTTGGAAAACATTTTTTTGAGCAATCAGCGAATGTTGAATTGGATAGTTATGCCGAACCAATAAGTGAACTAACTTCAAATAATCAGTTCTTATTGTTAAACAGGGGCAGCGAAGACGGAGAAGAAGAAGAAGAAGAAGAAGAAGGTGATGATCGACATGCAGAAGGTAGTGGAACACAAGTACCATTTAAGAAACCCATTGTGAAACACGTTATTGTTGATGAGGATACTCCTACATGGTCAACTGAACAGACTCGTCCATCAATGAAATCCTTGATGTCTCCAACAAGACGTACAGCATCGAATTTGGGACCAAATAGAGACGCAACTAAATTGACAGATAGCATATCTTTGCATCCACCATCATTGACAAGTGGAGTAAAAGCGTCATCACCTGTACATCATCAACGTCAATACAACAATAGGGAATCACCAATCAAAATCCATACTATACGACAATCTTTAGACACTTATCATAGAGTATCAATATCACCAAAGAAACAGAAAACTCCAATACGTTCCGCAAGATCTGATTTAATTGAAAATATTTTGAATTCGTCTCCATCTTTTCCCCTACCTCCTATCTTGAGATCAGAAATAGGGAGTGAAACGCCAAGACAAGCCACTTCATCTCCTATAAAGCAGGGACGAACGGAGTTACGTAAAAGACAAGCAACACCGATGGAGGATGTTCCTGATCTTCAAATGTTTCCTAATACACCAAAGTATTCTCGATTGAGTGGGTCATCCTTTAATTCTCCGTTGAAAAGTCAACTTGATGATGAAGACAGTGATCTACAACCGCCGCAATTGGATTCCGATAAACACGAGGGTGGAGTTATAGAGCCATCGGGTGATAGCGATAATGAAGATGACGATTCACATGGAAGTGAGAATTTACCTTTACCTGAATTAAACACAATTGAATTGAGTAGCAACCCGAGAAAGTCTAATCAATCAACTCCCGGATCAGGCAAGAAAAGAAGGAGAATTGATAATAATCACAATGATGATGCGGACAATGTATTCTTGGATAATGGAAACAATCCCCGCTCTAATAATTCAACTAGCTTCTTTTCGACGGCTGGTGAACATGAGGACAATGTGGAAACAACCTCGAAATCGTTTCTAGAAATATATGATCAAGCAATATCCAAAATTAGAGACAGAGATAGAACCAGGACCGACAACAATGAACTTACCAAAGATGTAACCCAAGAATTGACTAAAGATTTGACAGAGAATTCAACTGCTGATTTGGGTCCATTGAAAGAGAGATGGAGAAGATTATCCAAAAAATAGAACAATGTGCATAAATTATAAAGATTAATTAGATAAAAAGCTTAATAGTATACAGTAATCATGTAACATTCTTTTGATAGTTGTAAGGTCAATAAATGAGGCGGGAGGATAGTGAAGAGAGGATTAACTTGGGGAATTTTATAGTATGTAATTATTTCTTTGTTTTTATGCATTCCTCCATTGTGTTACGTAAGCCGTCCACGTGACAATTCGTAAGCATGACAAATGTGCGCGATTCTATTCGTCAGATCTGACATGCATGATTTCCAGAACCGATATTTTGTGTTCCAAGAAAAAATCAAAATCAGTTCATAGCCGCAAACAAGATAGACAAAGGTACCATTGACTAGAGAAAAAGAAAGTCTATAAATATCTGTAATATCTCCCTCTAGAAATGAGTTTCTGATTTTTTTTTTTTATTATTATTATTCCTATAATTAACTAATCAATTCAATTAATCTAATCAACTAATAACACTAATATAATAATGGTTTGCTCTGCTGCTCAATGTGTCTGTGCCAAAAAATCCACTTGCTCCTGTGGTGCTCGTCCAGCATTAAAATGTAACTGTTCCAAGGCTAAAGTTGAGAATGTTGTTCCAGTTGCTAAAAATGCTTGTGCTTGTGGTAAAAGAACCAAGAATGCTTGTACTTGTGGAATGAATGCTTCTTGTGATGGTACTAGAGATGGTGAAATTGACTTTACTCACATGAAATAGATTCTTCAAGTGTGAATAATTGCTTTTTGTTTTTCAAATTTTATTTCTAATTTTTTATTTATTTATTTTCGATGAATCGGAAATTCTATGGGATGGTTTTAATGTCAACAAAATATAGAAGAACAGAGGAATTTTTGGGATTTTCTTACTTTTTTTTTTATTTATTTTTAGTTTATAGCATAATTTAATAGTGACAATTTTTTTTATGAGAAGAAATTAATAATTGTAGAATAGAAAAAAAAAATCAAGGGTCCAGATACATGCTTTCAATTTAACAAATTTGATAATTCCGATTGAAATCATGAATAAGCACAAGGGAATAAAGCGCTCAAAAGGTGTATTTATGGGGAGGGGAAGGCTACTTTTTTATTATTTAACCGTGGTGAATTTACCTGTGTCGTAATGACAATTCTTATTGTTAAACACCATGAACAGTTGTAATTTTACCTCTTTTCTTTTCCTCCAAGTGAAACGAAATCAAACAATAGACTTCCAAATACGATGAAACAAGAATAGTAAGGTGACCCCTTGCATATTCCACTTAAACAAATGGAAAATTAATAATAAAAAAAGAACATCATACAATGCAAAAACTTTCAGGAATTGAAAGGAATGTAAAAGTCCCCATAGAATAAATAGACTAAAGAAGTTTAAATTATTTCTGTAATTACAAGTGGCTTGAAGGTATTCAAGTAAAGAAATGAAAAATGTTGCAGAACATACATCATATAATTAGCGAAAACTATTTGGGTGATTAATCACTTTATGAGGTCAACAATTCTCATTGGCCTCCTCAGATACAAGTTTCAGAAACGTACACAAACTAGTAGATTATATACAAATGACGTAATCTTCCACTGCAAAGTAAAAACAAAAAATTCAACTTTATCTGAGAATGTTGGTATTTTTTTTTTATTATTCTTTCATTCCATTTTCCAATTTAAGGAACTCATCTCACAGAGGAGAAAAATAAAAGGTACTGAATATGGGCAAATCATTGTATAAAAATAATATCTCAAAATGTAGGGAGTTTAAGTTCACATATATACATAAATGAGGAAGAAAAAAAAATATCGGAGCGGGTTTATCCCGAACACACGTTATTGTGCAGGGCACATAAATCTAACTCTAAATTTCACACACATGAAAAAAAAAGAAAGAATAAATAAAGCGCGTCTTGATTAAAAAAAAAAAAAGGAGAAAGAAAGTCTAGACTCGCAAAGATCTCAACAAAACAATAATTGCTGATTGTCTTATTGGATGTTGGCAAAGTAGGTTTTATGAGCCCCAAAAAACAATAAAATGAAAAGCACCACTAGACTATATATAGAATATACACGGCTATAATCGTGGCAGTACTAGTAGATGATTCTAATAATAGTACTTCCGGTTATTCCTTGATTGATTCTACTATAATCCATTTGAATCACTGTCCCGGAATTGAACACACAAAATAGAATGAAATAAAGTTCTAACCGAAGGCGTGTCAATCCTTCTTCTATTTTATTCTTTCTATCTTTCACCCAATGCCTTCCTCTTACTACCCCCCAAAAAAAATTATTTTTGCTGAATTGCGGTAAATCTTCTTGCGGCGATACTTGCGTTAGTAGATCCATGAGCCTGTGATGTTCTAAACGAATCTTCCCAATTTAAAAGAAAAGAAAAATGAGCCAATTATCTTCTGTTACTGAATATATACAGATTGCGATCTCAAAGTAACGGAATTATATCCCTCAAAAAACTCCTCTGGAGATAAATCTAGTACCTTTATTGAAAGTAGAAAACAAAAAGAAAAGTTAGTTAATTACTTAAATACTATGCATTATGGAGTGATTATTCATGCAGTAATCCGTTTATCCTATTCCAAAGTTCACATTTTACGTTTACCGCAGGAAGGCATAGACGTTTTGTTTAATTGTGCTACTTAATTCTACTTAATATTGCTTTGTGTTCAAACAGTGATTAAATCCTTTTTTTTTCTCACGTCTTCTTCTTCACCTTCTTCTGAGTTTTTCTTTTTATTTAGATCAATCCCGGAAATGAAAATCAAGTTGTGGCTATGCAATAACACGATGATACTGATCATATCATTGCAATAAAGACCGTATTTGGTTCTACGTCATAAACAGTTCTTTATTAGAGGGCTATTTTCTGTCAATTCGGTCTGGTTCGGGCTTATCGTTTGGTGGGCTGGTTGTATATTACCATAACCTCAGAAGGTTTTTTTTTTTTCTTTCCTTTCTCTCTCGCTGTTGCATTTATTATTTTTAGCAAAAATAAAAAAAAAAAAAATAAAGAGAATCAAATAAGACGCGCGTCAGTTTCTAAAGGAAAAGAAAAAAAAAACGATCTATGCCCGAAGTGGAGATCCGAAAAAATCAGAAAAATTTCAAGAGATGATTTGTTTCTCCCCTTATAAGTTTCATATAATGTAAAACAATTGTAGCAACTTTATTATAAAGCATTGGAAACATCAACAAATCAATTTCTAATACAATTATGAGATATATTGACTTTGTTTGCCCATGTTTTGGTTACGTTTGTATTTATTTGATAGGCGCACATAATTGATTTGTAAAACAATTGAATTTCATGTCTCTGATTTTTTTTTTCCTTACTTTTGTTTCTTTTTTTTTTTCTTTGGTAGTACGCTCATTTTGCTCTCTTCACGCAGTATAATCTCATGCCTCTGCCTAGTTAAAGAGAAAGAAAAAAAAAGTCTTGAAATATTAAGGAAAACTTTTTCCTTGGGCTTTTTTTTTTATTTAATATAAATAATATTGATACAATTTTATTTTCCCTTTTTATATATTTATTTATTACTTCACGAGCCTGATTTGATTTTTTATTTCAAATATTGGTTACATTCTGGTCATTTTTCTTCAATTTTTCATTTCTTCATATATTCTACATTCTTTTTACCCAGTCCTTTTTTTTTTTTGGTTCATATTTATATTTTTGGCTCCCATTAGAATAACCATTTACATGATATCAAAATGGAGAATTATCTATTAAGTTCGCCTACTCAACTTTCTCAACCTTATGATTATGATGAGAATTTTGACTTCTTGCAAAACTTATACCAGCCAATAGACCCCCTGGCTCAACTACAACAACTCCAGTCACAACAGCAGCATTCGCAACAACAGTTTCAACAACTTTATCAGCATCATCAACAACAGATTTATCAGGACCAGCAACAGCAACTACAACAACTACTGGTGCCACAACAATTTCAGTTTCCTCCACAGCATTTTGAAGAGCCACCTTCTCAGAAACAACAAGAGCAACAACAGCATCAACAACAGGATGATGTTTCCCTGCAAATCCAGCTGCAACAGTTAGTACAATTACCAGAAGATTCTGACCAACTTCAGGATCCATATTTGGAAAACGAGGAATGGACTTTCCCCAAATCTAGATCGCTAAATTTTGATTCGATAAATAAATCATTATTAGCAACTCCTTCAACATTCATGCATAAATCCTCAAACTCTGTTACTTCCATAACATATGAACCACCATCGTCATTCAATTCACCAATTACCCCTAGTAGAAATAGATCATTGTCTTACACAAGAGTATCCAAGACACCAAAGACCCCAACTCCTAGAATTTCAAGATCAATCTCAAAAATTTCACTTGATCAATTTATTCAAACCCATGCATCAGGAAACACCACTAGTCCTAAGATCGATCTTCTCAGCCCATCAAACTACACAAACTCAGCAGCTACACCTTTGATCAAACCAAGAAAACCAGTCATGAGTCAAAATTCATTCCCACTTTCAATACAACCTCCAATGGAAGACTTAAGGGAAGCACCACCTCCACTTTCACTGATTCTTCCTACACCAAATAGAGACATTCAACCTGGATTACCTATTAAACAAGAATCACCATCAACAATATCGTCCTTAAATGCAGTCGCAACAGCAGCAGCATCGGCAACAGCAACAAAGAAGAAGACAAGTACTTCGAGAGCAATAAAGAAATCACCGTCACTTTCACCACTGTATTCAGAACCAGTACCAAATCTGGCTGCTTCGACTGCTCCTACAACAACTTTTGCTACAACAACTTCCACATCTGCCGCGACTTCTGTTACAGGATCTCCTCCCGAACCTACAACAATTCCAATTCCAAGCAATATGGTGATCACCAAGAATAGAGTAAGAAATAATCGATCAACTCAATCAAGAGAAGATAAAAATAAGAAATATTCGTGCCCTATTTGTGATGGTCGATTTATGCGCCCAGAACATGTGAAGAGACACCTTAGATCTCATACGCTGGAAAAACCGTTTGAATGTGAACAATGTCAAAAGACATTCAACCGTAAGGACAACTTGAAAGCTCATATAAAGAAGATACATAAGATCATATAGACGTTATTGTTTTTATTTTTTTTTTTGATACATCATTTATTGATTCTACAGAATTGATTAAATAAATATATACCATTATCTAGACGTGATATGTATTCCTGGAAATCGATTCTTCCATTTTTCTTTACCTTGCCCCTATTAAGTCATTGTGCGTGTTCTGAAACAATGAAAAGACGCGGAATTGAACTCGAAAAAAAAAATCCTGCAACACAGCAAAAAATAAAAAAAAAAAAAAAGAAGACAAAACCGAATTCCACACGACCGCGTAGTGCGTGGTGCAAGGTTTTTTTTTTTTTACTTCTGTCTGAAAATTTCATCCCTTGCTTTGTAGGAGACAAGAATTCAGTTGAATTACAATAAGGAAAATACAATCGATACAAGTACCAACATAACTGGATATTGAGTTGGACTTCCAAAATTTGTAGTAGTTGTAGATAAATCTGATGTAGTTTGATTGAATGTGTTATTCAGAACTGCAATTGCCGTAGTTGTTGTATCGGGGCTGGAGACAACGCGGTTAACAAAAATGAATCCAGTAAGAACAATTAAGCCATTAATTTTCATTGTTGTAAGTTAACTTTTGTATTTTATCTTTCTTTGTGGAGAGTACAAAATTTAATCTCCTAGCTTGATGAATTGTACAATCGCTGCTCTTATATTTATATCCTTCTATCTTACTTGGCTCACTTACGAGTTGTACTTTGATTGTAGAAATCATGAGCTGACTTCGTAGGATGGTTTATTTTTAGGAATAAAGGGGGTTTAATAGAGTGGAGTATGTAAACACACTCCACAGTAGTATTTTCGCTTCTTTTCTTTTTTTTTTTTTCTTTGCCCAATCAACTTCTACCATACGTTGTTGGTAAAGAGGCGGTGTACTGTTGTATTTGCCATTTCAATTTAAGCCAAGTTGAAGCGTACTCATCGTTGAGTGACAACATGGCTTATGGCAAGGCTCAGTACAAATTAAAATGAGAATTTTTTCTTTGTTTTTCATTTGAACATTTTCAATAACTTTCAAGAAATGAAAACGATAGATCGTACTACACCAATGATTGTGTCCCTGCATATCTGACTGATAATCAACTTTAATTTTGATATTGATAGTATTGGGCCGTGCACGGCCCGCTAATCGGTCAACCCCAAGGAAAAAAAAAAAATAAACCCAGCAAGGTTGAATTTATAACAGAACAACCAATTGATCACCCATTCAAATCGAACGGGATTATCTAGCTCACTTTGAGAGCGACAAATAAAATCGAAGCATGTCTTTGACATGGTATTGATTATTTATGAAACCGGGTGCATTATATACTGAAAACTATCATAAACATGAACCAAACCTCCCTTCGGAACAGGTTTCCCTATTTGGAGCACCGCGGAATGGTTAGGTTTTTTTTTCCCAATCTTGTAGCTTTTGATGAAGAAATTTTGGTACAGATAAGACTCCTTGAAAGATGAAAACATTCTCCGCGTATTTCAATTGGGGGTTTGGTTATAAATAAGCTCATTTCTGGCATGTGTCACCCCTCATATAGTAAGATTGCTAATAACTTTTTTTTTTCTTTTCTTACCCTAGAAACAGACCGACTATGCTTACTGATAATTACAAAGATCTTGCTGTTAAAGCTAGAAAAATCTTCACTGATTCTTTGGATAAAACCTTGGAATTATTTCCATTAGACGATGCCACTAAGAAGAAATACGACGAGTTGCCTAGTGCCATTGGAGAAACTACATCTGATTTTGGGTCACCAGCAAAGCATCCATTTGAAGTCTATTTGTCTACTTTACCACGTAGCACATTGGAAAATATCACCGAGAAAGATCCTGTGGAATTGTTAAAGGATTTAAAGGAGAAGAAGATATCATGTGTTGAAGTCTTGACTGCTTATTTCCATGCTGCTGTTGTTGCTTCGAAATTGACCAATTGTGTTCAAGAATTTCTTCCTGTTGAAGCTTTGGAATTTGCTAAAAAATTAGATGAAAACTATGAAACCATGAAAGATTTGCCATTGTATGGTTTACCATTCTCTATTAAAGAAATGATTCCATTTAAAGGACGTGCTGTCACTCATGGTTCATTATGTTATTTAGACAGAGTTGTCGACTACAATGCCGATATTGTTAATATTTTAATGGAAAACGGTGCTTATCCATTCGTTAGAACTACAAATCCTCAATCATTAATGATGTTGGAATGTCAACTGTTCTGTCATGGAAGAACAGTAAATGCATTCAATAGTGATTTAACTTCAGGTGGTTCCTCTGGTGGTGAAGGTGTGTTGAATGGGTTATATGCTTCACCATTTGGACTTGGTAGTGATATTGGTGGAAGTATCCGTAGTCCAGCTGGTTTTAATGGTATCTACGGGTTAAGAACAACTTTGGGACGTATTCCTACTGCTGATTATTATTCTTGTCAAATGGGTTCTGAGTCTATCTTATCAGTCACTGGTCCAATATCTAGATCTTTGGATACGGTAAATTTGGTTATGAAAACTATTATCGATGCCAAGCCCTGGTTAGTTGATCCAACTTTGGTACCTATTGAATGGAGTCCAAAACCAAAAAAGAAATATCGTGTTGGTGTCTTGTTGAGTGACGAAGTAGTTAATCCAACTCCACCAATTAAACGTGCCCTTCAAATCGTACAAGACAAATTAAAAGACTCTGTTGAACTTGTTCCATTCAAACCTTATCATCATGAGAAAACTCCAGAGATTCTTGGTAAGTTATATTTTGAGGATGGAGCTAGAGATTTCCGTAGTACTTTAGAAACTGGGGAACCATTACTCGAACAAACTACTTGGGCAATTGATGGTGCAGAAGATCTTGACATGCATGAACAATGGAAGTGGAACTTGGAGAAGCAAAAGTATAGAAAAGAATATTTAAAACATTGGAATACTTATACAGATGAAGAAGGTAATATCTTGGATGCAGTAATTGCTCCACTTTATCCTAATGTTGCTCCTAAACATGGAACAGCCCAATATTGGACCTATACATCTCAATGGAATTTATTAGACTACCCTGTATTGGTTTTTCCTGTCACTATTGTTGATGAAAAGTTGGACCAACCAGAAAAAAGTTATTCTCCAATTAATGATATGGATAAATTCATTCATGATCAATATGATGACCCAAAGAGTTTTGCTAAAGCTCCAGTTAACTTGTGTATTATTGGATTGAGAAACACAGATGAAAAACTAGTTGAGATTGCAAAAATTACTCGTAAGGAAATTGGTGATATCTTTGCCTAGTTGAGTAATGAGTGAGTTAGTTAGTTTTTGTGTACGTTTTTTTATATATGTACACAACTATCGCGTGTGAAAATTTGTTTACTCCACTTGAGCACAAAAAGAGAAAAATAAACGAAACCAACAATTAAGCAAACAAAAAAAAAAAATAAAAACTAAAATACCCTCTATCTCTTACTCTTGCGTTTATTAGACTAGCATTTCCACCATGCCAAAAGATTATGGGCCAGAGTACATAGAATTGAACAATATCGAAGATTCCAGTGAACCACATGCATCAACCACCAAACAACCAACATGGAACTTTACAGACTCACAACTTCAACTTGTATTGTTACGTCTTGGCGTTATCAGTGACGAGATATATGGCACCGATTTCCTTGTTTCAAATATACAAATCTCACCAGAATCACGCTATATGATTGATAAAATCAATGAACTACCCGTTTCTACAGCCATTGAAATAGTTCGTGATGCATTAGTGGACCATAAGGGAGACGTCAATTTTTTAAACGAAGATTATCAATTGCTTGAAAGATTAGTGAGTCAAATTCCTGAAAATACAGACGATCTTGAAATCAAACACGAAATTGAAGAGAAATATGTTGATACATTCAAAAATAAGACATATCTTCACATTGTGGATTGGCCATTGCAAGTGAGACTCGAAGCAGCTTTGATTCATTTTCATTCACCTTATCCAGAGATACGAGCCATAACTGAACCGTTTGATGATCCAAGCATCCCTGTTGAGACATTTAGAGTATATTTCATTGGACTTTTTTGGACATTTGTGGGGTCGTTGATTAATAGTTTCTTTTACCATAGAATGCCAGGTATTTCATTAGGTACTCATACAATCCAGATATTGCTTTTACCAAGTGGGAAACTTTGGGAGAAATTAGTTCCTCATAAAACCATTCATATTGGTGGGTATTCAATTGATTTAAATCCTGGGCCATGGACATTTAAGGAAATGATGTTGAGCACAATCATATACCTGTGTTCTGCAGGTACACCATATCTGATTAACAATATTTTTGTGATGAAGCTTGATAGATTTTATGGATTAAAATGGGTGACATGGAGTTTTCAAATATTGTTCACTTTATCAACACAACTTCTTGGGTTCAGCTTTGCAATGATCATGAAAAAGGTCTGTGTTTACCCCAGTAAAGCGCTCTGGCCTACCATTCTTCCCACCATAGCATTGAACAGAGCATTAATGAATGAAGATGAGAACAATGCAGTTCATGGATGGCGTATCTCCAGATATTCCTTTTTCTTGGTGGCTTTCTGTGCCAGTTTTGTATATAATTGAGTACCATCATATTTATTCAAGGCGTTGTCTTTGTTCAATTGGCCAACATGGTTTGCCCCCAATCTGATACATCTCGTTAACATTACCGGATCTAATGTAGGATTAGGTTTTAATCCTATTCCATCTTTTGATTGGAATGTTATCGGAGGTAGTAGCATGGTTGTGCCGTTTTACACGTATGCAAACAAATATATTGGTACATTTCTTGGATTTATTGTTATCTTGATAGTTTATTACACTAACAACAACTGGACTGCATATCTTCCTATCAATTCCAACAGGTTATATAACAACCAAGCAAAACTATATGATGTGCATGACATCCTTGATGACAAGAAATTATTTGATAATGACAAGTACCAACAAGTTGGTCCGCCATATTTCACGGCTGCTAATTTAGTTATCTACGGAGCATACTTTTGTCTTTACCCATTTGCCATATTATACCATTTTGTCACTGAATGGCAGTCGATGAAGACTAGTTTTGTTAATGTGTGGACAACAATTACTGATTCATTTCAATCGACCCACAACGACGCCAATCATTATGGGAGATATTCTGAAGATCCACATTGTAAAATGATCTCAAAATATGAGGATGTACCCAACTGGTGGTTTATTACTATTTTGGTAGTAAGTACTGCATTTGCTGTGTCTGCTGTGGTGTTCTATCCTGTAGAAACTCCAGTTTGGGGAATTTTTTTCACTATTGCCATTAATTTCGTGTTCTTGATTCCATTGACATCGATTGCTTCCGTGACGGGGTTTTCTTTTGGGTTGAATGTACTTGTGGAATTGATTGTTGGTTACGCGATCCCCAATTCAGGGATTGCATTGATTACATTAAAAGCATATGGATACAACATCGACAGTCAGGCAAGCAACTATATCACTGATCAGAAACTTGCCCATTATTCTAAAATTCCTCCACGTGCTATCTTCAAGGGCCAAATATTGTCAACACTTCTCAACATTGTGATTGCATTAAGTGTGGCTAATTGGCAGATAGATAACGTGCCAAATATCTGTGATCCGCACCAAAAGGATAAGTTGAAATGTCCTGGAGCCAACACGTATTTTTATTCCAGTATCCAATATGGTGAAATAGGACCTGCTAAAGTATTTAGTGGATTATATCCTGTGCTCAAGTGGTGTTTTCTCCTTGGTGTTCTTTTAGTATTTCCTTGTGTGTGGTTAAAAAATAATGGTCCAAAAAGAATATTCAAGTATTTCCAACCAACAGTAATCATAGGTGGATTTTTGGATTTTGCACCATATAACTTGCTGTATTACACTGGAGGATTATATATTTCCTACATTTTCATGTATGAAATCAAAAGAAATTACTTGTTGTGGTGGGAAAAATACAACTATATATTGACAAGTGCTCTTTCTGCCGGTGTTGCTTTTAGTGCATTGTTAATCTTTTTCACGGTACAATACCATCCACATCCATTATTATGGTGGGGCAATCTCGTTGGAGAACAAGGATATGAAGGAGGTGAAAGACCTGCCATATGGAAAGATATAAGCACCGCTCCAGGTGGCTACATAGGATTACGTAAGGGAAATTTCCCTTAAGAAGTGTAAAATAAAAAAAGTGGTGTTTAGTCACCCCGTTTTGAATAGAAATACATATTCCACTGTTGTAAAATTATATTTTTGATACTATAATCCGAAAAAAAAAATTGATAACGGCACTGAAATTGTGCAGCAAAAAAAAGAATTATAACGACGGCAGCAGGACTCGAACCTGCGCGGGCAGAGCCCAAAAGATACCTTGAAGGATTCAAGTCTTTCTCCTTAACCACTCGGACATACCGCCAGAAGATTGAAATTTTTGGCTTTCGCTGTAATGAATAGATTACTAGTATATTTTCTCTCAAATACTAATCCCTACCAGATTATCTAGATAACTTTACCAGGCCAAAATAATAATAACATTTGAAAACGTACATATAAATTACGCCAAAGTTGGTTGGTTAGGGTTGAATATTCAAAATGTCCTGCTAATAGATTATAAATGTTTATACATTAAAGCAAAACTTAACGATGTGATCTGATTCTAGACTGATATGAATTCACACAATCATCGGTGTCATATAAGGCGGAGGAGATCAACAAACATCACATTATTTAACCTAATTTTGTATAAAATGTTGAAAACCACGGATGATCTACTACTACTTTTTCAGGTATATGCAGCTGTTATTCTAAAAGGCTTTAATAAAATTCATGATTGCTTAGTTTTGTGAAGAACGAACATTTGTTACTATACTAATTTTAAAAAGTAATGTTTATGTAAGTTTTCATGGAAAATAGTGGGGGAATGGTGAGGAGAAATTAATGTATCGTGTCTCACGACTAATTTCCTAACAAATATGCAGCCTTCATAAATCCGTTGATAAATGCAATTTTTCATCCTTTCTTTTTTTTAAAAAGAAAAAAATTTTAGAAAGGGTTTTATTGAAATATCAACTGATTATTAGCAGATAAGCGCCTTGGATATGAATGTTTTTCAACTGCTGGGCTGTTGTACAGTGAATGTATATATTGGAATTTGAATAATCCTATTATTTGACATTTCTAACATTGCCAAGCTACTTAAATTTTAATGAAAATTTTGAACGAAATTCGCAATATATTAAAACAATAATGAACTTGAATAATATATACGATATTAAACAATGATATTACATTGGGAATGGTCAGCTATCTCCATGATTGCTATTACTTCGTATGAGATGGTACGAGAAATTTGGATGATTTCGATTAAATACATTAAAGTACATTACAATTACCCAAGAGTCGTGTGCAGCATACCAATACTTCTCATTAGTCCCATTTTCTTTTTCTTGTTTCATTTAGCTTTGCCGCATTGAATTTTGTAAGAAAAGCAATAAAAAAAAAAATAAATAAAAGAGCATCGACGAGTGCGTGCGAGAGAGACAAAAAAAAGAAAAAGAATAAAAATATTCAAGGGGTCGGCCACTCTATTTCTAAGAAAATTCCATACTTCTTCGCGATCTTGCGCTTTATTGATTCGATACAACAGAGACCCGTATATCCCCTATCATCTTCCCGTATTCAGATTGTGATATTCGATAATGTTGGACTAGCTATACTATTTATTAATGGGGAAAAAAAAAGAGAATTCTTTTGCTTTTGTCCACGGCAAAGAGCAAGGAAACAGTCAAGCGTAATTACGTCATAGGATTGAAGGTAGTGAGCTAACTTCAAAATAATTTATGTTAATACACAAAAGTAAATTTTTGTGCGCTTAATATGAACAAGAACAAGTAATTAACCGTTTGCACATACTGGGAGGATAAGTGAGTAAAGTAAAAGTCAATCGAGGACGAATTTCAATGAAAATTTTTCCTCTTTCTGATGCTATTGTCTTGGGTTGATTTTAAAATTTAGTTCTAGTATATATCTGGGGAAATATCCATTTCACCGTCTCAGCGTTTTGAACTTTATTTTGTATTTCTTTTTCCTTCTTTCTTTCTTGATTTTGCAAATAATCTCTTCATTACGATACTCAAAACATCATGTGGAAAAGAGAAAAGAAAAATGATTATGTTACAAACGAACTAAGAGAGGATGACTTATTTCAAGAAAAGTCCAAGACCCAAGCATCCCTCTCTTCAGAAACTTCAAAGGATGATGATTCTTCATCCACCGAAGTTGGACATACCCAAAGAAAACTCCATAATCGTCATCTTCAACTTATCGCTATAGGTGGTTCCATTGGGACAGGGTTATTTGTTACCATTGGTACCACAGGTTTGACCGTTGGTGGTCCTTTGGGACTTCTACTAGCTTATTGTCTTTCAACTTTCCTTATCTTGCTTCTTACCTCAGCCACCGGTGAAATGGTCTCTTACCTTCCAGTCGACTCCCCGTTCTTGAACATGGCCGGCCGTGTCATTGATCCCGCCTTTGAAGCCGCTGCTTCGGTTAACTTCTGGGTCATGCAAAGTTTGTATATCCCATTTGAAATCACTGCTGTCAATGGGATCATCCATTTTTGGAGAGACGACTACTCACCTGCTATCACCTTCTGTATCCAGATCGCCATCTATGCTGCTATTAACTTGTATGCCGTGAGAGTATTTGGTGAATGTGAGTTCTGGTTCCTGATTGGCAAGTTGCTTCTTTGTATTGGTTTGTTGTTTTTCACCTTGGTCACCATGTGTGGTGGTAACCCTAAACACGATGCCTTTGGGTTCCGTAACTGGCACGTGGCCGGCGGCCCGATTGCCACATTGTACACCACCGGGTCCTTGGGAAGATTCCAGGCGTTCTTGGGTGCCTTCCGTTGGAGTTCCTCATTCACGTGTGTGGGTGCTGAGTACTTGGGTATGACCGCCGGTGAATGTGTCAACCCTCGTCACAACTTGCCTATTGCCTTCAGAACCGTGTTGTACCGTTTGGTTCTTTTCTACGTCGGAGGTGCCTTGTCTGTTTCAATTCTTATTGCCTACAACGATCCAAAATACGTCGCCTTAACTTCCGACTCATCAAACGCTGCATCCTCGCCATACGTTGTTGCTATGCAAAATTTGGGTATTAGCGCGCTACCACACATTGTCAACGCTGTTATTTTAACCTCGGCATTTTCCGCTGGTTGTCTGTACACATATACCTCGTCACTTTGTTTGTACAATTTGGCCAAGAAAGGGTTTGTTCCTTCCATTTTCAAGAAATGTACCCGTCACGGTGTTCCAATCTTCTGTGTTGGTGTGTCTGTTTGCTTCTCCTTTTTGTCGTTGATGCAGTTGGGTAAGTCTGGAAGTAAAGTGTTGAACTACATGGTGAACTTGTGTACCGGGTCCCAGATCTTGAACTACGCTTTTATGTCCATGACCTACATCGGGTTCTACCATGCTTGTGAAGCTCAAGGAATTGACCGCAAGGCTTTCACTTACAGATCATGGTTTCAACCATATTCGGCTTACTTTGTTTGTTTCATGTACTGGTGTATCGTTGGAATCTTGGGATACAATGTGTTTATGCCAGGTAAGTGGTCTGTGGATACGTTCTTGTACAGTTACATCATGTTGTTTGTTTCTATTGCTGTGTTTATTGCGTGGAAAGTTGTCAAAAGAACCAAGTTCATCAGACCAAGTGAAGCCGATTTGATTACTGGGTTGGAAGACATCGAAAGACACGAGTACGAATACTATGCTCAAATGGAAGCAGCGAGTGTTAAACAAAGCAAGTGGAAGTCTATTTTGCATTGGGTTTTCTAGACGAAATAAACAGAGTATATCGATAAGTACGATTTTTTTTTATTTACGTTGTATTTGCATTTTTATTATAATATTTTTAGTTTTACATATAAGTTACTAGATTGAATGTACCCGTAGGAGATTATAAAATGATAGCACCGATAGCACCCAAACCAATCCAGTAGACCGTTGGGACTTGTAACATACCAGCAGGTGATGAAGATGTGGCACTACTGCTGGTTGAATTGGAAGTTCTGTTTCCTGAAGAATGACCAGCATGGTATCTTGCTGTACCGTATCCAGCTGCTGCTGCAGCAGCACTAGGTGCATAATAATTACCATACCCACATCTGGATCCACTGCAATGGTATTGATTGTTACCCCAGTTTCGTCTGCTGCTAGAACTGCTACTGCCACCTCTTGTACCACTAGATCCAGTGGAGCCACTAGAACTGCCAGAACCACCTTTAGTTCCACTTGAAGACCCACTTGAAGACCCACTTGAAGAACTGCTAGAGCCACCTCTTGAACCACTAGATGAGTCACTGGATGAACCACTGCTGGAGCCACCTCTTGAACCACTAGACGAGCCACTGCTGGAGCCTCCTCTTGATCCACTTGATGAACTTGAACCACCCCTGGAACCGCTTGAGCTACTACTTGAACCTCTTGAACTACTACTGCTACTACCACTTCTTGAACTTTTTGATCTTCTTTTAATTAAACCATCAAATGGAAATAATGGATATCCAAAAACATTTATAGTTAAGGTGATAAATAAAAAAACAGGTATGAGCTTCATAGTTATTATTAAAACAAGTTTGAATGAAAATTACAGCAAATGATTCAGATGTGTCAGAAGGCATACAATTTATAGTATTAGGTCCTTAGGAGGCGAGGGGAGTTTTGAACATGATGCTGTCCATTGGATCCATAGTCATATTTATTAGATAATCATATTGTTTACGGCGAGGAAAAGAAATCAAAGCAATCCTTGTTATTCTTGTGATGTATTTTTTTTTCTTTGGTTTACACTGAATTGAGTTTACGATATGGGTGGAGTTCTTATTATTGTGCAGGGTATAGAACGTTTTACAACGATTTACGAATACACAAGCGCCTTGTTTCTGTCATACTTGGATTTCTTTTTATTTTACAGTTGGAGGTAAAATGACCCATGTAGAAAACCCCAAGAAAATACACTACTTGCAACTCTAAATATTGGATCTATAATTGTTAAAAATAAGCCACAATAAACTTAAGGAACCCTTATAGCTAAGAAATGAGAGTGTTTGTATTCTCTAATTTATTGTGCGTATTCTTCGACCCTCAGTATATGGTATACTTTTAGTAAGGTTGATAACTAAAATCGTTAGTACCTATAAGATTCCTTTTTTTCAACACACTATGTGTCAGATACAAACAATGTACTGATTAGAAATGACTTCTACTTTAGGACTTGTTCATTTTCTTGAATGACTATTACATTGGTAGCACAAGGGATTGGCTAAAAATAGATGATGAGGCTGATTAAGGGAAAAATAAAAGATAAATTTGGTTACGAACCCCATACACGACCTATTGTTTTTGTGTTTGCTTAAAAATCATATCGTCAACGACAATTAAGTTGTTCTACTATCATGAAAAAAAAAATAGAGAAAATTGTTTATATTGAAAGATCAATATGGTTACAAATAATAACTATGTAATTTGAACTTCCAGGATTAATTTAAACTTTGTTATGAACATTTACATGCGATCCGTTTGAGTCATCCATGATATTTTCAACAAACTCATCAGTTGGTTTTCCAGTATCAGTATTATACATGATGTGGTTATAATCAGTATTACCCTTTTCATCCCCAACATACTTTATTCTATGGATTTGGGAATGGTCAGGTACTAATTTTTTACAGTTTCTTAATTGGTACCAAGGTAATGTTTCAAACACTTCTTCAATAGATTCCAAACTACGACCCTTCAATTCTGGTAAAAAGAAGGCATAAACCAAACCGATTGCCATGACACCAACGAAAAAGTAAAATGCACCATAAGGATGCATGGCAAGCATCATTTTTGGTAATGCCTTTGAATTACCATATTGATTGGCAAAATGTAACACCATGACCAATGATTGTGCAAACGATCTAATTCCTAATGGAAATATTTCTGCACCAATTAAATATTGAACTGAATTGAATCCCATAGTCCAAGCGGTTCCACTGAGGAAAATTGAAGCAAGGGCAGCTTGTGAAGCACGATATTTAGATCCAGTTAAGGAAGTTCCAGATTCAGCAGCTTCGGGAACAATAGTTAAGAAAATAGCATAGAATAGAATACATGTCATTTGTAAACTTAAACCAACATAAAGACACCTCTTTCTACCGATAACATCAATTAAAAAGAATGCCGATAAATAAGCTGAACAGAACTTGACAACACCTAATACTGCAGACATTTTTAAGGTACCTGTACCTGTAACTCCAATAAGACCAAATAATTCAGAAGCATAAATTGTTACTGCATTGGCACCTGTCCATTGACCAATAACTTGACATGCTGCGGAAATTGCAAAAAATCTATAAGCAATCGATTTGTTTGTAACCAATGCTTTAAAATTGGAAATTATATTTGAGTTTTTTGTTGCTTCTTTCTCAGCAAGAAGTTGTTCATTGATATCACTGATTTCTGCAAGAATATATGGATGATCTGGTGACAAATGTCTTAATTTAGACAAGTTTTCAGCAGCTTTATCAGCTTTATTAACTTTAACCAACCATCTTGGAGATTCAACACACAAGAAAAATGATAAAACAAAAATCAAACCACTCAAGATGAACTTTGGAATTAAAGTGTATTGCCATTGTTTATTATTTACATGGCCGTCAATTTCTGCAGGAACATGTAATGCCACACCGTAGTTGGTGAAATAAGAAATCATACTACCAAAATAAACTGCACCTGAAAAAATACAAGTTGCTAATCCTCTTATTGGACTTGGGGCAACTTCACTTAAATAAACTGGACCAATGGATGTAGTATGACCCACGGCTAAACCTTCAATGATTTTACCAGCATATAATTGCCCAATAGAAGTAGAAGTAACCTGAGTTATAACACCCACAATCAAAACAATGCACACAATTTGTAAAGCTCTAATTCTACCAAAGAAATCAACGGTTTTCATAGCAATAATAGCACCACCAATAGATCCCAATAAAACAAATGAGGTGATATTTGATTTGATGTTAGCAAGCTGATCTGCACTTTTGGTTTCATCATCTAACCCAAAGGTGTGTTTGAAAGATTTCAACGTAGTATTAGAACCAGAATTACCTTCTTCCAATCCTCTAGAGGCACCTAAGATACCAAAAACAAAGATTGACAAGTACAAAGTGTAGTTGAAGATTTGAGGTGGATGTTCACTAGTATCAATAGTCCACCTGAATTTCTTTTTCTTAATTGGGTCTGAATCTTGAAAAGAAACACCGTCTGGAGAGTTGTACTTATTATCAATGGAGATAATGCTTTGTACGTCTTGAGTTTTTTCTTGATTTGCCATGATAGGTTACTACTAAATAGTAGTCAAGAATTAATGTCTAAAAAGGAGTTACTATTATTATTATAATAAAAAAAACGAGAATCAGAGATACGTTCTGTGTTTTTATAATGTTTTTCAGATGTGATTTAATCAAAATTATAAAACAATTAAAGCAGTGGCTGAATCTGCATGTTTACGTGCATACTAAGTTGTAATACATCTATTTATTGACCCGGGGAGGCTTTTAATTTGTGAAAGTTTACTAAAAAAACAAAAAAAAAGGGCATAAGCTAAAAGGTGGAGGAGAAATATATTACAGGAGATGTTCATGTAACCGGAAAGATTAGAACATTTACCGAGCAATTTAAATCTGTTATTTAAATCGGAAATGAGGGCTTTTAATTTGATTCCAATTTAACTTTGCTGATGGTTATTTTTATTCTTAGTTTGATATATAACATCAATTAAAGACTGCGAAATAAAAAAAAGGAAAGAAACCATAGTGACGTAAAATGACTCTCTTCTTGCTGTTGTTCCTTTAGTCGTGTACTTTAACGAATTAGAGGAATATAAGTGGGGATATTTTTCCTTCCATAGAACAATAGCCCTACAATGCAGAGTTCATTAAAGACAATAAGATTGTACTACTACTCTAGAAGTAAAACCTTTTGGAGTCGTTTGTTACACTGGTTTAAAAACCAGAAGAGTGTGGGGAGAAAGTGAGAAAGGGGGGGGGGGATGGTTTGGGTACCACAAGTGTGGGGATTCGGAATCAGGTGGGAAACGTTGTGTGCACATACTAAAGTCTAAGCCCAACAGGAAAGGCGTTTAAAATAATTACATAAGTAAATCCCAACCTGTCAAATAAATAATTCCGACCAAGAAAAAAAAATAAAGAAGAAGAAGAAGGAGAAGCAGAAGAGATTCGATGGACAAGAAATTTCCAACCGATCGGTTGCAACTGTCATCACAAGATTTCTTGGATGACAGATCTAAGATCCATTAAAATGGATGGGGAGTTTAAAACATCTCTTACAACCTTGTCTAGTTTGTTTTAAAAAAACAGAACAAATAGCAATGATTATTATTATACCCCGGATTATTGATGACAATATCCTGGCTACGTAAAAACAAATTAGAAAAGAAAAACAAAGTAAACGCCCAACATATAGTATTTACCCCCCCTCTCCACTATCCTGCCAACATGATACCATTTTTCATTATGTGAAATACCGGATGATATTTCGCTGATTCATCCTTTTTGGTGGCTGTAATTTTTGCGGTCCGTTCCCCCCAATTTAAAAATACACAATACAAAAACAGTCTCATCGAACAAGCCACACGATTATCAAGTGATAACTTTTTCAATACCTTCTTCTTTCTCACGAATAATACCACCATAATTTATTGAAGAATGACTCATCCTCATAAGAATATACCCATGAGACAAGATAGCAAAGAACTAAAAAATCAACATCTGTTGAACCAATGATTTTCTTTCCCCCCCTCTCCCCCAACAAGCGCAATTCTATAAAAAAAATCAGGTAGATAATTTCTCCGTGCGACAGTCTTTCCGTGTAATAAATTTAATTTCTAAACAATATAATCCATAATTTAGTTTGCTTATCTATAGTCCCACCTCCTTTTTAATTGGCCAATGAAAAAGAAATACTTCTGTGAAATACCAAAGCTTTGATTCGCTCATAACCTGTATCATTACCTGAATAGCCATGTGACACAATATGTACAATACATATTAACACTTACAACAGTAACAACAACAACTCCGGGTTGTGTTTCTATAATATCACAATCGAAACAAACTCTTACGTGAATGGTTTAACTTTACAATGTCTGTGTCGGAAAATTTCGTGTCATGAAGTGACAAATTTTGCCCCACCATAAATTGAACCTGCAATTCCGTAAAATGTAACGCTTCCCCACTTCAATTTATATGGTAAATCAATAATTCTACAATGTTTGCAATAACTAAATATACATTTTCTCTTCTTTTGAAATTTAAGATTATACTATTATACACAGGATTCAATAAAAAACATAACATGACTAATCTTTGGCTTTTTTAACTTGTGGTCTATGTTGTTGATTTTCATTGGTTCTCTTTCTTGACTCTTGTTGCCCATTACCACCAGTATTTGAAACATTTGGAGATGGACTAAATTTTTTAGGCTCAGTTTTGGAAACAGCCGGACGATGCACGGTCAATGTAGATTCATTGAATGGATGGGTTGGACCTGGTCTATGAACGGTTAACGTAGATTCATTTCCTGGGTGTCCAACTGGTCTAGCAACAGGTTTACCTGCTAAAATTGGCGAGCCAGATGTTGATTTTGCAGCAGGGGTGGCAGCCGTGACAAGACCAGATGATGCTTGGCCGGGAGTGGCTAATGTAGGAGTACCAGTAGCGATAGGTGGTTTTGCTGGTACCGTTGCTGGTGTTGTATTCTTCATTGCTTTTTCATACTTGTCAACCTTTCGTGTCAACATTTTCAACTTGAGTTCATACTTCTTTTCAACTTCCTCTCTTGTCTTTGCCTTTGTTGTTTCCAATTCCGATTCAAATTGCTTCTTTTCTTGTACAAATCGATCAAGTAAGGAATTATAGTTTTCTTGTAAATCTTTATTCACAGTGGAATCACTTCCTTTAGAACTTTGCAAAGTTTTTGAAAGTTCTTGTTTTTCTTTTTCAAATTGATTACGTAAATTTGATTCCAAGTCTGATAATTTCTTTATCAAGTCATTCTTTTCTTGAACCACTTTTTTCAAATCTTCACTAACGCTTGTTAATTTCTTATTCAATTCATCAATCTGTTCTTTTGATTTGTTAATTTGATCCTTGGATTCATCACTGACCTTGGTCGATTTACCCAACTCCTCAATTTTGTTATTCAATTCTTGAATTTTCTTGTTCAACTCTTGAATATTGGCATCCTTTTCAGTTATAATCGCCAGTTTTTCAAGAACTCTTTGGTTAGCTTTTTCTTTCAATCGACTCATCTGTTCTTGCATTTTTTGCACAGAATCGTGCAATTTCTTTGCTTCCTCAACTTTTTCCTCATCAGTACTGGTAGCTGAAGTCTTGATTCTTTGATTTTCTTCTTCAATTAACTTGACTTTTTGTTCAGCAAACTCGAGCTCTGTAGTCAATTTATTATTGGTAGCCTTCAAAGGATCCAATTCTTTTCTAAGATTATCAACTTCGCTATGAAGCTTACCAATTTCTTCAACTAACTTGCTATTTTCTTGTCTCAAGTTATTATTACTTTCTTTAAGGATATTCATTTGTTCTAATTGAGAACTTAACTCCTTTTGCTCCTGTACTTTGGCATCCAAATTAATGACGCTAGTACTGTTGTTAAATGTAGAACTAGTTGCAGCAATCTGGTTCTCCACATTTGTCAATCTAATCTTCAATTCTTGGTTTTCATGTGTGGCAACTAATAACTTAGCATCACTACTATCTTTTTCACGACGTAAATAATTAATAACTTGTCTAAGGTCATCAACATTCTCAGATCCAGTTGATCCCCCATTTACAGACTGCTTTGTCAATTCTAATTGATTCAATAACAAGTCATTTTGTTCCTTTAATTCTGAAATCTTATTATTAGACATCGACAAGTCTGTTTCAATTTGTGATTTTTCAACAGCCAACTTATCCTTTTGTTCTTCAACAGATTTCTTGGTAATCTTGACTTCTTCCGCCAAATTTTTAATTTCGACCTCTTTTACTTCAAGCTTATCTTTCAAACCACTAATTTGTTCGCTTAAGGTAACATTCTTGTTTAATTCAATCAGATATTTGTTATGACTCTCATTGGCTAACTTGACTTGTTCTTGTAAATCTTTACGTATAGATTCCAACTTTTCCTTGTAATCCTTATCCAACGCATCATATTGATCTGACTTATACCTAAATTCATTCAATTGCAGCTTCAAATTGTTTAATTCAGCAAGGTGTTCAGTCTTGGCAAGTTCAAGGTTATTGGTTGTGGTTTGGTACAACTCATTAACTCTCTTAACTTCTTCTTCAAGGGACTCCTTCTCTTTAATCAATGATTGGTATTTGGATTCAGAATCATGTTTGTACTGCTCAAATGAAGTTGTTGCATTAATCAAAGTTGTTTCACTAGCCTTGGCAAGGTTTGTCAATTCATCTACTTGAGATTCAGCAATTCTCAAATCCTCTTTCAATTGTTGGATTTCAAGGTTGTTATTATTACTTTCGTTATTAGAAGCAGTAGATCCACCGGCTGGTACACCGGTTGCTACTGGAGCAACAACAATATCTCTCTTGCTGGAGAGTTTCTTTTTCAATTCCTCAACCAAATTCTCCTTTTCCACAAGCATATTCTTTGTTTCCAATAATTGTCGACTTATTTCATTAACTTGTTCCAATTTGGCATTTTGTGCTTTCAATGATAACTCTGATTGATTTGATAAAATGAAAATACGTTCTTCCTTCTCAGAAAGTTTTTTATGTAATGATTGGTAATTATCAATGGATGCATTGAGTTTGGAGGAAATTTCTTTAGCAGATTCTTCTCTTTCCTTCAACATGGATTGCAAATTCAATACAAATTCATTAAGCTTGGTTTTGTCTTGTTTCAACGTATTGACTTCATTTTGCAAGGAGTCTTGAATAACGTTCTTAAATTCTCTTTCACGTTCTAATGATGCTACAGCAATTTTATTGGATGATAACGTCTCTTCAAGTTGATGCAATTGTTCAGATTTAGTAATCAAAGAAGCCTCAAGTTTACTTGTTTGTTGCTTCCAAAAATTAATTTCTTTTCTAACTTGATCTAACTCTTGACGTGAATCCTCAAAAGATTTTTGAACAATCGATAATCTAGAATTTGCCAACTCAGCAGATTTATCAGAAACAGAAACTTTCAAAGACAACTCATTCTTCTGATCAGTGATTACTCTCAATTTTTCATTTAAATCAACAACTGTCTTTGATGACTGTTCTCTAAGTTTACTAATAATGCTTTCACAGTCATCTACTTTCTTTTTCAAATCCTCATTAATTTGGACAAGGTAGTTATTATTGGTATTGGAAGTAGCAGTTTTACCATTAATGGATCTAAGAGCATCTCTTTCTTTAGTAATAGCATCTAACTTAATATTCAAACTATCCAATTCGCTTTCCAAAGTGAGTATAGCCTCTTTAGCTTCTTCGATGGCAACACTTTCCAAATTGTTATTTTCGTCTTCACGAGATTCCAACTTTCTTGACAAGTTTCTTATAGCAACCAACAACTCTTCATTCTTTTGTCTCAACTCAATAATATTTTTAAACTCCAATAACCTTTCAGTAATTAATTTATCAGAATCAGATTCTTGTTCATCAGATCTACCTGATTGATCAAGAATTTTTTCAATAGCTCTCTTTTCACTAGCAGTTAATGGGTTTTCATTGTTGTCACGAATCTTAGAATGAATCAAGTAGAAACACAATTGACGTCCTAAATCTTTTAGAAGTTTTTTCAAACTCACCAATTCAATTTCATTTTCATTGATGACTGTTCTTAATCTCTTGGCATCCTTCTCCACTTCGGTTTTTTCTGAACGGATGGTCTCAACTTTACCGATCATTTCTTTCATGGAATTCTCATAAAATTGTATTTGTTCACGATAATTAGCAATTGCTGGCTTTCTGGCATCCAATTCAGCAATAAATGATTCCAATTGAATTTCCATCTTTTGCTTTTGAGATCTTTCTAACACTAGCTGCTTCTTCAAATGATTATATTCTGAGTACAAAGTAGATAATGAAATACCATTAGCAGCTATCATCGCGGATGAATCGCTCAACTTTGGTAAGTCTGTTTCTTTATGTAATTCAGCATCTAACACCTCTTCTGTTCTTCTTAATTTTTCTTCTACTTTCATTAATTTTTCAGTTTCCTCTGATAATCGAGACTCAAGAGAAGCAATAGTTTCCCCCATACTATCTTTTACTTCTTCGATGTAGGATTCCAATTGTTCAATTCTAGAAGCACGTTGTTCAGATTGAAGTTTTGTCAATTCAATCAATTCTTCCTTTGAAGTGATTTCTTTAAGGAATCTAGACTTTTCCAACTCAAATTCGGATTCTGTTTTAGACGACTTAGTGATTTCTTGTTCTAACTTGGATTTAAGATCATCAACCGTTGATTCAAGTTGTTGTTTCAATTTTTCAAGAGTTTCATTTCTGATTTGAAAGTTTGAAACATTTGATGTTGTAGAAATGTATTCGGATTCATGTTTCTTTATCAAATCAGTAAATCTAGATTGGGCTGACTTCAACTCATTCTCAAACCATTCTTTTTGATCCCTGAGATACGAAATTTCGTTTTGAGCTTTGGTCAAATCTAACTGCAAAGTAAATTTATCGTTTCTAGTTTCGTTAATCTCCTTTGTCAATTCGTTCAACTTTTTACTTTGTGTGATATTGGTACTAGATAATTGGTTGATTTGTTGTTCAAAATCCATTTCAAACTGTCCCTGGGCATCTCTCAATTTATTAAGCTCTTCATCTTTCGCTGATTCTGAAGTTTTCAATTGCAAAAGTTCTCTTTCAATATTATCTTTTCCTTCCTTCAAGTTGGCAAACTCTTGTTGCTGTTGCTTATAGTTTAATTCCAATTTTTCCTTTTCGTCCTTCAATGTGGTTGCTAAATTATCAGACTGAGAATATTTTTGTTTCAAATCGTCCAATTGCTTTCCAATAGACTGAGCATTCTGTTCTAATTTCAATTTAAGAAATTCATTTTCCGAAGTGATGTTTTGAAATTCAACAGATTTAGATACCAATGCTTGAAGTACAGATGAATTATTAATGGAACGTATACTTGATTCATCCAATGATAAGTAACCTGAAATTGCTCTTAAAGAGTCTTCATCAATTGTGTCTTCATTGTGCATTTCGAGATCTGCCAAAATATTATGTTTCATCGGAGAACTTGCAACTATTGGAGTTGAATCATCGTGGCTGTTGTGGTTGTTGTTGTTGTTAGTATCACCATCACCATGTAAGTTCTCTTGATCTTCAATTGCATCTTTTGCTACAGCAAAAGTTTTTGGTGTAGTTATTGGTTCAATGTCTTTTAATGCTGGTAAGTCTTTCGATGGAGTAGTAAATTGCTTTTCTGAAGCAGGTGGTTGTAAAAACGAAGTATGTGGATCTTCTTGAATCAGATCATTACCCACATCTTGTACTTGCTCAGACTGTTGATCTTCTTGTTGTTGCTCAGACTGATGCTGTTGCTCCTTCTCATCCTCTTGATGTTCTGTATCTTTTTCTGCATCGTCAATTTCTATTGGTGTTTGTTCAGTGGTTGCTGACTCTTCTATTTGTTGTTCTGATGTTTCTAATGCTTGTGCAGACTCTTCAACAACTAATTGTTTCTCTTCTGATTGATCCTCTACAGTGATAATATCCTTATTGGAAATATCTTCACTCATGACCAATTGAGTTTGATTAGATGAGATGCAATGGATGTGATTAATTTATGTGTATGAACGACTAATAACTTATCTCACCACTGGATTTTTTGGATGTTGTTGTTTTCGTTCTTTTTCTTTTTCTGGCGAGCGTTCTCAAAATCAAAATGTCGTTGTTGAATTATAATGTCGTGAACGCGACATACAAGGTTCAGGTCTCAAACCCTAAACCACGTGCAATAATTTTGATGCGCATTCAGAAATTGTTATGTGCAGTCACATAATAAATGATTTGTATACTCATTTGTTTTTACGTAGAATTTTTCTTTCTTGTGCGTGCGAAAAATGTTGACATATGGTGCGAATTGTTCACCCTAGCCAGGACTGCGCACTCTCCAGCCCTCGCTCACTGGTAGCACACGCCTACACGCATTCTCTCACTCTGTTACTCACTCTGAGGGTTACGACAAAACATTTTTTTTTTTCAGAGGAAGAAAAGAGAAACTAAAAAAAAATTTTTGGAAAGTTTCTTACCTTCTTGTATCTACCATAGATTAAAGTAACTAAAGATGATTGAACCATCCTTGAAAGCTTTAGCTTCCAAATACAACTGTGAAAAATCCATTTGTCGTAAATGTTACGCTAGATTGCCACCAAGAGCCACCAACTGTCGTAAGAGAAAGTGTGGTCACACCAACCAATTGAGACCAAAGAAGAAGTTAAAGTAGTGGTTTCAACTATATTATGCTTACTATATTTTCCCATCATATCATTTTGTTTTAATATAATGACATAGAGACTATTCTGAAGAATCTAAAGAGTATAATGTTTGTATTGGATGTTTCATTACTTATTGCCGGTTATATGTATATATTGAAGTATTATAAGCTTGTGGATATTCAACTGTTATATTCTAGTGTGTTTTTTTTAATATGGGATCTTCGAAATACAAAAGTTTTACATAATGGTAGAAGAGAGTTTAGTGGCAATATATATTTACATTACGATAAGTTATTTTCTTTGTATGTTTAATAATATAAAAAAAAGGTGTTCACGTTTTAATGGTTTCTATTTACATGATGAATATCATGTGTAGTATTTGTAAAAAACTTTACTAAAGGCATGTTTCTAGTGGGCATGTTCTTGTACAATATATTATCACTATTGACAAGTTCGGACTTGTAATCAAATATCACGTGACCCGGATAAAAATACCAAAGCGCAAGAAAGATTTCTTAGTGGTGACATAAAAGATACGAATTCTCCAACATGTCTGAAACCCGTATTGTTTCGTCGGGTGGAGATAATTATGGATGACGAGTCAATCCGAGAATAATCAATTAATTAATTATGTATAATTAACTTCAATGCATAAATCATATGTCATTTACATAAGTACGGAACAAAGCAGAAAATAATCATTTTATTTTTTGTATTTCTTTTAATTAGAAAAAAAAAAAGCGTCATATCATGTGTTATTCCCTGAGTGTTTGCAAGGCACGATTATTCTCTTACACACACACAGACAAACACACCACACCATGAAAAAACGAACGAGAAATCACAACACAATAACAACTGGATTTGTTTAATTTGCTTTTTCTCTCCTATGCCTAAACTTACACAGTGCACACACCGCACAGAGAGAGATCGAACTGCATTTGGTGGTGGTGGTGGTGGTGGTAAAAATCACATTGTCGCGAGTTTATCTGCCGAATCTTTATCTCTTCTACCTCTCGATTTAGATCTAGTGGCAATCATTCAATCACGACCTTACTATGAATCTACAATCTACAATCCACAATCACCTATTCTTACTTCTACTTCTACCGTGCCAATGTAACCTGTTTAGCTTCTCCAAAACCTATATACTTGTTTAGTTTTTTCTTTTTCCGCCCTGCAATGCTGGGAAGGATCAACCATTGCGTAATCATTTTTGGTGGCTGTAACGTTTTTTTTTTTCATTCGTTCTTTCTTTTGGTTGTAGTCTAATAGAAACAACAAAAAAAATAGTGTTGTTCAATCATCAACATTTTTTTTTTCTTCCTTCTTCCTTTTTCTATTTGGAGTCACCTAGTATCAATCTTTTTTTCTTGGGTTAGCTAGCTTACAACCAGCAGTTAACGTACACAGTACCATCTATTAAAGATTTGAATCAGATCAGATCGGATCAAATCGAATTAATAATTACATAAATTTCATACTTCAGTGATTCAATACATCACTAGAGTGTCACTTATTTTTTTTTTTTTATTTTATTTTATTTTTATTTTTTGCTATTTAATCCCATCATTATTAATTGATTTCAACAGAGAAAAAAAAAAAAATCACTCACGGCATTCAAGTCGACGCACACCACATCCAATTTACTTCATTCTCTCCCTATATTAGCCTACGACTGTTACGTATTGCAATATCATTTATAAATGAATAATACATTTGATCTGAGGATTCAATCAATTGATAATTCATACCCAACACCCACGGCACAGAAAAGACAGAATAGTTTATCGTCTCAAATGGTACATAGTTCAAACAAACGTACTTCCAATCCATTACAAACCCCGTTGGGTGTACAAACTAATCAAGACTATCCTTATAATAACCTGACTTTGAATTCACCTGGAACTCCTCATGTATCTTCTCCAAGATATAATGTCCGATCTAGGAAGAATGTTGTCCAGCATATGAAAACTCCAACCCCGTCAGCTTATGAAGTTCCATCCAGTCCTAACGTCAATCATTTATCGCATTTATCTAATCAAAATCATTCAGATCTGTCAGATTCCAATGCTGTATTGGATCATACCCAAGATCCAGGTGAACCAAAACAAGCAACCCGGTCCTATTCTCAAGCAGCGGTGCCACCTGCTCCCCCGCAGAAACAACCCTCACAAACTCATTCGTATCAATCATCACAGCAGCAACAACAACAACAACAACAGCAACAGCAACAGCAACAGCAGCCCCCACAGTCAAATTCATCAACAGGAAATACAACTACTAGTAATGCTGCTCAACAACAGCAGCAACAACCAAGGGCAATGTCAGATGAGGAGCAACAGTTGGCTACTAAACTTAAAGAGACCTACAAGAATATTGTAAATTATGAAGAGATTGTTCAAAAAAATTGCATCGAAATAACTATGAAAATTAACCAATTAACTTCAAACACAAATCCAAGTTTGGTTTATGGCTCACCTATGGTATCACAAAATATATCTAATTCATTAAATTCCAATTCATCGATTGCTTCAAATGCAACAAGAACTTCAGAATTACTGAACGACTTGTGGACAGTGTATCATCATAATATAACCCTATTGGATAATTATTATGATTTCTTAGTCACTTCATTGAAGCCCTCTTCCAATCAAACTCAGTTCAAGACAGGTAAGAATATCGTTGAATTATATAAGATCCCACGAAGAATGTGGGTATATGGAATTGTCGGATTCCTTGAAGTGTTGAAAAACATAATGGGCATTTTTCAAGATCACGAGATTTGCCTGTGTTTCATTTCCTATTGTTTCAATATCATTTCTAATTTAACCGACCCGATTTTGGAAATGGAAGGCTGGTGGCTGGAAAAACTAGGAGATTTATCCAGAATGGCAATAGCTTTATATTCTTCCAAATTCATTGATTGGAAGATTAGTGCTGAGTATTGGTATTCAGTTGCTATGAAGACTTTATATGGACACGGGAAAATATACTACCACATGTGTACTGTTCAACAAGATAACTTGGATGCATTGGTAAATATAGGAAAATCAGTCATTTGTCGCGATCCATTTGTTCCAACCCAACATTATTTGAGATTGGTGGTCGAAAACATCTGCACCCAAAGAAACATTTTGTCCTTGTTAGAATTACCAATTATAGATTTTATCAAGATCCACAAAGTTTTGCTCAGTATCCATAATAATGGAAGCAACAATAATGAAACTGGTGGTAACGGTGCTGGTGGTTCTGGTACCGGAGGCAATGGTGGTGTTGGCACGGCATCATCCGTTGAAAGTATTCATGATACACAATTACAATATGGTATTGACTTGGTCACCAGATATGGCATTACGTTTGGGTCTGATTCAAATGGATACAACTTTTTCACTAGAGAATTGTATGCCCCTGGCGGAGTAGCAGCAACATCTCCTGTTAGTGACCCGCATCAACAATATTACCAACAAGTTCAACAGCAACAGCAGTTGCAACAAATGCAACAACCAAGTGCAACTAATACCATTGAAAAGATGAATTTCTGGTTCAATAAAGGTTCTTTGTTTGCAATTTCGAATATTAACCATCTTGTTGGATTTGGGGATGCAAAAAATCCATTTGCTAAGCTTTTCCACTTACCAGAAGCATTGAAGGAGAGAAAAGATAAAAAAGATAGAAAGAGGAAGTCCAGAAGTGCTTCACAAACTGACGAAATCAATATGAGCAGTATTGGTGGTAATGTAGTAGATGGCCAATCGATTGTTGCTGGCGATTTATCAACCAATGATTGGTTCTACTGCTTACAGTTTATCAATAAGTCTGTTCTCGAATTGTCAATGAGGATATTAAATCATTATTTGATTGGTCCTAAACAAGCATCAACCGCTCATGTTATTGTTTGGTTGTACTTTTTGATTAGTGTTGGTGAAGGAGTACAACGATACCCGGGTAGTCAACCTATGATTAATTGGTTATTAACCAATGTTTTCCCATGGGAGTCCATGATTAATTATTTAAATTCTTTGTTAGCATTTGTTAAAAATAATCCAAAATTGTGTGCCATGTACACAAACTATTTACAGCTCAATTATATTCAATATTTCAATCAAAATGAGTTTTTGCCAGAGGTCTGGAAATGTTGGGGTACCCTTTGGTTTGATTTGATTGCCGAAAAGGGAGATTTCACCGATTTAGAAGAAGCCGGTGTCAAGAATAACAACTTGTTTGACTTGCCAATTTGTGGAACTTATCCTGTGATAAGCAATAATAGCAATAGTAGTTTATCGGATAACTTTGATTTGAAATCCAAGAACAAAATGGAAAATGATAACGATGAAAGAATAGTTCGTATTATTTTGTTAGCACGATCTGTTGCCGATAATTATGGATTTGGCTTAGTTCGTACCAGTGATGAGTTTAAATTCGATGAGAATGTTTATAGACAAAATATTATTCAACAAAACGAAGGCAGTTATGCCGAAGAGTTTATTCAAGATGGAAGATTCCAACAAAACCATTTCATGCAACCAATTGCACAAGAGAACTTGACTTTGGATATTAACAACAACTTGACATCTATTCAAAAGGACGAAGTGTGGTTTGGTGGGTTTGACAGCCATTTATATGATGATGAGAACATTGAATTAGGAGATGATTTAATTGATGAAGATGATTTAGAAGACTATCTGAATGAATATGGTGTCACTGGAGGTAATAATAGTGGCCAGCGTCCATCAAATGGAGGTCATGGAGATTTCTACAATGATAGTTTTATTGGCAAACCTACTGATTTGGTTGGTGCTGGTGATGACTATGATGGAAATTTTGGAGACAAGATCGACAGTAACGTTACCCATATTACTTTGGATACAAATATCTGGTTGAAGCATTGTGGACGAATCTATAAATGTGTTCGAGATGGTGTTATTAAAGTTCTGATACCGCTAATTGTTTTCCAAGAGTTAAGAGCATTGAGAAAATCACAAGAGGCCACCATTTCAGATGCTGCCACCAGATCGGTGATCATTATACGAGAATTGTATTTGTCAAGAGAAATTGTTCCTTTAAGATTTGATGGTACCGTTGCCAGTGATATCAATGAAACTACGGAATTTGAGAACAATTCGAGTTGGAGATCTAATGTTGATGAGACAATATTGCACTCTGTCAATGAACATGATGAAATGGGGAAAAGGTTAATGAAGGGATTGAATTTACGATTATCAAGTAATTCAAGAGATAATTATGGTAGAAGAGGAAGTTCCAATGATCCACCTATATTAAATTCAAGATTGGCCAAATTATTCAAGTATTGTATACTCATTACCGACGATAGAAATATGAGATTGAGAGCAAAGACAATAGGATTAACGTCATTCCAAAGCAAATGGTTATTTAATCAACTAGAAAGTGTATTTGCCGATAGATGTATTGACTGATTTTCTTTTTCTTTCTTGTTTCTTCTTTGTTTTTTTTTTTTTTTTGATACACACAGACTTAGTTAAACCACATATATACACTTTTATATACATACGCACTTCATTAGTAGTCATTGTTTTTTTTTATTATAATTACTATTTGATTCTCATACTAATATAAAGCATTATAATTCTTTTGATATAATTGTAACAAGTAGTTACCAAGGATCAATTTTTGAAACAGATCTGAAATGACAATCTGATACACCTACCACGCTATCAGTTTACAACGATGAACAGACATGAAACACGGGTCGTGTCGCGTGAATAGTGCGTGCACTTGTGGAACAAAAGACAGGACGGAGGAAAAAAAAAAAGAAAGGTGTTGAACCACTTACACGAAATGCCAACTCTACCAATAATAACCCTTTCGATATGCGGTATGCGGCATTGTTGATATTAGTATTATTATTTTACTCGTAAAGAATTGCATGTATCCCGAATTAAACAGTAAAACTGTTAAATGGTAAATGAGTGAATAAGTAAAGAAAAAGAAATTTTATATAGTGTTGATTGGATAAGATGGTTATGGAGATGTGCATTTTTAATTAATTGTCACTTTATGCAAATCTACAGTTTGAATAACCTCTCCTAATAGAAGAAAACTCTTGAAAAATCTTGCACACACACACACATACATTGTAGAAGAGCCTTGTGTATATAAAAAAGGAGGAAGGGAGGGAGGGAGTGGGTTGGTAACGAAGGAAGGAACAGGAGAATGACTAAAATAAGTTTCAGAGTAACTTGTGATATGGAATTACTGACGATATCGATGATCATCATTAAGAGCATTACGTAATGTGGAGAGAACTCCTTGAAATGCTGGCTAATGGATCACTATTTCAGGTGGAATAGGGTTCTCACATTATCCCGATCTAAATACCACTAGTACCTTGATCTGATTTGATTCCGTGCTGGCTATTGGAATCAGTAAAGTGGAATTCTTTTTTTTTTTTTTCATTGTATTAGTGAGTGTGCATAATAGTGTATGTGTGTGAGGATAGCCACAAAATCGGAACCACAAATGCACTGTTTGCAGTTCATAGTGAAAAATATCGAGTTGTGAATTTTACCTTATTGGGCAAAAACTGCAATTTGTTGCCAATAGTTTATTATTTCATTTTGCAGTTTACGAAAGGTTTCTACACGAGTTTAAAACCACAAAAAACTTTTTATTTGATGGTAGCTTAATAAAGGGGGAGGCACAATAAGGAATAGATTTAGGAGTAGGAATATTGTACCGCCGAACAATCTAGACCCATTTTAGATAGCCTATTCATGAAGAATTATTTTCTCTTTTAATTAATGAAGTGCATTAAAGGGAAACGGAAAATAGGAAATCAGGAAAGGGGGAAGAATTTTTTTTTTTCCAAACAGTAAGTCGATTTGTTGTGAAACACAAAATAATAATAAAATGAAATAACAGTTGGTGCACTACCACCACCACCTTAATGAAAAAAAGACTAACGATTTTCTTCTTCTGGTAATAAAGCAAAAGAATATAAATATACTTTGATTTTCTCTTAAGAAATTTTTTATTCTTCTTTTCTGTTTTAATACTTTTATCCTAATTAGTTCATCAAATATCACAAAGAACAAAAGTTCGGCCACAACTAAACTATCCCCATTCCATTCCTTTCATTCTTTTAAAACTTAACGGTTTAACCACTTACACTCCTTTTTTTATTTTATCTAACCCAGTTCATTCTTTTCTTTTATTAACTCAAAAGTAAGATACCCTCCCAGTCCATTCATTAACTATTAAATTATTATATTACTTTTAGTACACTCATTATGAAATTCTCATCCGTTTTATTATCTGCTGTTTTAGCAAACTTGGTTGCCTCTGCTCCAATTAAAACCGTCGTTGTTACCGCTTTCACCACCGTTTTGGTCGACTCTAAAGGTAACACTCAATATGAAGCTGCTGAACAAACTGCCGCAACTTCTACTGCTGCTGCTGCTATTGAAGAAACCACTGTTGCTGAAGCTACCCCAGTTGCTAAAGCTGCTGAAACTACTTCTTCTAGTGGTAACCTTTTAGATTCTTTTAAGTCATGGTTAAACCCTGCTGAAACCACCACCACCTCTTCCTCTTCTTCAGTTGCTACTGTTGCTCCAACTACCTCAGAAATTGCTGAAACCACCACCGCTGCCACTACTACTGCCGCTGCTGAAACTTCCACTACTTCTTCTTCTGAAGCTACCGGTTCTGTTCAATCTGGTGAAGGTACTTATTATTCTACTGGTTTAGGTTCTTGTGGTGTCACTAGTAAAGATACTGACTACATTATTGCTGTTTCTCATGAAATGTATGACAAATACACTGTTGGTGGTAACCCAAACAACAATTCCTTATGTGGTAAGAAAATTAGAGCTTTCTACAATGGCAATTCCGTTGATGTTACAGTTGTTGATAGATGTGAAGGTTGTGCTTACAATGACTTAGATTTCTCTCCATCAGCTTTTGATCAATTGGCCTCTCAATCTTTAGGTAGAATTGATATTACTTGGCAATGGCTCGATTAGGGGATTAATTTAAATTTTTAGTTCAAGGTTTTCATTAGGTTTGGTTATTATAGAAACAAAAAAAAATATAGGTATATTTTAAATATAAAATTTTTTTGAAAAAAAAAGAAAGAAAAATATTATCAGTTTTAGTTTGGGACTTCTTTAATATTGTAATGAAATTGTTGCAAAATTGTAACGATATACACTACCAATCACGTGACCACTTTGGATTTGGAGTGAAATAACAAATTCAAATTAGTACTGATTTTATAACATTGGGCTGTTATTACATACTCTAATATAACCATCTAGTCATTTTACAAGATTCACCTAATCGTGTTATTACTTTACTTTTTAATTTTTTTTTTTGTAGAAGTAAAACAATCCATAATTGACCTCATCTAGACAGATAAAAAAAAATATCGATGGAAGAAAGAAAAAAAAAAATTACCGCAATAAAAAAAAAGGGAAGAAAAACATAAAATAGTACATAATCACTTTAAATTGTTAAACATCAACTATATAACATGGGGGTTCCAGCTTTATTTAGATGGTTATCTAGGAAATATCCCAAAATTATTTCCCCAGTTATTGAAGAAGAAGACCATGAGATTGGAGGAGCAAGATATGAAGATCCGAATCCAAATGGAGAAATTGATAATTTATATTTGGATATGAATGGTATTGTTCATCCATGTTCCCATCCTGAACATAAAAAAGCCCCTGAAACTGAAGATGAAATGTTTTTAGATATTTTCAAGTATACTGATCGTGTATTGATGATGGCTAGACCAAGAAAAGTTTTAATGATTGCAGTTGATGGGGTTGCACCAAGAGCTAAAATGAATCAACAACGTGCAAGAAGATTTAGAGCTGCTCAAGATGCTAAATTGAAAAGTCACCAATTAGAAATCGAAGTTAAAGAAAGAGAAATGAGAGGTGAAGTTATTGATGATGCGATTAAAGGGAAAAAGCAATGGGATTCAAATGCAATTACTCCTGGTACTCCATTTATGGACAGATTAGCAGAAGCATTGAGATATTGGGTAGCATATAAATTAGCCAATGATCCTGGTTGGGCTAATTTACAAGTAATTATTAGTGATGCTACTGTTCCAGGGGAAGGTGAACATAAGTTGATGAATTTTATTCGTTCTCAAAGATCAGATCCTCAATATGATCCAAATACTAAACATTGTATATATGGTTTGGATGCCGATTTGATTTTCTTGGGATTGGCTACTCATGAACCTCATTTTAGAGTATTAAGAGAAGATGTTTTTGCTAAACAAGAAAAGAAATTCACCATTCGTGATCAAATTGCCGAAGCTACTTCAGATGCTGTTAAAACTAAAACAGAAGACAGAAAGCCATTCTTGTGGTTACATGTTAGTGTTTTAAGAGAGTACCTTCAAGTGGAATTATATGCACCAAGAATGCCATTTCCATTCCAATTAGAAAGGGCTATTGATGATTGGGTTTTCCTTTGTTTCTTTGCTGGTAATGATTTTTTGCCTCACTTACCAAGTTTGGATGTTAGAGATAATGGTATTGATACATTAGTTCAATGTTGGAAGAGAAGTTTAGGTAGACTTAAGGACTATGTCACTTGTGATGGTAAACTTAATCTTGAAAGTGTTGAAGTATTAATGAGTAATTTGGCCACTAAAGAAGATGAAATTTTCCAAAGAAGACGTGCTCAAGAACAAAGAAGAGAAGATGCCATTAAAAGAAGAAAAAAAGCTATTGATCAAGAAAAAGCACTCAAGGATATCTATTTACCTACTGTTTCTAAAGGTAAAGATAAGGCTCCGTTAACTGCTGATACAAATATGCCATTGATGGATACAAAGGGAAATATTGTTGAAGGGTATGCCAATTTGACAAATAGCGATATCGTACAAAATCAAGCTATAATAACTAAAGCAAACATGGCCAATAGTGAAGCTGCTGCACAATTGAAGAAATTGATTGATTCCAAAAAGACTCAAGTAAGCACAGTTCAAGACCAAATTGATTCTGAACAAATGACACCTTCTGATTCATCATCTATGCCAACATCAGAATCAGAAATAGAAACACCAACTACAGTTGATGAAGATTCCAAGAAGAGAAAACATAAGGATGTTGATGAAGAGATTGGAACACCAGATGATATTAAACTATATGAACCAGGTTATCACAAGCGTTATTATGAAATAAAATTCCATTGTAAATCAGATGAAGAGATTGAGAAAATGAGAAGAGAAGTAGTAGCACATTATGTTGAAGGTATTGCATGGGTAGCTTTGTATTATTATCAAGGATGTCCATCATGGAAATGGTATTTCCCATATCATTATGCACCTTTTGCTGCTGATTTCACAAACTTGCAAGAATTATTTCCTAATGGTATTAAATTTGAATTGGGTCAACCATTTAGACCATTTGAACAATTGATGTCCGTTTTACCAGCTGCCTCAGGGCATGCTTTACCAAAAGTTTTCCGTGAATTGATGTCTAATCCAGATAGTGAGATTATTGATTTCTATCCAGAAGAGTTTGAGATTGATATGAATGGGGCCAAAATGAGTTGGCAAGGTATTCCATTATTACCATTTATTGATGAAAAAAGATTATTGGATGCTGTTCAAAAACAATATGAATTATTAACACCGGAAGAGAAGGATAGAAACACTAATAAAAAAGCAGAATTATTCATTTCCCCAGCCAATAAAAATTATCCAAAATTTATGGAATCATTATATAAAGATGAAAAAGACAAGGTTGATTTCAGATATGGTAAAAGTGGCTTAGCGGGAACCGTTGTTAAATTAGATGCATTTAAACCAGAAGGAATTTTTAAATTTCCATTAAACGAAGGACATATGCCGAATGTTGATAATAAAGAATATTTCCAAGCTACCTATGAATTCCCAAAAAAGAAAGCAGGAAAATCAATGATTTTGAATGGTCATATACCAGCTATACCTGCATTATCAACCGCGGATAAAAATGATCTTATTTATCAATTGGATAGATTTAATAATAATCGTAGAAATGGGCCAAATGGAGGTAATAGATTTAATTCAGTTCAAGACAATGCAGGATATGTGAATAAAGGACCAGCAGGTAAAGAAATATTTAAAACTTATTCTATGAGAAGAGGAGGATATAGGTCATATTTACAATATTTGGCAAATGGGAAACATCCAGATAGTCAACTGCAACAACATCCACTACAACAACAACAAAGACATCAACAATACCAAGGTCCAAATGTTCAACGATACAACAACAATAATGGTTATCAAGGAGGGTATAATAATAATTATAACAATAATTATAATAATAGAGGATATAATGCTGGATATACTAATACTAGTCGATTCCAAGGTGTTAGTAATAATAACCATTACAATAGCAATTATAATAATAGTGGATATCAAGGAGCTAAAAGAACTGGTTTCCTTCCACCAAAGCCTCCAAGTTAATCAATGTATTTAACGTCTATAGATTTAATTCTAATGTATGATATACAACTTCCAAGAATATTGAGTGTTATCTTTTACATTTATTTTAATCTCTTGATCATCGTCTGTCTCAGGTAGTGCCACAATTCGTCCATCAACACAAAACCTACGTTGAATTAAAGGTTTTGAATTCTTGACTTTTAAAATTATCTTATCATCAGGACCAATTTTCTTATATATAACATCAGGATTATTAATATGTTTCCCATTATCGTAGACTTGTTTCATTATATTCATTATATGATCTTTATCATCATCTTTAGAATTGAATGCAACAAGATATAATTCGTCTTTTGAAATATCTCCATTAGGTGAAATTTCAAAAGTAGGTTCAAATCTCAGTGACGAAACCAACAACCAATACGCAAATGGTCCTTTGATACATTGTTCATCATGATCATTATTGATGTACATATCACCTTCGTATTTCTGAATTCGATTTAAATTTTGAGTTGCGGCAATTTGAAATCTTTGTAATCCGTGTGTACGTAATTCTGGGGTATCACTATCAGCTACTAACGAGGCATGAAATGCCCATGATAAAACAATCAAAAATTTCACATCAGTTGAGTTTTCAAGTTCTTCAATTTCATTTTGATTTAAATAGTAGGAATGTTTAGGAAATTCTGCTTGGTAAAGATACAAAGGCAATGGAGTACTTTGAAATAATCTAACTATAGAATCTATAGCATTTGTTATATTTAATGAAAGTGATAAACTATTACCAGTGCCTCCTGGTATAGCGAAAATTGAAATTTTACCAGGAATTTTGGTATCTTTTAATCCATTTATAAATTCATTTATCGAAGAATCTCCACTGATGAAAATTATAGTTATCGATTCGTTTGAGTCATTCAGTAAACTCGATGCATAATCTCTTATAGTCGTGGATGATTCAGTTTTTATAATATCATGAGTAATTGATAATGCCTCAAATAATGGAAAAAGGATCTTATCATATATATCTTTCTCTTTGTTTCTTCCTATTCCTGAATGAATAGAATCAATTACAATTACTTTGTCGGTAAGATATGAAGGAAGACTTGAAATTGTTGTTCCCTCTGGAGATCCTTGTAACAATTGAGATGTGAAATAGTATTGGTCCTCTTTTTCTCCAAATTCAAATCGTAATTGTTCGGGCAAATATGATATACTTTGATGGGACATGATGGATGAATTGAACTTAGTGATAAACAGTTGTGTCAGATCTGAGATCCATTGATTCTTGATTAGAAATCAAGATTTTTTTTTTTTTGTCTTGTATTCATATTCGCGATTTAGCCACACTTCTCGGTTGGAAACACCATTGAAGATCACAACTTACAACAAATAGACAAGAGTGAATTTAGTTGGGCTTGCATGTTTTGGTGTTATATCATGAGTGATTATGTTAAGGATTGATTGCTTCAAACTTTGAAATCAACATAAGCATGTTTTTTATTTTCATTGATATCATATTCAACGATATTTTTCACATGATCAGGAAGTCCTTGAATATAGGATATGGCAAATCTAGATCATCACTAATATTCACATATCCTATAATAAGGAGTAATATTGACTGTTGGTTCTAAACTTTATAAAATATTGCTGACACAGTTCACGTGAGATACCCCTGAAAGAAACCAGTTCAATTTTGTGTCAACATTCAGAATTGTTGCAATTAAATACCCATAAAAGGAGATGTCGAAATGAAGAAAAAAAGGACAATTTTGACACGTCTCTTTTCTTTTACTATCTAGCAATTTTTGAATAAAGTTATTGTTCATAATGAGTGATTATACTGACGTTGTTGTTGTATTTAAGAGAAAAGGTGGTATGTCATTGTGGAAGCAGATGTATGAAGTTGATGACGAATTTGGAGTGGAATTTAAAATCATTGATTATGAATCTGCTGATGAAATCTGGGAATTTTTAGACAATAATAAACTTTACTTTTACATTATTCAAACAAAATCCAATGAACTTAGATTACAATGTACCGAGTTTAATAGAGATTTCCATAGATTGGTCGATAATGATGATGGTGAAGAAGAAATGTTCTCCATCTGTGCATCTATGGGCAATGGTCCGGATGATAGAATTGAAGAGCATATGGAGGAATCTGATCATGAGGAATGTGAAATTGAATAGTTTTATACTGTTATTTGTATAGAAGACCTGGGCAATGAAAATTAACCAAACCTTTCTTTCTTTGATGACATTATGGATAATTGTTCATTCTAGCTAGCTCAATACATGTGTTGGACATGTCTATGACAACCAACTCTTTTCTCCTACTAAACACTTCCAGGACCTGTCATTCACGTACTTCAATTAAAGTTGTTCAATAATCCGTCTGTCATTTCTTATGGTTATAGTACAAATTTCTAACAAAAAATATGAAAGTATAAAAAAAATCGTGCATATGTGCACAATTTATGCGGATCAAGTCGACTTAGCCGTCCGCCAATAAACTTCTGTAATTGCTCGTTTATTGTTGAATGACACAAACTTGCATTGTCACTTTTTCTGTATGACGTTTATTCAGCCACGATTTCAAGTTCTAGACAATCCTCTTCAGACTTGGAAAATAGACCATCATCAAATAAAATTAAAACAACAAAGGGAACTCTAATGCATTGATTTAATTTAGTTTGCTGGATGGATAGTTACTTGGTCATTCATTAATATATATTCATTGAATACCTTGACAGTAGGCGATGTTATCCCTTAAATATGGTAATTATGATTTCCGTTTCAATTGTGCACGTTCATATCAGAATTCAAAACGTATATTGTCATATGGTTGATTTATAGATTATATTGATAAGTTCAATAAATATTTTGTAATTTCCACAACGATTTAAGCCACTGAAGATTCTTTGAAGATGGGCCCTGGCGTCCAAATTCTTGGCTTGTGTTCCTGCCACTTCCTCATCGATAAAAAATTAAATTTTCTTGGATTTGCGCCCAATTCATTTTGATAGCGGTGATTTTTCAACACTTTGATTGTTTTCACTGGCTGATTTTAAAGAGTCATGCTGGATCAATCTCATATAGAGGCTCTCCTTTATATGATAACAATAGAGGTGGGGGGCATAGACAATTATGAGCAACAATTGTTTAATACATCATCATAAATAATTTTCTGGTTGTTCCTGTTTTTGTATTACAAGCCTCAAAATTGAATTTTATCATGCATTCTTCAAACTCAATAATTCACGAATTTACGAATAATAGCTTATGTAAGCAAACAAAAATTTTTATCAACAACCAAACAATCAAACTATAAATAAACATCAATTCCCCCATTAGTTTCATTAAAGTTAGAGTTGTTTGTTATATTCATCTATATCAACACCAATAATCAATAATTTATAAAAACAATCAAACTATGCAATTCATTCAAATTCTTTTATATTTAACTTTATCTTTACATGTCATATCCCAACCACTTCTTCTATCTGATTCATTAGCAAAAAGAAGAAGTAGTGGTCATTCCAGTCTGGGTAGTCACTCTAGTCATTCTAGTCTGGGCAGTCGAGGTAGCTCAAGTGGGTCAAAAGGTGGTTCAAGTGGGTCTTCAAGTGGGTCTTCAAGTGGGTCTTCAAGTGGAACTAAAGGTGGTTCTGGCAGTTCTAGTGGCTCCACTGGATCTAGTGGTACAAGAGGTGGCAGTAGCAGTTCCAGCAGCAGACGAAACTGGGGTAACAATCAATACCATTGCAGTGGATCCAGATGTGGGTATGGTAATTATTATGCACCTAGTGCTGCTGCAGCAGCAGCTGGATACGGTACAGCAAGATACCATGCTGGTCATTCTTCAGGAAACAGAACTTCCAATTCAACCAGCAGTAGTGCCACATCTTCATCACCTGCTGGTATGTTACAAGTCCCAACGGTCTACTGGATTGGTTTGGGTGCTATCGGTGCTATCATTTTATAATCTCCTACGGGTACATTCAATCTAGTAACTTATATGTAAAACTAAAAATATTATAATAAAAATGCAAATACAACGTAAATAAAAAAAAATCGTACTTATCGATATACTCTGTTTATTTCGTCTAGAAAACCCAATGCAAAATAGACTTCCACTTGCTTTGTTTAACACTCGCTGCTTCCATTTGAGCATAGTATTCGTACTCGTGTCTTTCGATGTCTTCCAACCCAGTAATCAAATCGGCTTCACTTGGTCTGATGAACTTGGTTCTTTTGACAACTTTCCACGCAATAAACACAGCAATAGAAACAAACAACATGATGTAACTGTACAAGAACGTATCCACAGACCACTTACCTGGCATAAACACATTGTATCCCAAGATTCCAACGATACACCAGTACATGAAACAAACAAAGTAAGCCGAGTATGGTTGAAACCATGATCTGTAAGTGAAAGCCTTGCGGTCAATTCCTTGAGCTTCACAAGCATGGTAGAACCCGATGTAGGTCATGGACATAAAAGCGTAGTTCAAGATCTGGGACCCGGTACACAAGTTCACCATGTAGTTCAACACTTTACTTCCAGACTTACCCAACTGCATCAACGACAAAAAGGAGAAGCAAACAGACACACCAACACAGAAGATTGGAACACCGTGACGGGTACATTTCTTGAAAATGGAAGGAACAAACCCTTTCTTGGCCAAATTGTACAAACAACGTGACGAGGTATATGTGTACAGACAACCAGCGGAAAATGCCGAGGTTAAAATAACAGCGTTGACAATGTGTGGTAGCGCGCTAATACCCAAATTTTGCATAGCAACAACGTATGGCGAGGATGCAGCGTTTGATGAGTCGGAAGTTAAGGCGACGTATTTTGGATCGTTGTAGGCAATAAGAATTGAAACAGACAAGGCACCTCCGACGTAGAAAAGAACCAAACGGTACAACACGGTTCTGAAGGCAATAGGCAAGTTGTGACGAGGGTTGACACATTCACCGGCGGTCATACCCAAGTACTCAGCACCCACACACGTGAATGAGGAACTCCAACGGAAGGCACCCAAGAACGCCTGGAATCTTCCCAAGGACCCGGTGGTGTACAATGTGGCAATCGGGCCGCCGGCCACGTGCCAGTTACGGAACCCAAAGGCATCGTGTTTAGGGTTACCACCACACATGGTGACCAAGGTGAAAAACAACAAACCAATACAAAGAAGCAACTTGCCAATCAGGAACCAGAACTCACATTCACCAAATACTCTCACGGCATACAAGTTAATAGCAGCATAGATGGCGATCTGGATACAGAAGGTGATAGCAGGTGAGTAGTCGTCTCTCCAAAAATGGATGATCCCATTGACAGCAGTGATTTCAAATGGGATATACAAACTTTGCATGACCCAGAAGTTAACCGAAGCAGCGGCTTCAAAGGCGGGATCAATGACACGGCCGGCCATGTTCAAGAACGGGGAGTCGACTGGAAGGTAAGAGACCATTTCACCGGTGGCTGAGGTAAGAAGCAAGATAAGGAAAGTTGAAAGACAATAAGCTAGTAGAAGTCCCAAAGGACCACCAACGGTCAAACCTGTGGTACCAATGGTAACAAATAACCCTGTCCCAATGGAACCACCTATAGCGATAAGTTGAAGATGACGATTATGGAGTTTTCTTTGGGTATGTCCAACTTCGGTGGATAAAGTTGAAGACTTTACAGAGGTTAGTTCACTGTTGTTTTCAAATAAACCCTCTTCCGTAATTGGTTTGATTTCAATATCTGCATCGTTTTTCTTTTCACTGAATATCATGATGTGTATATGGTATGCCCCCTAGAATTTAACAAAGAAATCGGCCACAGAGATATACGGTTCTATATATATATGTATTGTCACAAATTTGTTGGCCATAATTGGGGCATTTCATAAAGTCTATTTGGAGGGTCTGGAAATAATGTCCCAATTTGTGAAGGGATTTTTTCTGCGTTATATTTTTCTAATAGATAAGATTTGTTTTGTGTAACGATACAAGTCGATAAGCTATTCTGTGACGGTATCTGAATTTTTCTTTAGCTGTTGCATACATATTCTGTAGTCTATCTGACAGATTTAATTACACAGCCGATGATTTGTCTCTTGTCTTCTCTTTTATGACATTGTTATGGTATTGTCAGTTCAATAAGTAGTAAAAAATGATTGTTTCGCTTTTTTCTTTGCAATCACAACAATACACATGGCAAAAAAATATAATTGCTATTTCAACTATTACTCTTTGGATTTGATATCTATTTTAGGCTAATTAATGATTGACAAAAAGAGTCAAAGTGTCTTCAAAGTTGACTCTTTCTGTTGGGCTTATCATTGCCGTCGCTCCGTATTTGTCTCAATTACAATCTTAAATTTTTGTGCGCGGCAATTGATACCATAACAGCTCCTTCAACTTTATACATAGTATCGAGTTAGATAAGAAAAGTCTTGAAAAGATTAATGAAGAAGGAATATTTCAAGAGGAAGTGATGCTTACTAATTTAAAAATTAGGTCTTGGCTAAATGAAGTAATAATTTTGTTCTGAACTCGTTGAGTACCCTTCTTGGGTCAATATACACGAAACTTGACTGGCTCATCGTTTTAAGTATTCAAGCAAGAAATAAACAGATTATTGCTACCCAACATGGTAATATAAATGGTGTCAACCTCTTTGTCTTTCCAAGTTGTAGATCTAATTCGCCGGTTCTTCGTGTCGTCGGGCACAATAACCACACCAGGCGAAAAAAAAAAAAAACTGAAGAAAAGAAAAGAACTTACACTTTAATGCATGTTAAATAATTCTACAGTTCAGTATCTACAGTCTCAATAATATAAGCTTTCTTTACACAGCTGCAACGTATCGTCATTTCTTATATAAAAATCATGTTGGTGTCGAGATTATTCTTAATACTAGCATTTTGTTTTAGTGTATTTGCCAAATTATCGGAAGTTTCCAATAAATCCTTCATAACAAGACTTGTCAAACGAAAGGGTAGAACTGGTTCCAGTGGTAGTTCAATAAGCAGTGGCAGTAGTGGATCCACTTTGGTTAGCAGTGGTCAAAAAACAAACTGGGGCAACAACCAATATCATTGTAGTGGGTCTACTTGCGGATATGGTAATTATTATGCACCTACTGCTGCTGCCGCTGCAGCTGGATATGGTACTGCTAGATATCATGGAAATTCAACAACGACGAGAACTTCCGCAGCAAACAATTTATTTTTCCATAGAGGTTATTTAATTGGTATAGGTCTAACTGGATATCTTCTAATATAATTAGTACATAATATACATTTATAGATTATTTGCAGCTAACGGTTAATAGTCTCTTACCCCTCTAAGCCATCGATTACACACAGATTTGGCGCACACACTTAAAAAAAAAAAAAATGGACTGCATATAACTGATATCCATCTCATCGGTCTTGAAAATTTATTTACACCAAAAGAGAAATCTGGAAAAAAAAAATAAAACTTATCTTACACAGGAAAGACTACTATAACGACAAGGAACTACTTACTGACCATGGATAATCATATTACAGTCAGTTTAGATCAAGTTGAAGATCTATATTCAACCTATAGATCTCATTATCCTTTGAAAAAGTCATTACCACGTGAATTATTTAAATTTAACAAAAATTCAACAATTGATGAAAATATTAATCAATTGGCATTGAAAGCTATAGATCATACCTTACCTATATATTATTGTTATAAACCTATATTTTTAGAAATATTAGCACGTTGGATTACTCATACAGATGAATTTGAACAAGAATATAAGAAATCACATCCTAAAATGGGCAACAACATTCCCGGATCAATTATTTTACTTGCATTGTCTAAATTATTACAGATTTCTCATGAATATTTAAACTTATTTGAGCTATTCTTATCCAAATATGAGTTTTGGTCTAAAATTGATACTGCCTGTACCTCAGAATTAGAGACTATCTTACTTGCATTTTACAGATTATTAAAATTTGATACCCATAGATTTAAACCATTTGTTCAGCCAAAGAATTTATATCAAATAATCAAGAAGGTTGAAAGTAAATTCGGTGTTAGCAAGTTTTTATCCATTCAAGTCATTTCTTTATATTTACAGTCTTCAGAAATATCCAAAAATAAAATGATTAAAGCACATCTCAATGACACCACATTATTGGCCAAATTTGAAGATGATGAGATTGACTACTCGTTTATTACTTTGATTGAGGCTAAGAGGATTTCTAATTTCTTGAGTTTACCAAAAAATGAGTTCTCTTTGGACGTATCAAAGAACTGTATTACAATTACCCCTGAGATGTTATCTCCAATTGTGACTTCAGTTTGTGGTATTTTAGTTCCTCATTTATTGATATCATCCTCCTCATCAAATTCCAGTGGTGAGCAACAGTTGGAAGAAACTAAATTTGTTCCAACAAATAGTGCAGTCGAAGTTTTGAGAAAATTGGCATCTAATATTCAGTTCAATAAACCGGTCATGCTATATGGGAAAGCAGGTGCTGGTAAAACATTCTTAATTAACCAATTAGCCAATTACATGTCATATACGGATTCTATTGTTAAAATTCATCTTGGAGAACAAACAGATGCTAAACTTTTACTAGGCACCTATGCGTCTGGTGAAAAGCCCGGTACATTTGAATGGAGAACCGGTGTATTGACTTCAGCTGTCCAAGAAGGTAAGTGGGTATTGATTGAAGATATTGATAAAGCTCCAACTGAAGTTTTATCGGTATTGTTAACTTTATTGGAGAAAAGAGAATTAAGTATACCATCTAGAGGGGAAGTCATCAAGGCCAAGAATGGTTTTCAATTGTTTTCCACGATCAGAACTTCAAACGATTCCAAGAAGGATGCAATTCCAGATTTGATTGGTATAAGATTATGGGAATTAATCAAAGTCGAAGTTCCAAATGAACTTGACTTGAAAAATATTCTTGTAACTAAGTTTCCTTTGCTAGTCAACTTAATTGGTTCATTTATAAAATGTTACAATGAAATCCTCAGAATATACTCCCTTTCCTCGTTTGTTTCATTGAATAAAGGATCGCATCCCAGGGTTATTTCATTTAGGGACTTGATGAAATTTTGTGGAAGATGTAATAACATGCTTTCTTTGGAAGGTATATCAGAACCAGATCAACTTGTAGAATCAAGTGTCTTTGATAATATTTTTGCAGAAGCAGTGGATTGTTTTGGTAGTGCCATCACCGAACCACAAGCATTAACTCCATTAATAAATGCGATTGGTGAAGCTTTAGAGATTCCGACATCTCGGATCAATTTATTCTTGTCAAAACATGTACCATTGTTTATCAATGATGAAGAGAAATTGAAAATTGGAAGAGCCACACTTAAAAAGAGCAATACAGATAAAACATTATACAACAAGCGTCAAGGAAGTAACAATTCCTCTTTTGCCAGAACCAATCATTCCCTCCGTTTAATGGAACAAATTGGTGTTGCTATTGAGATGGTGGAGCCTGTGTTATTAGTTGGTGAAACTGGTACTGGTAAAACTACAGTCGTTCAACAAGTTGCCAAATTGATGAACAAAAAGTTGACAGTTATTAATGTGTCACAACAAACTGAAACTGGTGATTTATTGGGTGGTTATAAACCTGTAAACACAAAAACAGTAGCTGTTCCAATTCAAGAAATGTTTGAAAACTTGTTCATTGGTACCTTCTCAGAAAAGAAGAACGCTAAATTCTCAAAAATATTAACCAAGTGTTTTAACAAGAACCAATGGAAGAACGTTATTAAGCTTTGGTCCGAAGCATTGAAAATGGCCAAAGACTTGTTGTCTGAACCAGAATCTGAAGGTGAAGATGGCGGTGCTCCAAGGAAAAAGAGAAAGTTAAAGTCATTTGAGAAATCAGTTTTGTTAGAAAAATGGATCGAATTTGAAAACAAGGTGAAAGATTTTGAAATTCAAGCAACCACTTTGGATAATTCATTTGTGTTTAACTTTGTTGAAGGTTCCTTGGTTAAAGCTGTTAGAAATGGGGAATGGTTATTGTTGGATGAATTGAATTTGGCAACATCAGATACTTTGGAAAGTATTGCTGATTTACTTGCAGACACAGTCAATCAAAGATCTATATTGTTGTCTGAAAGAGGTGATGTTGAATCTATTAAAGCCCATCCTGAATTCAGAATTTTTGGTTGTATGAACCCTTCAACCGATGTTGGTAAACGAGACTTGCCATTGAGTATTCGTTCAAGATTCACTGAAATTTACGTTCATTCACCAGATAGAGATATTCAAGATTTATTGGCCATTATCGACAAATATATCGGAAGATTTGCTGTTGGTGATGAATGGGTAGGAAATGACATTGCTGAATTGTATTTAAAAGCCAAAGAATTATCCGAGACAAACAAGATTGTTGATGGTGCCAATCAGAAACCTCACTTTAGTATTCGTACTTTGACAAGAACGTTGATTTATGTTTGTGATATTGTTTCAATCTATGGTTTGAGAAGATCCTTATTCGAAGGATTTTCCATGGCTTTCTTAACGTTATTGGATGCTAAATCAGAAGAAGTTTTGAAACCAGAAATCGTAAAGTACACCATTGGTCGTCTTAAGAATTCAAAATCTGTTATGAGCCAAATTCCGCCAGCTCCAACTTCCAATTCAGATGATTATGTTCAATTTAAACATTATTGGATGAAGCATGGTCCTCATGAAATTGTTCCTCAACCTCATTATATCATTACTCCATTTGTTGAAAAGAATATGCTTAATTTAGTAAGAGCAACTGCTGGTAGAAGATTTCCTGTTTTAATTCAAGGTCCAACTTCAGCAGGTAAAACTTCTATGATTAACTATTTGGCAAACATCACTGGTCATAAGTTTGTTCGTATTAACAATCATGAACATACTGATTTACAAGAATACTTGGGTACTTATGTTTCTGACTCTACTGGTAAATTAGTATTCAAGGAAGGTGTTTTAGTTGAAGCTTTAAGAAAAGGGCACTGGATTGTTTTGGATGAATTGAATCTTGCACCAACTGATGTCTTGGAAGCTTTGAATCGTTTGTTAGATGATAACAGAGAATTGTTTATCCCTGAAACTCAAGAAGTCGTACATCCTCATCCTGATTTCATGTTATTTGCAACCCAGAATCCTCCTGGATTGTATGGTGGTAGAAAAGTTTTATCAAGAGCATTCAGAAACAGATTTTTGGAATTGCATTTTGATGACATTCCTCAAGATGAATTGGAAATTATTTTGAAAGAAAGATGTCAAATTGCTCCTTCTTATGGTAAGAAGATTGTTGAAGTGTATCGTCAATTATCCATTCAACGTCAATCGACCAGATTATTTGAAGAAAAGAACTCCTTTGCCACATTGAGAGACTTGTTCAGATGGGCTATGAGAGATGCCGTAGGTTATGAAGAATTGGCAGCCAATGGTTACATGCTTCTTGCAGAAAGAGTTAGAAAGGAGGATGAAAAAGAAGTCGTCAAAAAAACCATTGAGAAAGTCATGAAAGTCAAATTAGATATGGATGCATATTACAGAAGCTTGGAAATTGAGGGAATTTTCAATAGTGATTCCACGATTGTCTGGACCAAAGCCATGCGTAGATTGGCTGTTTTGGTCTTTACTTCCATTAAATATAAAGAGCCTCTCTTATTGGTTGGTGAAACAGGTTGTGGTAAAACTACCGTATGTCAAATTATTGCAAAATTCTTAGGCAAAGAACTAGTTACCGTTAATGCTCACCAAAATACCGAAACTGGTGATTTATTAGGTGCTCAAAGACCAGTGCGTAATAAGTTTGAAACGCAAAGCAGGTTGTTCAATCATTTGATTGAAATTTTTACTGCATTGGAAATTAAAGTTGGGGATGATCTTACTTTGGAACATTTGTTGACTAATTACAAAGCTTTGACCATTCCAGATGAGTTGAAAGATCTTGCCAATAAAATTGAAGAAGAAAAGAAAAATTTGACTTTACTTTTTGAATGGAGTGATGGTCCTTTGGTCAGAGCTATGAAACTGGGTGATTTCTTCTTGTTGGATGAAATTTCTTTAGCTGATGACTCGGTCTTGGAAAGATTGAACTCCGTTTTAGAACCAGAACGAAGTTTATTATTGGCAGAAAAGGGTACTGAGGACGCATTCATTACCGCTGAAGAAACTTTTGAATTTTTGGCAACTATGAATCCTGGTGGTGATTATGGTAAAAAGGAACTTTCTCCAGCATTGAGAAATAGATTTACTGAAATCTGGGTTCCTTCAATGGAAGATTTCAATGATGTTCATCAAATTGTTGAATCGAGAATTACTCACAAAGAATTGACTTCATCTATTGTCAAATTCTCTGAATGGTATGCCAAACAATTTGGTGGTGGTCATACTAACAATGGTGTTATATCTTTGCGTGATATTCTTGCATGGGTTGAATTTATTAATTCTTGTGACAAGACTGTAACTAGTCCTTTGGCTGCTTTGTATCATGGTGCTTCTATGGTTTTCATTGATGCTTTAGGTACTAATAACACCGCATACTTGGCCGAGAATGAGTCCAGATTACAGACCATTAAAAAAGAATGTGTGAATAAGCTTTCGTCTTTTGTTGACCATGATTTGTTAGAATTCTCAAACAGCAAATTCCAAGTCACTGTTAATTCGAGTAAACTCACCGCTGGATTGTTTTCAATTCCGGTTATTGAAGGATCTGAACACAACAAGTCCTTTAATTTAGATGCTCCAACTACAGCTGCTAATGCAATGAGAGTTATCAGGGCTATGCAAGTCAAGAAGCCAATTCTTTTGGAAGGTAGTCCTGGTGTTGGTAAAACAAGTTTGATTACCGCATTGGCAAGTGCTACTGGTAATCCATTAGTCCGTATCAATTTATCTGAACAAACTGATTTAGTTGATCTTTTTGGTTCTGATGCACCGGCTGAAGGAGGGAAAGCTGGAGAGTTTGTTTGGAGAGATGCTCCGTTTTTGAGGGCCATGCAAAGAGGAGAATGGGTTTTGTTGGATGAAATGAATTTAGCATCTCAATCAGTATTAGAAGGTTTGAATGCATGTTTAGATCATCGTGGAGAAGCATACATTCCAGAATTGGACAAATCATTTAAACGTCATCCTAAATTCACTGTGTTTGCTGCTCAGAATCCTCAATATCAAGGTGGTGGTAGAAAAGGTTTACCTAAATCATTTGTCAATCGTTTCACTGTTGTCTATGTTGATACTTTGAAATCTGATGATTTGAACATGATTTCCCAACATCTCTTCCCAACTGTTGATCCAGAAAAGTGTTCTAAGCTTATTCAATTTATGTCCAAATTGGAAGAAGAAGTTGTCACCAAGAAACTCTGGGGGTCACAGGGAAGTCCATGGGAATTCAACTTGCGTGATTCGTTGAGATGGTTAAGCCTTTACACATCGGGAAATATTTCACAAGATATTCAACTTTCTGATTTTATCCAAATGATTGTCTGTCAAAGATTTAGAAATCCTGAAGATCGTGCCAAAGCTAAAGATTTGTTTGAGTCAATATTTGGTCCTTGTGATGCACGTGACAATTATTTCAACATTTCTGAATCTTTTGTGCAAGCTGGTGGCTCATTGGTAGCAAGAAATGAATTGATACTGTATGTTAATGGAAATAGCAACTTGTTGTCATTACAATGTAATTATGAATTTATGGAAACTGCTTTTAGATGTGTTTCTCATAATATTCCATTGATTCTTACTGGTCCAACTAATTCTGGTAAGACAGATTTGATTAGATACTTGGCCACTTCCTTAGGGGCAAAGCTTGATGAATTTTCAATGAATAGCGATGTTGATTCCATGGATATTTTGGGTGGTTATGAACAGGTTGATCTTTCCAGAGAAACCAATGCTTTGTTAGATGACACTTTCAAACTTATCAATAGACTTGTTGTTACAAATCTCAGATATAAAGAAAGTGATCCTGAAATTCTTTCAAAGGCTTTAGATTTACTTGCATTAATTGAAAATGGTAATCACAAGCAAGAATCTTTCGAAGGTTTCCGCAATGCTCTTGTTGAATTTTCCGCTTACCATTCCATTCCAGAAATTAAGGAACTTGTTGATTCTTCAAATAGATTACTCAAAAAGATTAATGAAGAAAAGAGTGTTAAATTTGAATGGTTTGATGGGTTACTTGTTCAAGCTGTTGAAAAGGGAAATTGGTTGGTACTCGATAATGCCAACTTGTGTAGTCCTTCGGTTTTGGACAGATTGAATTCATTATTGGAAACCAATGGAAGCTTGATTATCAATGAATGTAGTTTAGAAGATGGTCAACCTAGAATTCTTAAACCACATCCAAATTTCAGATTATTCTTGACTATGGATCCAAAATATGGTGAGTTATCAAGAGCTATGAGAAACAGAGGAATTGAACTTTTCATGAATTCTTTAGATAAAAGAATAACTTCCTTTGATTCTGATATTCTTGGAATCAAGAAGATAGACACTTCATTGGATTTGGCTGACAAAGTTGAAGAATCCTTGACCATTGAAGATCAGAGACCTGTTCCAACTTTTACTTTCAATTTTGATAAAGATACTTTGCTCAGATCATTTAGTTTGATTGAAGATGCATTTACCTCCGGGGAATTGTCTTTGAGTGCATTATGGAGTCTTATTCCATTAGCTAATTTTGAAAATCTTATAAAATGGAAAGAATTTGTCTATTCAAGTTCAGAATTTGGAGTTGTTAGCAAAGAATTTTCTAGTGAAATATGTTCAACTTTTGGTTCCGTAAAGGAAATTTCTTTGCCATCATGGTTAGATAAGATGTACTCAGAATCTAGCACCTTAGCCAATGAGATTACTGGTAAGAGAATTCATTATGATCAGTATCAAAGCTTCCATCCATTGGCCAACATCTATATTGTGGTATCCTTTTTGGAGAAACATCCAGAAATTAAGACATCAGAATCAACCATGCTTTTTGAAACCTTGGGAAGTATAATCAAGTTGAATAATACTGTGGCAAAAATTGAACAGATGGCTATGGATAAGAAAGTACACGATTTGTCGTTTATTGAAAAATCGGCTGCATCACAATTAGGTAGAGATATTAAATCACGTCCAAGATTGGAGATTTATTCTTTTGTCAAGCTGTTGGTAACATTTATTAATAACTTGTTTTTCAACAGCACAAAAACTTCTTTGTTATCTGAAGTAGTTTACAAGCCGTTGCACGAATTGTGTTTACTTGTCGCGGGTACCATCGAAACTGCTGAAGGAAAGAATGAGTCCAAATTGAGGGTGTACCAAGAGCTCATTACAAAATGGTCAGAAAAATACTTGGTGTCAAACCAAGAGTTGTTGAAACAATTTGATGCTGCTACATCTACTTTTTACCAGCAATTTGAGTTAACCAGTGGTTTTGCTATGAATGAGATTTGGGAATCCTGTAGAGGTCAATATCCTCAATCCTTTGAATCGTGGGAAATTTTGCAACGTTTGTTTAATTTGATTGAAGGGTTCGATAAATTATCTAAAGTTCAATTCCCTGAATCTGCTGAGGTTGTATCAAATTTTGGAATTCTCATTGGTGAGTTGTACAAATCCATCATTCTGGGAGACTATGACAGAAATGAAATGCAATCGATATTTGCAAAACTTGAACAAGGAATATCTGATTTATCTACTGCTTCTGAATCATTCAACACTGCAAGGGTCAACATGTTTATTGAAGACTTTACAAACATTGCCAATTTTGTTGAATTGTCAGGAAGAAACAAAGAAGATTTGATAAAGTTGTACAATTTTTCCGAAAGATCGATGATGTCGTTAATCAAGGAAACATCTTTCAAACCGTATCCTGGAATATTCGATAGTTTATGGGTTGACAATAAACCTAGAGTTGCACCATTGTTCACCAGTCAATTGACGACCTCCATCTTGAACAAAACTTTGGGCTTCAACAACACTTCAGGTAAATTATTGGACCAAGCTAATTTTGATTTGAAATTAGTTTCCAAATCGATTGTCAAACATTCTTCTGATATTTTGAAGGATCAAAAGAAAGTCTTTGCCGAATTGTTAACCTCTTGGTTGCTGATAATTTTAGAAACAATAGGTCTTGACGGAGCCAATGAACCAGGTTCCATTCTATTTGAGGTTACCATGAAATTTGGACCTGAAAGTCCTTTGATGACTGTTTTTGCTGAATATTTGGTTCCTGCTTTAACCATTGCGAAAGGATCTTCGGATCTCAAATCATTAGGAAGAGCCTGGGTTTTGTTTTCTTGTGGATTGATTCAATTATATGTTCCAAGCTCGCCATACGATCCAGCTATCAAAGAGTATGTGCTCTATAAAGTTTTTGAAGACCAACAAAAATTTGCCAGTGATCTTATTTCTAGTTGGAAGGCATCCAGAAGAGTTCATAATGGTGATACAGAAATTTTCTTGGAGTCCACATTAACGGATTTGGTTCAGTTAGAAGCTCCAAGTAATCCAAAGGTATACCGTGACGGTAAATCCATTGATGGTTTATTTGAAGAATGGAATTCTATTATGGAATCAAATATTGCTACAGAACCTATTGAGAAACTATTGACTTCTGCATTGTCATTGTCAGAAATGAGTGAAAACCAAATTCATATGTTCCAAAATAACACATCTCAGTTTATAATGAGATTGGATAAGAATTATATGTTGTATTCTGATTTGAATGATATCTTGCGTGGTTATATTTATGGTTTAAAATTGGGTTTTGAGATAATAACCCTTGACTCGAAACAAGGTAAATTTTATTATCCCGAAGATTGGTCACTTGATGTCAGCAACTTTTCCAGCTTAAGTTCTATTGAAAAAACTTTCCCATATGCTAAGGAATTTAGTAAATCTGTTAAAATTGATAGTCCTGTTTCTGAATTTATTATGACTTACTTTATGAGACTTGGATTTTCCCATAGATCAGAAACTACCAAAGCAAATGAAATTTTAATGCAGGCACTCCAACAATTGTATTATAGATGGTCACTCCGTCGTATTAAGGAAGAAAAAGAAAATATTCAGCTGGGAAGTTTGTACAAATACAGCGATCCAGATGAAGATATTGAAGGTGATTTCAAAAAATTGTTCCCTGATTTTGAAGAAGTTTTGGATGTTGATACCACCGGTTCAAAGAAAAATAACCAAAGTTTTGAATCCATTTATGAGTCTATTGCAATTGCTTATATTAAAGAATATTTATTTGGTGAAAAGGATAGTTTAACTGATCTTGCTCATGAAGGTAGTGAATTGGTTTCTCAATTGGGAAAATACAGTGATCAATTACAAAAATCAACCAATAATGCATCAAGTTTAACTACTTTGGTTAATGAATTGGCTTCCACTCATACTAAGTTTAACCAATCAACTTCAGAATTCAATTTCTATCAAGATGCAAATCCATCGGAAGTCAAACGGGCTGTATCCATTATGACTGTTGTGTACAACTTGTCCAAGAAGTTGTTAGACCAGTGGCCAGAACATGCAACATTGAAGAATATTGTATTTGCATCTAATGAGTTCCTTTCTTATCCAATTGGATTGCCTTTGGGAAGATATTTGCAGAAATTAGAACAGATATATACATTCATTGCTGAATGGCAAAAGTATGCTTCTAGCCAAGTCTCATTGAAAGATCAATTTGATATATTGACTAACTTGATAAATTCTTGGAGAAAGTTAGAATTGTCTACTTGGAAGTCGTTATTGAAATTTGAAGAATTGTCAATGAAAAGAATATGGA